GGACAGAGGAGTGAACCCACCTGCTGCCCCAATGGGCTGAGGCCAGCCTGCCCTGAGCAGGAGCACAGAAAATCACCGTCGGATGGACCGGCAACTGACGTGGGCCCTGGAGCTCCTCATGCGGAGCTTCTAAGAAATGGCACCAACAGTGAGCATGTGGCCACAATTAGGAGAACTTACAAAGTGCTGTCACGTCCACGTTCTGTCTGGGCATTGCAAGAATCACATGGTAAATATCATCTCCACATTGCACACCAGGAAACTCAGACTCCAAGAAATAAGGGGGCTTGCCTGAGCCCACAGGGCCAGAAACGAGACCCAGTTTTCTGACATGGTGGCTCACGTTTTACCCACTACTTGTGACTCAGACAGTCCTCCATGGGCCTTGCAGGACCTCACCCCAGACCTAGGGCGGTGCAAGCAGGCAGTACCAACTCAAAGGGCATCCTGCCATCAGACCCCACTGTGGCCCCGCCCTGGCTGGGCTACACGGCAGGTCCAGTTGAGCGGCTGGCCTCCCGCACTCCACATCTGTTCTGCCTTCTGGGTCCAGTGCGTCTCACAGGGCCTCACCCAAAGCAGGAATCCCCCAGGGAAAAGACCAAAGCCTGGTCTTGTAACACATCTGGGGTTTTCCCACCTGCTGAAAAGGGGTTCGATCCCAGACCCTTTCCCTCTTTAGACCCCATGCCTAACCTTCCCGCTTTGCCAGGCCGGCCGTGTTGGGGGAGGAGGCTGGGCACCATGGGCACACATCTCGGCCTCCTCCAGCCACCCACTCTGCTGCCCACCTTGACGGGCCCTGAGGATGCCCGCTGAAGGTTTGGCTCTCAGGCCTGGCCTGGGTGGCTCATCTACCTGGAGTCTCCCAGTCTTGGGTGCAGATACCAGCTCCCCCTTGCAGATGGGTGGCCCGAGGCTTCAAGGTACAGGCCCCACGCAGCCCAGCTGGTTGAGGGCTCTGCGGTCTTGATCTTGAAATTCTGAACAATTTCTGAACAAGGGCCTTTCATTTATCTTTCACATTGGGTCCCAGAAATTATGTAGCTGATCCTGCCTGGACAAGTCACTCAACTTCTCTGAGCCTCAGTTTCTCTGCCTGCAAAGGAGTCCCCCTTCTAGTTCTGAGAAAGTGCTTTGTCAGCTAGAGAAGGCTGTGCCCTGGGAGGTTTCATTCCCCTGGTCTCTGCAGGTGGAGAAGATGCCTTTAGGAAGACCCGGTAGCTCTCTCAGAGGGGCAGGCTCAGGTGAGACAGGGCCCAAAGGAAAGGCTTTGGATTGCCAGGGCAGCCCTCGGGGGCTCGGTCCCCGTAGCAGTGTGTGCTCCGAGCTGGGGTGTGGCGTCACAGGGCAGGCCTGCAGAGCCACACTTGCCCCGAGGCCCAGCAGCTGGCCCCTGGGAGGGAGTGGAAGGTGGGTTAGAGCCCAGAGCCCTCTCCCCCCACCTCCCCCAGGCCAGAGACTCCGCGGCTGCAGGCCCCAGCCCACATTTGCTGTTTGCATCTGGGGTGATCACGTAGCCCGGAGAGAAGACAGGCAGTCTGGTTCCTGAACCTGAAACAGCAGTGGCCTCACAGCAGGCCTGGATGGCCTCTGGTCCTGGGGAACACAGAGGTAAAGCTGCTCTTTGAGGTGCTCAGAGATGGGGACCGAGGACAGCGGCCCAGGCTGGTCACCATCCCAGGCAAGAAGCCCCCTCACAGCATCCAGCAGCCGCTGTCTGGAAACTCCCAGGGACAAAGCTCAGTCCCGCCCAAGCCAGCCTGTCCCATCATTGCAGGTATCAGTCCCTGCCACCCACTGCAGCCCTTCCCATACATCTCACACTGTACCATGTACATCTGCTGACCTCAGAACAATCCAGCCAAAGGAGGCGGGACAGAAACTACCGGCCCCGTGTTCTTGGGGGCGCTGGGGATCCAGACAGGTGCCGTCACCTACCCAGGGCCCCCAGCTAGGGCAGCTGGGAGGACAGGCTGACTGCCAGTTGCTCACTAGGCTTGGCTCCCCCCACCCGGCACAGGGCCTGCAGAGAAGGCCCTTGGCAAGTGTTGGCCCTTGGCGTTATTGTGAGGCTAAGGCACTGGCTCCCCAGAGTGAGGCAGTGGCTGGAGGAAAGGGACCACTGGGAGGCCGAGAAAGTCACATAGAAGGTCACTGGTGGCCTGGCCCCGACCAGCAGCAGCATGAGAGCAGGGCCAGAGTCAGATGCAAAGGCAGTAGCCAGATCGGGCCCTGGGCCCCAGCAGGGAGGGGGGCGTCCTAGGGTGTGTCCTTGGGGCCTTTCAGGGTAGCGCTCATGGAGACAGGGGCACTGGAAGAGCAGCAGCCAGGGAAGGAGATGGAGAGTCAAGTGCGTGCTTGGCCTCATGGGACCCTGGGCTGGTGCGGCTGGATGTGGGGTTTCGAGGCTGTCGAGTGGGTTGGAGTTAGACCCAGAGGGTCCCACCAGCGCTGCCACTTACCAGCAGCACAGCCCTGGCAGGTTCTGAGCTCTCTGCACCAGTTCCTCGCCGGGGGGTGGAGGGTGCAGAAGCCACCCCAGAGCTGCTGTGAGTGGGCACTGTGAGGCCCGGAGGGCTGAGCCAGGCCTAGCGCAGTTGACCTGCCATAGGAGCTATGGGGCGGGGCAGGCAGCACCCAAGAACAACCCACAGGGGCCCAGAGCCCCTCACTCAAAGCCTGAAGTTGAGGCCCCATGCACTGGTGCCACACAGGAGGCTAAAGGTGTGCAGCGTGCCGGGGAGAGGCCTGCACTAAGGGTCCGGAGAGTGGGTGACCTAGCAGGCAGAGGTCCCCTCTGCTCTGAAGGGCCAAATTCTGAGTCCCATTGGGCTCCAGAGACAGGAAGAGCTAAGACCCCTAGAGCCTATTTGGCCAGTCCATCTCTCAGGTGCACAGCCCCCAGTGCCCATGCCATGCCCCACCTCCACCACCACAGAGAGGCTCCGTGGCCATCCTGCTGTCACCACGTAAGGCCACCCAGCTGGGCCCCAGCCCGAGTGCTTGACACCAGCTGCTGCCCGCCACTCCCCACACCTTTCCAAGGCCAGAGCCTTAATTACCTGCACCTGGGAAAGTGCCACATTCTCTGCCGCCTCCAGAGAGGGGCTGCCCCACATGAAAGGCTGAAAAGGCACTTGGGGGTATCCACTGGCTCTTTGACGCGGGGGTGGCAGGTGGGGTTTCCCTCTCTGGCTGTACCCTCAGGAGGGGAAACTACCATTTGTTGAGTAACTGCTACATGCCAGGCCCCAGACCAGGTGCTGCTGAGCAGGGGGTTGATCCCGCCTCAGCCCTGGGAGGGAAGGCACCAAGTGTGGGTGCTAAGGCCCAGCCCCCAGGGTGGCCCACCCAGTCACTCAGTGAGTGACAGAGTGACAGAGGCAGGGTTCACAGCCTGGCCTGCCCGGCTCCAGTGCACAGTCCAGTGGGCAGAGGGGCATGAGTGGGCTGTAGCCCATTCAGGGCTTGGCCTGTGCTGGCACAGTGGCCACCCTGCACAGGCAGAGAGGGTAGGAGCCTTCTTTCTGTGTCACAGACGTAGTCTTTGAGCTGGGCCTTGAACCACGAGCAGGCAGGGGGCTCACAAAAACCGCCCACACCCACTGGAAGGCTAGGGTTAGTGGAGACCCCGCGGGACCAGCCAAGGAGAGCCGGGGCAAGCAGACTCGCCCGCGGCAGTGCAGCGGCCCAGCCTAACAGAGCGGAGACAGCCTCAAGAAGGGCCCTTGGGGCCCTCCTCCCCTGCATTCAGGGCACTGAGCACCACCCCACCATGGCTGCCCCGCAGATTTGCAGAGATGCACACGCACACATGTGAGGGAAAGATTTCCTCCTCCCCTGCCTCACCCACCCCCACGACCTGAAGTTCAAAGGAACGGCATCTTGGATTTGGTCTGAGTAGCAGCAGGGACTCCTGGCCACTGGGGTATGTGTTCACTCAGTCATCACTCCTGCAGTCATCCCGAAATCCCGGAGAGCCGAAGGCAGCTTGCAGGAATCCGGACACCACAGAGGCACAGGCAGAATGAACTGGTTTGGGACACCCTCTAGGGAAAAGGCCCACCAGGGCCAGGTTCCCAGGAGAAGCCAAGGTTGGCAGGCAGGGGGCTTCAGGTTATAAAATTTGGGGGCTCTTGTCTCTTCACTTCCTGGCAGCAGAGCAGAGGGAATGCCACTCAGGCACAGCTGCCACAAGAGCAGAGCATGCCAGATGCTCGGGGGAAGCCCAGGCGGGAAGGCTCAGAGGCCCGGCCGGGGCCCCTCCGTGAGCCAGCCACCTGTGCCCTGGCGACCCGGCGCTGCCAGCCCCTTCTCCAGGCCTGGGGAGGATCACTCTCACCACACAACGGGCTCAGTGACCTAGGTTACACCCGAGCCACTCTAGCCCCTTTGAATTTGCAAAAGAAAAAAAGCACTAGGCAAGCTTCAAGTGGACAAGAACCAGACGCCTGTGGCTGATGGTTCAGTGAGAACAGATGTTGGGCTGAGAGCCTGTTGAGGTGATGGATGGTGCATGGGCTCTGGGAGCCTCCCCTCAGGACTCCACAGCCAGGATCACAAGCCATTCTATGCTGAAATGAGTTTGGGAGCCCCAGTTACCCCCTGTGTGGGTTTGGAGTCCAGGTGCAGGCAGGGCCAGGGTTTGGGAATCTGGCCCCGGGCAGTTAAGTACCAGCCAGGCTGACCTCAGCACCGGCCCCCAGTAGTGGTGCGACCCTGATGGCAGTATCCTTTGCACAGGTAGGGCCTCGTGTCATTTACAGTTTTCCCATCCATCACCATCACCGTGGAGCCTCAGCAGCAGCCCCATAGGAATGGTATCCTCCCATTTCACAGATGGGGAGCCTGAGGCTCAGAGAAGCCCCACAGCTAGAGGGTGTCAGAGGCAGGACTGGAACTCAGGTCCCTGTCTCAGGAGATGCCCCCATGGGTGGGGAAAGCTGTTAGCTTCTGCTGCAGGAGACTGAGCGCCTCTTGTCTCTCTCCCTCCCCAGAGACATGTGCAGTCAATAACGGAGGCTGTGACCGGACATGCAAGGACACGGCCACCGGCGTGCGGTGCAGCTGCCCTGTCGGATTCACGCTGCAGCCCGATGGAAAGACATGCAAAGGTCAGTGCGGAGCCCCGCTGACGCAGGCAGGCCCACCTCACTCGCTGGCCCAGGCAGTGCCAGCAGGAGCACGGTCTGCGTGGTTGGGCTGGTGTGGGGCCCGGTGTGACTGCGGGGGCAAGGACAGTCAGCAGGCACCGGCACCTCTTGAGAGGAGGGCAGGTCTGCACCAGTGCTCCCAGCACGTGTTTCTGCTGTATGTGGTTCCTGGACACAAAACAGGGTTCTGATATCAAAGAACTCAGCTGCACACTGGGTTAAAGAAACAGGCGTCTTTACTGCGGGACTTCCTAGGCCGTCGGTGGTCCACTGCAGCTCCCGGGTGGGAGCTGGGGGGCTGTTGCCTCCCCTTAGTTGTGGCCTCTTGCAGAGCTGCAGAGCTGGGGTGACAGCATGGTGCAGGGCAGTTTGGGAAATGCAGGTCTGCTTATACTGGGACAGGATAGGCTTCTTGTCATGGCTAGAAAAATGTGGACACTCTGTGTCCTTGTCACTGGAGGAGTGAAAGTAGGGGTGCTCTCAACTGAAGGACTTGGGGGGCAGAAAGATCTCTGTGAGCAATTAGCAAAGGTGGAATTGGGAGCACCAGGGAATCCTCGCACTTGAAGAGATGCAGAGATGGGCCCCTCTGCCGGCTGCTGGAAGTGAGAGAAGGCAGAGCTTTCTCTCCCCACTCGTTCTCTGGCTCACCCCACCGAGTTCTAGACGGCCCCCAGGAGAGCTTGTGACACTGGGGTCCCTGAGGAAGCAGGGAGCCAGAGCTGACTGAGCTCCAGAGACTGAAGGGGCCGGCCCTGCAGCCACTGGCAAAGGAACCTGAGGCAGGATGGCCCCTGGGCGGGGAGTCAGGGCCCAACACCGAAGCCCCTGCCAAGGGCTGGAGCGCAGCCCGCCCCGCTCCCACCAGCCCCGCACCCGCCCTCAGCGGGCAGACCGCAAGGACGGAGGGCTTAACCTTCCAAAGGCCAGGGGGTGAGAACACTGGCAGCAGAGGCCTAGGGTGATTTCTGCCCAAGGTGGGCTTTTTACGCCTGTAAAAGTAGACGGCCTATGACTTCTTCCTGGACACTTTGCTAGGAAGAGCCTGGGGATTATTAGTAGAAATAAAAGGTCTTCCGCCTGTTTATTTGAAAATAAAGCCCTTCTGTAGCCTCCACTGAGCCCATTCAGAGCTGAGGCATGCTGCCCACCTGCCCTGCGGGTGGCATCTGAGGCCTCACCACAGGGACCCGATGGCAAGAGGCTGGCCAGGGGTCCACCACGGTCCAGGCCACCCTCACAGCCCAGCTGTGTCACAGCAGGCCCGGCTACTTGCCCTTGGAGGCAGGACGGAAGAGGGTAGACCCAGGCCTCTCTGCTGCCCTCTGAGGCACAGAGCTGACCCAGGACCAGGGACCGGGCGGCTAATTTCCTGAGGTGAGGCTGGGAGCTCACCAAGGGGAGGCCATCTGTCTCAGCCAGGAAGGGGCCTCGGCAGTCCCACAGCCCAAGAGGAGCGTCTGAGGGCGCTCCGACTCCTGCCCTCTGCCTGCCCCTGGTGGCCCATACCAGGGGGGCTGTTACTGAGGGGAGCAGTCCACGCAGCCCCTGGCACACCAGTCCAAGTCCCCCACTGTGTCTCCCACGCCTCCTCTTGAAGCAGTCGGGCCCTTTAAGCAGGCCTGTCCCTGCCCGGCCCCTGCCTTTGGCCAGAGCCTCCCACTCCCACTGCTCTGGAGTCGGGGCGCCCTCTTGTTCACGTGTACCAGATGGGTTTGGGGGCTCCCATGCCAGGTGCTGGGGAGAGTTGAGTGACACAGATACTCCCTGTGCCCCAGTAGATCTGCTACTGAGTGCAGAAGACACATTTTCGTTTTGTAAAACCAAGATAAACGTGTATCACGGCCTGCCTGGTGCTGGATAGGGAAGTGCAGTAACTGCAGGAGAACCAGGACCGGGGCCCACCCCAGCTTGGGTGGGGACGTCAGCTGCTGTGCGGGGAGCTGGGTTCAAGGGCCCGAGGGCGGCCAGTGTGCCCAGGCCCAGGGCGGTGCGGGGAGGCCGGGCCAGCTGCCGCAGGGCCTGTGGGCTAGGGGAGGAAACGGCCCTTCCTTCCAGCCTTGACAAGGCCCCAAACGCTGTTGGGCAGGGGCAGCACAGGCCCCGGTTTACATTTTGAGGTGACCCTGGCCACTGTCTGGAGGGGGGTCTCTGGGCAGGGCCTGGAGGAGCAGTGAGGCAGCTGCTGCCATGACCCAGGCTCGCGGTGACAGTGGCTTGGGCCAAGGGGTGGCAGTGGATGTGAACAAGAACAGTCTGGATATGGTCATAAATATTAGAATGTAAGGATTGTGAGACTAGTCCGGAACCACATACTGTGACCAACATAACATGTTCAAATCAAGGAAGCCTGGAAACCAACACCGACCGCCAGGCCCCAGGGTTTGCTGTCGTAGAGCCCTGTCCAGCTGGGGAGGTGCGCGTCGGATGCCGGGGCTCGGCAGAGGAAGCCAGCCGGGGATTCCTGGCAGACTGAGGCCCTAGCCCTGGGGTTTTAGCTCTGCAGCCAGCATGCACGCCCTGGTCTTGGCAGAGGCCCAGAGGAGAGATCAAAGGAGTGATTTCAAAGGCTCAGTGTTTTCTGGAAGCTAAGAAGTCATTGTCAAGCAAGACCGATGGCTGGAGGGTAGAGGTAACGAAGGTCTCAGAAAATCCAGAGCTGAAAACGCCAGGCAGATGGGGATCAAGTGAGCAAGTGGAAGCAGGTGTGGGAAAGGGGGTAGTTCTGCCTAAAACGTGGGCGCCACGGGACCGTCTGGAGGGCTTGTCCCAAGCCCGTGTTTGTTTCACGGGAGTGCGCACGGCACGGCCCCGTCTCAAGGCTCCCTGCTCGGTACCGGGAGGTGGGCAGCTCGCTGACTGGCCCTTCAGGGAGGAGGGAGGTCAGGGGCCCCCGCTGCGTGAGCTGGAGCCTGGCTTTCCTCAGAGACACCAGCCCCTCCTCCTGCCTCCTTCCAGAACGGTCTGCGAGAAGCCCACCTACCACCCGTTTCCTCTCCCCCCTCGCCGCCCTGCCCAGCAGCCTGCCCTCCCCACTGGGCCGCCCTGGTGACGCCTGCCCACTCTCCCAGGGCCTCTCGCTCCCACCCCGGGTTGCCAGGCTGGGCCTCCTCAGGGGGACGGGCAGGGGGGAGCAGGCACCATTGTCCTACTGTGTGTCCCTACAGCTGAGCCCTCCCCCACCCCCAGCACTGGCCGATGCACCCGACTGCCCCGCTCGATGGCCCAAGACCCCCCCCTTCTCTCAGCCGCCCGGTCTCATCCTTTGACCCCCTCACCCATCCATTCACTCAGAGGCCACTCCTGGGCAGTCTCTCTGTGCAGGTCTCATGCTGGCCTCTGGGACTCCACACAGGAGCCTAGTACTGAGGGCAGGGCCCGGGACAAGGGGGCAGCTGACTCTGGAAGGAACATCAGGGGAGATGTCCCAGAGGGGCAGTTGTTCCCGGGGGCAGGGCAGGGCGGGGGCTGCCCCAGGTGGAGCGGCCCAAGTCTGGGCTTCCAGGGTGGACGCCAGGCACACAGAAAGAGGAGAACCGAGCAGCCAGGACGGAAAGGGCCGTGAGCCTCCAAGAAGGGGCTGGGCCTTTAGTCCTGGGACAACGAGGAAGTGTAAATGGGCAGGACGCTGCTGGCCACCTGCTGGGGGACAGTGACATAGTAGAGAAGGAGGGGAGTCTGAGGGGGCAGGAAGGGGAGAAAGGGGCAGGGACTGCTCCCCTGGGGGCTCATCAGAATGGAGGTCAAGGGGCTGTGGGAGCCCGGCGCCCTCATTGCATCCTGGACTAGAGAGGAGCAGGCAACCCCCTCTCTGCCCCGAGGCAGCCCGCTGCACCAGCCCAGGCCTCAAGCAACAAACGTGCCTCCCCCATGTGTCTGGTTGCTATGACAGCCCCTTAGCTGACAGGCCCAGGTGGGCCCAGGGATGGGGTGGGGGGTTCCAGAGGCCTGAGGCATTCCTAAGGCGGCAAGCCCCATGGGCACGTTCGGTCTTCCAGCGACGCTGCGGGAGGGCCTGGCAGCAGCCCAGCTTGCAGGTGGGATGTTAGGCTCAGAGAGGTGCCTTTCCCTGCCCAAGGCCATACAGCTGGCAGGGACAGAGCTGAGATGGGTCTCTCATCCCAGAGGCTTCTAGCTATTTAGAAACTCCCCATCTTCCTGTAACCCCAGGGGAGGGGACAACAGAGGCGCCTGAGCCTCCTCCCCAGGCAGGCCCTCCCTGGGCTTTCCATGGGCTTTGTCTGGAGCTGCCGGGCCAGCGTGAACTCGTGGACTGTGATGGCCCAGCTGGGCTCCTGTGTGCAGCCGTGACCTCCTCTGTAAAGGGGGCGATCTTGTCCCCAGTTGCTTTGACACCTTGCCGGCAAGGCTTGGCCTGGTTGCCATCGTGAGGGGAGCAGTACAGTGACCACTAGAGAATTCTGCCCCTTCCTGGCAGGTGGGCTCTTCCTGAGGCAGCTTTTTCCTGAAGCACAGACTTCTGAACGTGTGCCCAGTTCCCAGTGCTGAGAAGCCACCGTTTGCGGTGATCATCTCACTGAGCACGCACAGAGACCTACTACGGTCGGATAGGTGAAGTCCCCCGCCCACACGCGCAGAGCTGGGGGGTCACAGCCCGCTCTGCTTCGCTGTCCACACCCCAGCTGCCTTGCTTAGTGGGGACCACTTCCCACCTTCCTGGTGCCAAAGTCACCAGAACTGCAACCAAAATAGGTCTTTTGCGGTGTTGGTGCCTCCGGGAGGCCAGCAACGGCAGGAGGTGCAGGGGCACACCCCAAGCCCAGGCCCACCCGGGCCCCACAGGGAGCAGGCCTGGGGCTCCCCGCCAGACCGGCTGTGCTGTTCCCCTCCCAGAGGCTCCGAGAATTGCCCATGGGGGACCCTGAACTTGCTCTCCTTAAAACCGCCTTTTCCTAACATGCTTGACCACAGACCTGGTTTTTATTTTGCTGTTGGGGAACATTCTGTGCGAACACTGCTTTAGGACTCCCTGGCAGATATTTGAGGAAGAGATGTGAGCAGTGTGGTGAGGGACTCGGCAAGATCGGAGTTGCCAGGACAGGACCAGGGCTTAGTAAAAGGGGGCAGATGACCTTGCTCGGGCCGGTCACACGGGCTCAGCGGGTGCTGGAATCTGTTAGCAGCCCTGCTGCAAGGTGGCTGGTGGCCCCCAAGGAGAAGCCCTTCCTGTCTTCCCCACTAGGAGGGCCTCTGCCACCCCTCCCTTCTTGCCACCCCACCCTCCAAATCAGGGTGAGAACACCTTCCTGAAAGTCTCCTGCTTCTGCTAATCGTGGGTCATGTCTAGGAGGTGGTGACCAGATGGGCAGTCTAGGCATTGGGGACCAAGAGGAACCTTGGGGTGAGAAGAGACACTTCGAGGGAAGGGTCCCTGATGGCACAGTCTGCCCAGCTGGCCTGGAACACAGGAGCAAAGCCCAGAAGAGCAGAGCGGGTGGGGGCAGGAGGGAGCTTAGAGGGCTTAGGGAGATGCTGCTGATGCAGCAGACAGCAGGCCGTGCTCTGAGGGGAAGAGCTCCCTGTCCCTGGAGCTGTGCAAGCAGGGGCCAGGGGCAGGTTTTCTTGGAAGGGTGGTTGCTGCATGGGGTTGGGCCAGATGACCTTCAGGGTGCGGCCACAACTCCTTCGAAGCTGGATGAAGAAGCCGCTCAGACCCACAGGTGTGGAGTGGGTGGGTGGCAGGGAGAACCAGAGCGGGGGGTCAGCCGGGCCCAGGGCTCCCCAGCCTCCGGCTGCCTGCCGCAGCCTCCCAGGCCCGTTTCTGCCTCTCTAAGCCTCAGTGCCCATAAGTAAGACAGGAGCAGGGAGCCACTCTTCAGGGCGTCGCCTCAGTGCTACGGGGCGCCGGCACCTCAGGAAACTCACCTCATTCAGTCTCCCAGCACTCTTCCAAGCAGGTGCGCTCGGACCCCTGCCTTGCGGACGGGAGCCAAGGCTCAGTGCCCAGCGGCTTGCCCTGGTCCCAGCCATGGGGAAGCAGCGTGCCTGCTCCGGGCAGCCCTGCCCTCCAGGCTGCCTCCCTGGCTGCGCGGAGGAAAGGACGTGGTGGAAGTCCTCGTCCCTGTTGTCCCGTCCGGCACCGCAGACGTCAGTTCCTCCCCACTCCCCGCCATGAATGCCAGCTTCACCAAGTCCTGGCAGGAAGCAGAGTAGCCGGGTCATGCCACCTTCTCCTGTCCCCCGATCCCTGTGCTTGGCTGGGGGAACTGAGGCCAGCCCTGGGCAGCGGGTGGCAGGCAAGACAGGGAAGGGCCGGTGCTGGGCTGTCGACCCCCACAGTGCAACCCCTACCCGAACCCGTTCTCCTCAGCTCGCCCCACCTGCTTGGCTTCCGCAGACATCAACGAATGCCTGGTCAACAACGGAGGCTGCGACCATTTCTGCCGCAACACCGTGGGCAGCTTCGAGTGTGGCTGCCGGAAAGGCTACAAGCTGCTGACAGACGAGCGGACGTGCCAGGGTGAGCTCCTGCCCCCGGCGGCCCGGGCCAGGACATCCCATCCTCATCGGGTCCCTTCCCCTCCTGGGCTTATCCAGGCTCCAGAGAGACGTGACGGGGTGGGGTTTGTCCAGCCTGCCGGCTGGCCTGACAACACCAAGGTGGCTTTTCCCCTGCCAGCTCCTGCTCCAGCCCTCCCTGGCACCCCCGTCCTTTAACACTCCAGGGGCTCTCTGGATGCAGTCCAACCTGTCCCTTATAGCTGGGGGACAGGTCCAAAGAGGGTCAGCCCGTGTCCCAGGTGGCACAGCGGCTTGGGGGCAGAGCTCTGCAGCTCCATCCTGTCCTTCCCCTTCTGGTGGCCCCCAGGCCCCTTCAGTGGCTTTGGAAGTGGAATGCCTCCACCTGGTGGAAGGCCTGGCACACTGCAGGTGCCCTCCCAGGGCCCTTCCTCTCCCCCCGGGTCCCCAGGCACCTGCAAGAAGCAGGGCTGGTGGGAGGACAGGTCTCAGCAGAAGCCAAGAACCACAGCCCAGGGGAAGTCCAGCAGACGTCAGGATGCAGCGAGAGCCCAGAGGAGGGGTAGTGGAGAGTGAGTCCAGAAAGGCTTCCTGGGGGAGGGACATTGGCCAAATGTTTGAAGAATGAATAGGCATTTGCCAAGAGGACCCAGGGAGGTAAATCCTCCCAGGAAGTGGTACTGTTGGGCTTAGGGGGCTTGGAGGACCACAAGGAACCCTGTGGGGCCAGATGAGACCACTGAGGAGACAGGGGACCCTGTGGAAGTGCAGAGGGAGGGGCCCAGGTGTCCTGCACGGCCGGGGTACAGCTCAATTCCATCAGTGGTCGCTCTACAGCCATCTGGTCATTTCATTTCCATGGCATTCCGGTAGTTGCAGGCTGCAGATAGCTGAGTCTGGCTATGGGACTTGCAGCTTTGCCTGTTAATGCAGCTCAGAGGCTGGCCCTGGGGTGGCACAAGACCCTGAGGGGCGAGGCACGTGCTCCCTCAAGTCCCGCGAGGAAAGCGAGAGCAGGAATGCTGGTGAGGGAAGGCCCAGCGCCAGCCCATGCAGGGGCTCATGGTGGGACCCAAGCCAGTCGCTTCCCCTCCTGGGCTCAACCCCTTCACCCCTGGACGGGCATCCTGGCTGGTCTCCCTCTCAGCGGGAGGTCCACTTGGAGCACGGCATCTGTCTGGGTGCCCACCAAGGCTCCTCCGCACGTCGGCTCGGGTTCCCCGTCTGCTTTGCCGCCTTCTGCGGAGAGCTGAGGGCAGACCCTTGGTCTTGCATCCCCAGCTCCCCGCAAGAGAGGTGGGCAGCTGCCGAGGGGAGGGCGATGGCATGTCTGCCCCTGGGCTCTGCCAAGTCCCCACCGCCCTCCAGGCCCTCCTCCCCGAGGCCCTGGGGCTCTGACCTTCCCATCCCTGCTCCAGCACCACCCCGGGCTCTTCAGCTCCAGCAGGGAGGGGTTTAAGCTCCTTTGCTTGGCACTCAGGGCCCTTGTGTTGGGGACCGCAGATACTATCCCAGTCCCCAAGCACCACACAGTCCCCTGAGCAGCCCCTGCTGCCACCTGCTAGCCTTTGCTTCAAGTGCCCTCTCCCAGTCTCAGTCCTTCATTCAAAGCTAGCCCCCTCCTTCACGGTCTAGCCCAGTGCCACAAGCACCAGGAGATCTCCCCAGATCCTGCCCAGGGGAGTCACATCCTCCTTGGAGCACCACAGTGTGACTCTTTCCTTGTGCTAGTGTCATTACAGGCACCCCTGTACTATGATCATGTGTGTGGTCACATGAGCTAATACATTCAAAGAATAAGCTCCAACTACAGCGTCCATGGCAATGTAGGTCAGTGTCTGCTTTGCCCTCAGGAGTCCCCATCAACTACCCCATGGGAGTCATCTTCCTCAGAATTTATGACTGGGTGGACTTGTCCCCTGTGAGCACATGGTTCATTTCCTCCTCTCCAGCAATAAGTGTTCTGTGGCCCTTCCTCTTTCCCTTTCACCCTGGCTGCCAGGAAGCTCAATCAAACCACATTCTATCAAGGCTACTTTGTTATCCCTTATAGGTAGCATATCCCCCCTTTCTGTTTGTGCTATTTTCCTTATTAAGAGGCATTGTGGGGTGATAGGAAAGCATACTTTGGTCAGCATCCAAGAGGCCTGGGTTCATGTTGCAGCTCAGCTGCTTCCTCAGGCAAGCAAACCCCTGTCAGTCTCCTGCAGGTGTGGATTAAATACCCATCCTAATCACATTTGGATGTGAGAAACTGAAATGGCAGAGGCTCATGATGACCCCTTGTATTTCTATAAACATTTCTACCCTGCCCACATCCAGCAAAGATGTGAGGTGGCTTGTGACCCAGAAACATGAGTTTAATGGAGATGAAATGGAAAATCAAGTGACGACAAGAAGTCTGACATTTACCCATCAACTGTGCACTGAGACCCCGTCCCAGGGACTGTCTATGCACAGATGCACATCGAGTGACTGAGTGACAGGCCGTGCCCGTCCACCTCAGCCTGAAATTCCTGCCCCCCCTTGTCCCCTGTGCCGCACAGACACTGACGAGTGCTCCTTCGAGCGGACCTGCGACCACATCTGCATCAACTCCCCCGGCAGCTTCCAGTGCCTGTGCCACCGCGGCTACACACTCTACGGGACAACCCACTGCGGAGGTCTGCAGCCCACCCACCAGGGCCACCTTCCCCCCGAGGCACGCGCCTGGCCACATGGCCACCTATACTGCACCGCACACCCCAGCTCTGACCTCAGCTCTGCCAGGCCAGGGAGGGGCCTCAGCAAGCCTGGGACTGGTGGGCAGGGGGCTCAGCCAAGGGCAAGGGGGAAGGAAGCAGCAGGCATCCGCTGGATACCAAGCCTCAGCCAGGTTGTGGGCATAGGCCTGGAAAAAGCAGTTACGGGGGAGCCCCGTCCAGAGGGGGGAGTGGCTGCTACACAGAGAATCCCTCAGACCACTCATTCCAGTGCGAGAGGTGACAGCAAAGAAAGACAGAGTATGGAGATACTGGGGGACCCTAAAAGAGAAGTATTGGGTCAAAATGAGGGGAAGCATGCCAGCGGGAGCCATATGTGCAAAGGCACTGAGGCAGAGGGAGCACCGAGGGCCCAAGAAGCAACTGGTGCAGCCAGAGCCCCCAGGAGAGGCGAAGCGTGGTGGGAGATGCGGGGGGTGAGGTTCTGCAGGCCCCTGAGGGGACTCGGGGTTTTACTCCCAGTGCAGTGGCAGACCACTGGAAGGTGGAAGCAGGGGTGTGACGTGGCCAAGTTCACGTAACAAGATTGCTCCAGCTGCCAGGGCACCAGTGGGGAGACAGCCCCCAAGTGAGAGCCACCGGAGCTCGGGCAGAATGGGTGGGGATGCAGAGGAGGGAAGGTTCTAGACGCACGTAGGAGCTGCGGAGGATGGGACTCGGAGATGTAGAGGCATCACAGGTGGAGAAGGTGGGGAAGCCGAGAATGGCCCCAAAGTCCTGGGTGTCTCTTCCTTTCCTGTGACCTGGGGTAGCCACACTCCCCCTGCCTGGTGGCTGTGATCAGGCACAGCTGGTGATGGTGGGTGGCTCCTGAGGGGGCTGCGGATTCTTCTGGAAGGGCTCCCAAAAACCTGGGCACCAGCTTCCCTGGGCCCGCCACTCCCGTGTGCTGGTGGCCCCAGCGCTCCAGTGTGGATGCGGCCCAGCCCTTTGTCCCCGTCTCCACGGGTGCGTTTGGTCTCCGGTGGTCAGAGGAGGAAGGGCCTTGAGCTGACTTCTTTCGCCCTGGTGCCTGTAGTACAAGAGGGGAAACATGCCGGGAAGGGACTTGTCCAAAGTCCCACAGCGAGACAAGGCCCCATGATCTCTGGGCCAGAGCTCAGACATGCCCACGACCTGACTGGAACTTACATTTTGTGCCACTTCCCCACTGTCCTCCTCGTCTGGGAGCAGCTGCTTGAGTCCAGCAAACCCCTGAGGTTCCCGGGGGAGGGATGTGTCTCGGTGCCGCGTGTGCATGTGTGTATGTGTGATGTGTGTGACGTGTGCAGCCGCATGTCTGCATCCGATGACAGTATCAGGCTGGGGTCAGCGGTGGGGTGCTTGGCCCTCTCACCCACGTGGGCCCTGTCTGCTGGCCCCGAGGTGTGGCCTGGGCTGCCGGCCCAGCCTCGCTCCTGTCTCATGCCTCCCTGTGCTTCCAGATGTAGACGAGTGCAGCATGAGCAATGGGAGCTGCGGCCATGGCTGCGTCAACACCAAGGGCAGCTACGAGTGTGTCTGCCCCACAGGGAGCTGGCTGCACTGGAACCAGAAGGACTGTGTGGGTGAGGGCCTTGCGGCACTGGCCCCCAGCCCCCCGGGGCCCGGGCCCCTTCCCTCGGGCCGGGGGGTCACATGGCGGGTGTTGCTGGGATGCGGCTAATGGAAATGAGGGCGCACAGAAGAAGAGGGACACGGGTGGGAGAACCCCTGGTGTCAGCTGGAGGCACAGAAGTGGGCCCATGGGGGCATGGGGCATGGAGGTGGAGACTCGGGGTCAAGGCTGTGGGCTTAGCAGCCGCTGGAGGCTTAGAGGGCTGGTGACGTGGGGTACAGCACATCAGAGCCTGGACCCGGCAGCACCTGGGTCTTTGCAAAGCCACCACCTGCCTGGTTGTCAACCCCACAATGTCTGGGGGCTGTTGGTTTTGGGGGAGCTCCTAAAGAGCTCATCAGGGTTCACATACCTTCTGGCATGCTCTGGGTGCTTGGGGTGCCTCTAGGATGAGTTCTGCACAGTCCCCCACATTCACCGGTTCCACACTGTGTGCCAGGCCCATTCTGGGTGCTGGGGCTGTGTCCTTGACACGGCTCAGGCCCTTGCCCCGCCGCTGTCTGGCATCCCAGGGCAGCCGCAGCGGGCCTCTAGTCTAAGTCAGAATGCCTCTCCGCCCAGACCTCCATGACTCCCCGCACAGAAGCAAAGCCAGGTTCTTGGAATGGCTGAAGGGCACTCCACCCTGGTCTGACCGCCTCCTACCCTCCCCCTCATTCACCCTGTGCCAGTCACTGACCTGGGTGCAGTCCTTCCCCACAGCCCGGCCTGCGTGGGCTCCTCTCTGGGCCGGGGGCTCCTCGCTCCCATAGGCATCTGCTCTGTGAGGCCTTCCCTGGCCCGGAACCCAGAGCAACAACCCGCCTGCCTCTGCGCAACCCCCCACCCCCCTGCCCCCTTTGCTGTCCAGCCTTCTCTTCCTCCCATCGCACTTCCCACCACCAGCCATGACATATACCTGGCATACCCCTGTTGGGTTTTGTCTGTCTGGCCTCCCCGGAATGTACGCTGTCCACAGCTGAGCAGGGGTTTTGTGCCTGTCACGTTCGCTGCTGTATCCCCAGCACCCAGGACAGAGTCTGGCAACTGTAGACGCTCCATAAATATTCATTGAACAAATGAATGCAGGTGTCAAAGAATGGATACCGTACCTGTAGTCAAAAGGCTATTTTTCTTACTACTTTGCTGTTCAGAAAGTCTTGGTAAGCAAAGCAAACCTCTGGTGTTGTCTGGAGTTGTGGGGAAGAGCCTGTTAGGGCTGTGCTGGTTTGAGGAAGGATCAGGTGTGTCTGCCTAGGAGCCTGGCTTGCCCTGGGTCCTGGGAAGAATGATCCCTCGGTGAGTCTGCTGCCAGTCGGCTGACTGCCCAAGCCTGAGGCTGTCGTCAGTTCACCCATCAGCAGGGCTGTGCTAGGTCTGTCACTAACTTGTTAGCAGAGCTATCGGACTAACAGGCTTTCTCGACGGGTATGGGGGTGGGGGGCTGTTCGCAGTCCCCCTCTTGGTCACCCGTCCCTCAGTCAGAGCTGCAGGAGAGGCCACCGGGGCTTGCCCCACCTTCACCGCTGCCACCGGCCCTCCGTGAAGCCGTCAGGGGAGGTCTGGTGATCAAGCCACAAGCAGTGTAACATCCCGTTTTGCTTCTAAGTCGTCTGCTGGGACTGTGGTGACTACATGGAAGAGCTGACATTCCGGACAGTAGAGCCTGGAATGACTGAGAGAAGCAAGTGTGACTGAAGGGGTTGCTGGAGGTCCTGGAAGGCCCTCCGGAGCCCTGATCCGGGAGTGCCCAGGGCTGACCAAGAACCTGGGCCCAGCAACTCCCCAGGCCCCTCAGTATTCAGGCGGCCTTCTCTTACAGCCTTGGTGTGTATTCCCTACCCCACCTCTGCTGTGAATCCAGGTTCAAAATGAAGTGTGGCAGAGGCTCAGAGTCCCCCCCCAAGGCCCTGCTATTACTCATGACTAGCTCACTAGAAAGTCAGACTGGTCTGTCACGCCCCCACACCATGCCGTTGGCTGTGGCATTTACTCTACCACCCAAAGTGAGGGGCAGAGTTTTGATGACCTATCCAAGTCCCACAGACGGGAACAATAGCCTCCGCGGTCTGCCGCACCAGGTATCATGTCCCTCAGCGGGGCGCTGTACCCGCAGGTGCTTTGCAGGAAGGCATGGCTCACTGAGGGTAATGGGTGGGCATTCACATGAACCACCTAATAGCCTCTCTGGGCAGTTAGCTGTGGCCCCAGGGTGGCACCGATGAGCCAGATTTCCACATAAGAGATGGGACCAACCTCAGCGGAGCTGCAGGTATGTTGTCTGTGGGCGGCACTGTGCTGAGCTGTCAGAGACATTGCAAGACAGGGAATCTCCTCCCCATGAAAGGGCGTTTTCCTTTTTCAAGTATTGTCTACAAAGAACACCGTAATTAATAAGGTTTGCAGAACATACTTAATACCATTTTTCAATATTGGCTTCCCCAGCAATAGTTTGAAAGAACGGATTTAAAGAATTAGGGTGGTGGTTATCCCTAGTAAGACCTGGATCTAGGTGAGTCTTTATTTGTCAGGGAAACATGACAGGATGAATCAGAAGTATGTGATCTTAACTATGTAGGGGGGATACGTGACCTAAAGAATAAAGAGCATGGGCACCAGTAGCATGTGGACACAGTGGCCGCAGGCCTCTAGGCGAATTTAGTCCAGTGGCCTTACAGGCAAGAGCTGTCTGCTCGTGTGGTCACCTGCCTGTTCGGAGGATCTTGGTTAACAGTCAATTTCTGTGAACTGTCTTCTTCCAGGGGGGTCTTCAGAGAACCTCAGTTTAAGACCTCTAAAGGATGACTTCATAGTAAATTCTGAAAAATTCGTTTCTATTTTTCCAAAAGATTAGGGGTAACAAGACAGTGAATTTCTGAGTCATGTATGAATGACTTGCCCAGTAAAATGTTTGCACATAATACTAAATATGGAAGGTGGAATGTCCCCAGTAAGGAGCACAAAGTCTAATAACATTCGAGCTCCTGTGAGCGCTGTTGATCTTGTCAACAAGAGGCAGCTTCGTTTCATCCAGGAAGTGAAAGTGCTGTTACTCAGGTGTGTTCACGACCCAGGAAGTCCCTTTGGAGACACTCAGAGGGCGCCTTAGGGTTCCCTTCCAGTCTCTGTCCCGTCCTTACTCAGGCGTGTGTACGTTACTGATGAGCCATGAGCTGGTCAATCCCCCTGCTACTCTGCACAAGTTTGTTGCCACCGCGGCCCACTGTCACAGCTGGTTTGCCCCTTCTGGGGTGAGTGGTTTTGGGGAAGGGGTTAGCAAACGCCCCTGTGAGCTGGACTGGTGCTCCCCGTGGCTGCCCTGGCTTCCCGGGCTCCTGACAGATCTCACAACGTGGTCGTTCCCCCTGCTCCTTTTCAGAATAGGAGACCAACCACAGTGCCTGAGCTGGAGTCCTTGGGCATCTCCACGGATGTGCCGCTCTGAACTAAAGGAAGGCCTCGCCTGAGGACCGTAGTCAGAGCGGCCTGTTTAGCACTGTTCCCACTCCCTGTAACGTCCATCTCTTCTGCCGAGGACCTCTGTGTTTCGGTCACAGGCCCCCATCATTTTCAATGCTTTCCAAAGTGGAATGCAGTCACTCTCAGTGTACACATTTAACCCCGTACTTTAGCACTTTAACATGCCCTAGAAGGGGCTGCGAGGTCTCCACCAGAGGAAATCTAAGTCTCTTAGGGGCTTGATTACAGCCTGGATGATTATTGCATATCCAGCCTGGTATTGCCTTTTTTCCTTGTCTTTCCTTTTTTTAATTTTTGTTAATAGCTTTATTGAGATGCAATTCACCCTTTGGGTGTACAGTTCATGGTTTTTAGTGTAATCACAGAGTTGTGCAACACAGTCAATTTTAGAGCATTTTCATTACTCCAGAAAGAAACCCCAAGCCCCATTTTCCCACAAGCCACCACAATCTACTATTGTCTCCATAGATTCTCCTATTCTGGATATTCCATGCAAGTGGAGTCACACAACATGTGACCTTTTGTGACTGGCTTCTTTCATTAGTGTAACGTTTTTCAAGGTTTATCCCTGTCATGGCATCTGTCAGTGTTCCATTCCCTTTTCAGTGCCAAGTTATATTCCATTGTCTGGTCAGGCCACATTTTGTTTATCTACTCATCAGCTAATGGACGTTTGGGTTGTTTCCAGTTTGGGGCTGTTGTGAATAATGCTGCTATAAATATTGGTGTACAAGTTTCTGTGTGAACATGTTTTCAATTTTCTAGGTTCTTTACCGAGGGTTGGAATTAACTCTGTGTTTAACTTTTGAGGAACTGCCAGACTATTTTTTCCCAAGTGGCTACACAATCTTATATTGCCACCAGCAGTGTATGAGAGTTCCAGTTTCTCCACATCCTCACCAAACTTGTTATATTCTGCCTTTTGAGTATAGCCTTCTCAGTGGATATGAAGTGGTAACTCATTGTGGTATTGATTCATTATTTCCCTGCTGGCTAACAATATTGAGTATCTTTCCATTTGCATTATCTTTGGAGAAATGTCTATTCAGATTCTTTGCTGTTTTTTAATTGGATTATTTGCCTTTATTATTCAGCTGTTAGAGATACAAGTCCCTTTTTAGATCTGATTTGCAGGCAGAAAATAGATTTTCTCCTTTTCTATGAGTTTTTTCACTCTTTTGATGGTGTCTTTTGAAGCTCCATTTTTCATTTTCATAAGTCCAATTTATATTTTTTTCCTTTGGTGGCATGTGTTTTTGTTGTCATTTCTAAGAAACTATTGCCTAATCCACATGCCCAAAGAAAACAGTTCCCACCTGTTTTCTTCTAAAAGCTTTATCCTTCAGCTCTTACATTTCAGTCTTCGACCCATTTTCAATTAATTTCTTTATATGGTGTGAGGTAGAGGTCTGACCTCATTCTTTTGCTTGTGGTATCCAGTTGTCACAGCACCTTTTGTTGAAAAGACCATTCTTTTATCTTGGCATCCTCTTAAAATCAGTTGGCCGTAAATGTATGTGTTTATTTCTGGACTCAGTTCTATCCCATTGATCTATTTGTCCTCAGGCCCATACCCACCCCCACCCACCACACTGATAACTGTAGCTTTAGAGTAAATTTTTAAATCGTGAAGTGTGAATCCTCCAACTTTTGGTGTTCAAGATTGATCTGGCTATTCTCTAACTTCCCTTGAATTTCTGTATGAATTTTAAGATGTCTTCATTTTTAAGATAAGCCCACCAATGAACAATATTAAGTTGGGATTTGGTGTGGAATGACCAAAAGATCTGTTCTGGATATGAGCCCTTCTGAAGGACAGACATATGAAGATGAGATTCTCCCTCACGAAGGGGCCAGAGAGTCACTGAACAGTAACAGGGGAAGGAGAAAGGAGCCGGACACCATCATTAGTTCATTGCCAAAGAGAGAAGGAACTGTGTCTTCAGTTCACGGGAGGGAGCGTACTGCGTGTGGTGCCAGCGGATTTCAAGGTAACTCTGGGACACAAAGTGAAGACGCTTTACCTGCTTTCCCGCAGCATCGCTGAGGCAGGGAGGGCAAGCCCTAGGCACAGGTCCCCGCCTTGTTGTGAGTCTGGCCCATCCTTTGCATGGTCATGCCAAGAAGAAAGAAGTTCATAGCAACCTGGGAAGACTCAGTCTGGGCTCTTCCTGGGCTCTGTTCCTGGTGTTCTGCCAGCGTTGTGGAAACGTCACCCCAGGGAATCTGTTTTTGAGTCATACATTATATCAGTGTGTACAGGCTTCTATCATCTGTAATTTGAATCATGTGTAGGAGGATTTTCTGGGCCTTTGGAAAGAACCTGTCAGGTGTATTTTAACTGGCAGCTCCATTTGCAGGGCAGACCGCGCCCTCCCTGCTCCACGGGCAGGGACTCTGACCCCGAGAGGGACGGCTGTCTTCTGAGCTCGGTCCTGAGGCAGCAGGTACCGTCTGGACCTTGGGGAGGACTGAGGATTGTTAGAAAGTCCCACTACCTGAGTAGTTTTAGTAAATCCAACCAACTAAGGTCATGTTCCTTTGAGCCACTTCAACTTCCTGTCCCTTTTCAGCCTTGCCTCTTCTCATCACCCGTCATGTTCTCCACAGCCGGATGTCATCCTTACTTTAAGGCACACACTGTTTTTCCTGTTTTTTATTTACTGCCAGTCAGTTTTCTTCTTAGGTGACCTTAAGCTGTCCTCTGAGGGCCTCGGTGTTCTGTGGTGGTAGAATTAGTGGTGTACATGATGGCGTTCAAGATTTCACCCCAAGTACACGCCAAGCTAGCTAGCTGGCTGTTTTGTGGGCACTTAGCAAAGTCACCAGACTCCCGGGTCAGAGACTGAGGACTTGGAGACTCAGGGCACAGCCAGCAGCCGGAGGGCGCGTCTGCGTCAGTCCGCGCCCCGCAGGCCCATCAGCCCAGAGGTGGCTTTGCATCACAGCTGAGAAACACCCAGCGGGGGTCACTCACTGCGTCCACGGTATGGAAGCCAAGCCTGCTCTTCGTCCGCGAGGAAATGGGCGTCACCCCAGAAGCTGCTCACCGCACACAGCCCTGAGAAATGGCCCGGGGCAAGGGCCGGCAGCGCTGGGCACCCCGGTGTACCCCAGGAGCATGGCGTCGCTCAGGGCCAACTGGTTTGCGTCTCCCCGCCAGTGGCCCCAGGCGAGCAAGAAAGCCGTGCGCATGTGTGTCTGTAGTTACCGACAATCCCCTTTTTAGTAATTCGGAGGAAATCGGAGCTGCTAGGGGCTGGTGTCCCCCCCCTCCTGTTCCCTGGCCAGGGCCCACACAGGCTCTCCCAGCAGCCCTCTTGATTTGCCTTATCTGCCTCTGCTTTTATTCATAGTTTCCTGATTCTTTGAAAACAGAGGACTTTTGGTCTTGTATTTATTTAGGGGGCCAGATGTTAATATCTGGAGGGCCATGAGTTTGGTTTTATTTCTGGATTACTTGTTTTCTAAGACTCCTTGAAAATGTCCAGCCACACTGCCAATTGCCCAATCCGATTTAATTTTCTAAGTACCCCTTTCCAGCGTGTTTACCGGAGCAACTCCACCTCTGACGACAGACCCAGTGTGACACTTCCAGAGGCATGTTCATTCAGGCCAGGCGTCATTGACCGATTAGGCATCTATAAAATCAGTTCTGATGTTTACCATGGCTATTGAACTGTCTTTTCCTAGGAGTCTGGGGAATTTTTAAATCCCCAAAAGATAAACACAGGAGACTCTGAAGAGCTCAGTATTGGACATCTTCAGACACCGAATGGATGTGTTCAGGGCTTCCCTAGAGAGGGGTTCCTAACGACCCTCCCATGCTTAGGGCTCAGCCCTCTAGAAGCCCATGTCCATTTTCAGCCACCCTTCCCCTAGATTGGCGTGCACATCTGCTCTGGGGAACCCAGCCCTGCCCTTGGGTCTGGACATGGGATGGGACCCTTCTCACAGACAGGCTGGACCAGCGTTAGGCGGTGGGAGCGAGCCAGCACTCAGGGCCCAACATGCCCTCACTTCCAGATGCACGTGGGTGCCACCGTCTCCCAGCCCCTTCCCAGTAAGACATTCCGGCCACGGGACAGAGTGTGGTGGGAGTCCCTAGTGGTCCAGCCTCAGCGGCCCTACTGGCCCCGGAAAGCCTCCACCCTCAAGTCCTCCCTTGTGTCTTCTCCTCAGAGACGGGCAAGTGTCTCTCTCGAGCCAAGTCCTCGCCCCAGGCCTGGCTGTCCTGCAGCAGGGCGAGTGGCGTGGAGAGCTGCCGGCTTTCCTGCCCGGCACACACACTCTTCATGCCAGGTAACCTGAGGCTGTCCCTGGGATGGGATGCTGAGGGGGGCCTTCTTCCCTGGGGTCCAGCCCCCACTCCCTGCTGTTCTCCCGGAAAGATCCTGACCCTGATCCCTGAGTGACCCCGGGCAGCTGTCTGGTTCTCTGGGGGCCACTGTGTCCCCCTTGATAAGTGCAATGGGCTCATTCCTGCCCAGCCACTTACCCCAGAGTCATGTGGACATAAGGGTCCATGCTGACCTTCATCTCCATTGACTCAGTGACCCCTCTGAGACCCCCTGCATCTTGGGGCACTGGAAGGAAGGGGCGTCCAGGCCCACCTCACTACTGGCCTCTCTGCAGACTCGGAAAACAGCTACAGCCTGAGCTGCGGTGTCCCGGGTCTCCAGGGCAAGACGCCACAGAGACGCAACAGCACCAGCTCGAGCACCAGGCCCAGCTGCTCAGGTAGCCCCTGGCCTGCCCATGTGGCATCTGGGCGACCCCTTTCTTTGCGTCTGGCACTATGCGGGGGGTAGGAGGGAAGAGCCCAGACCCGGGAAGAGCCTCCTGGCCTGCAGCCTGCCCAGCATGGCCCAGGGTGCTAGGGAGCTGAGAGCAGGGCCAGGACCTAGGAGCAGGCAAGCTGCAGGCCGAGTCCCAGCCCAGGGACAGTGGACCATGGAAGGGCCCTTCCTGCCCTGAGGCTCAGGGCCCCAATTCCAGAATAACTCTGTGACGCACAGGTGCTATGAGTCTGTGTTAGACTCAGTTTCAGTGAAGTGAGTAACATCTGCTGTGGCCATGACATTGTAAAGGATCCCAGAGTCAGAGCTGCCCTGGAAGCCCCTGCCCCGAAGTGCTGGAGGCATGGCACACTCCAGAGCCCTTTGGGACCAACTCGCCGGGTCCCAGTCAGCACGGCACAGCCAGCCCCCCGCCGCCAGGGGCTTTGCCTGCTCAGTACGCCACGCTCAGCAGCATGGGCATCTGCGTGTGTCAGACACACATGTGACGGGACTCCAGCATCTGTGACCGCAGGCTCTTGGGTCCAGAGGCTCTGGGCACCTGTCTTCAAACCCCTCCCCTTCATGCTTCCCTCTCTAGTTCGGTCCGCTGTCCTGAAAGCTGGGGCCCAGTGAGCTGGCCTGGCGGCTGGCGTGGAGGCAGGCCGCCTTCCTTTCCTCCCACGCAGGGGGTCTCTGGCTGGATGGCTTGAGCTTGACCCCACCATCCACACTTCCACCATTTTCAGGCTTCACAGGGAGAAAAATGAGGCTGAGGAGGTACCCCCGCCCCAGTTCCCCGTAGCTTTGTGCCCCCGGAAGCCCCTTACACTCGGGCACTCCCTCCACAGCCCCCGCCACCTCCCTTCCCACAGGAGAGGCCACACCTGGGGGGATTTTGGCTCTCCCCAGGTGCCCCTGCCAGCCCCATCAGGCAGAAGGCCCGCTTCAAGATCCGGGACGCCAAGTGCCACCTCCGGCCCCGCGGCCAGGAGCCAGCAAAGGAGGCCCCTAGGCAGCCACTGCTGGGTGAGTGGGCCACCTGGTGCCAGCCCGCGCCCGGGGAGACGGGGGCCCCCATGCCTGGGAGTGGCGAGCCCAGGGCTCAGCGGGGCTGGGTTTCCAAGGGAGGGGGCCTCTCTGCATCCTCCTGTCCTGGCACCATAGTCCAGGAGCCACACCTGGTGCACTGCAGACTGAGGTGGGGTCCTTGGGAGGAAGGCCAGCATCTGAGTGGAAAACTCGGGCCCCCCAGCATCCCTGGGCTCCGTCATCCCCGCCTCACCCGAGTCAGGTGAGCCCCCAAAGCAGGGCTTTCTGAGCCTGGTTGTGTCCAAAGGGAAGGAATTCTGGGCTCCATCAGGGGCTCTCTCTTAAATGAGGGTGGCCAAGAAGGATGTTCTAGGCTGAAGGGACAGCACAGGGAAAGCTCGGCAGAAAGGGCCCAGGAGGAAAAAATCCCAGCTCTGTTCCATGAAGCGTCCTGAGCTCCCAGGACCGCTCCTCAAACCCGCCAAGTCCCAGCACTCAGCAGGCCTGACCCGGGCCGAGTTGCCCGGAGCTGGAGCACAGCCTCACTAGCAAATACGCTGCAGCAGTGCGGTGGACTCTGGGAGCTGGCGCAGGGCCTGGCTCGGCCACCAGCCCCCCACAAGACCTCCAGCCAGCCCAGCCTCTCTAGCCTCAGTTTCCCCGTCTGCTCCATGGACTATTAGGCAAGGGGAGACCCCTGCTGATGGCAGTATGTGTGCTGGGCTAGGTAGGACCCTGATCCCTGCCCCAGGCCACCTTTGCCTCAGGGGTCTCTTCCTTGTCCAGAAAACTGCCACGTGACCTTTGTGACCCTCAAGTGTGACTCCTCCAAGAAGAGACGCCGTGGCCGGAAGTCCCCATCCAAGGAGGTGACCCACATCACAGCAGAGTTCGAAGTCGAGACAAAAATAGAAGAGACCTCAGGTGAGCGAGGTTCCCTCATGGGCGCCGAGGGCCACAGGACGGCAGGCAGGGCTGGCGGGCCTGTTGCTGGGTGCCCACCGGAGCCATGGCTGCTGGAGGTAGAAGCCAGCCAGGCAGCCAGGGTTCTGTGCCAGGCCCTTAAAACTGCTGCCTGTATCCCAGGATGGGAGAGAAGGCCCATGGGCTGTGAGAGTAGCAGGGTTCAGGAGCCCACAGTGACAGCCCCTCGGCCTCACTTCACCTCTCCACACCCTTGCTGAGGCCTGGAAGACAAAACATACTCAGGCCCACAACCTCCCCAGAAGGGGTGAGCTAAGGATCTGTCTTTCCCAGGTTCCCGGTGGGGACTTGCCATGCTAGCTCATGCTTCCTACCAGCTCTTTCCTCTTAACTGTAAACGAGTATTGAGTTGTCAGCAAATGTGTGCTGCGTGTGCCTGGCCCTGGGCACTATGGAAAGCCAGGACTGGACCGTGACACCCATGCTGGCAGCACTCCCAGCCATGGGGAGGCAGACGCACGCAGACTACCCAGGCCGAGGGAGACACTTGGTGGTAGGGGCATGAGAACAAGCAGGGCGCAGAGCTAAGTTCTCTCCCCAAGAGAGGCGCCCAGGAAGTCTTCCCAGAAGAGGCACCATTTGAATCAGGACTTGAAATCAAGGTTCCAAATGGTGCAAGAAGTGCCAGGGAATGGCATCGGGGCAGAGGAAATATAATAGGCCAAGGCAGAGAGGTCAGAGAGGGCAGGATGTGTTCAGGAGGCAGTGAGTAGGGCAGTGGCTAGAAAGTGGAGTGCACAGTGAGTATTGAGTGCTGGGAGGTTGGGGCTGGCAAAACAGGAGGCCGAGTCTGGACCACAGGGGGCCTTGGATTCGAGGCCAGAGAGCTGGGCATGATTCTGGGGACAGTGGCAGCCCCAGGGGTATTTGAGTGGCAGAGAGGAGCACCCTTCAGTGAGTTCTGCCCTGGCAGATGATGTGTTGGGCAGCAGAGGCCTGGTTTCTACTCCTCTTTGCTATGTGACCTGACTTACCTCTTGGGGCCCTCGGTCTCCTCATCTGTCAGAGGGACGCAACAAGGCGAATGCACTCCGAGCACTCTGAGCAGAGGCCCAGCCAGCGCAGTGCCTGGCAGAGGGGGCCTGGCAGAGGCAGCTCCTAGGGGCGTGTGAGTTACCGTCTCTCCCGCCTCTGCAGATGCCTGTGACGCAGACTGCACGAGGAAGCGAGCGGAGCAGAGCCTGCAGGCCGCCATCAAGACTCTGCGCAAATCCGTCAGCCGGCAGCAGTTCTCTGTCCAGGTCGCCGGCACTGAGTACGAGGTAGCCCAGTGGCCGGCCAAGGCCCTGGAGGCCCAGGGGCCATGTGGCGCAGGCCAGGTGTTACAGGATGGCCAATGCGGTGAGTCCCTGCCCACGGCTGCTCTGACGTCAGTGTGGCAGACTTTCTCTGTCCTTCATCCCCGTGCAGCACACAGGGGAGACAGACATGTTGGGCCGGCACAGACACAGGGAGGCCTGCCAGAGAGAAGCACCCTGGCACTCATTGTGTACATGACGGCTGTCATGGCAAGGCTATCACTTGGTGAACGTTCCTACATGGGACCCTCAGCCATCAAGGGCACAGTGGAGGGGCCCAAGGGGCATAGGGACCAGTCTCTGTGGTTAGAGAAGGCTTCCCAGAGGAGGAGGCGTGGGTGCAGAGTGCAGGTACATCAGAGGCTGAGGGCCATGCAGGGTGCAGCCAGGCACTGCAAAGAGCAGGTGAGGCCAGGCCCACAGCCAGGCTCGGGGTGGGTGGCCAGCCAGGGTCCAGGTGGATGAGGCTGGTGACTGGACCAGAGCCCTGGCGCAGCCTGCTGAGAGGGTCTAGAGAAGCCCCCAGTAACCAAGTGGCCGTGAACCTGACAGAGTCCTTTTCCTAATGGGGTTTACGCTTATGTGGAAAGCAGGCTGACCTTGCAAGCACACCCACGGGCCAGACAAGGCCAGAGGCAGGAGGGGCCTTGCAGGCCTCGGTGCACGCCCTGGGGACTGCCGGAACACCCTAGGCAGAGGAGCGCCTCTGCTGCGTTCTGGGAAGGCCACGTGGAGCAGGGAGGGAGAAGAGACCCAGAGAGAGAGGCGGGGCCCAGACCAGGTGGCCGCAGGAGGGGTGGGAAGAATGAGACAAGTTCAGAGGACACCTTGGAAAGGGAGGCCAGGAAGAGACGGAGGGCAGCTCCCGGTGCGGGCCACATGGGTGGGGTGAGAGGGTGCAGGGCATCATTTCCCGATCTGAAGGAGACTTGGGGAAGATGGGTTGGTGGAGATGGGGAGCTCTGACTGTTCTTGTCAGCCCAAGACGCCCTCGAGGCATCCGGGTGAGGATGGTGACAGGGCTGGTGGAGATGGAGTGCAGAGCATACACTGGGCCAGAGGCACGAGGGGGGACCTTTGGAGAAGACGCAGGGTTGGGGTGAGGCAGTGCAGGCAGGACCCTGAGCAGCAAGCAGGCAGATGTCGGGCAGGGGCAAGGGGCTGGGTGATGGCATTCTGGGGTCTTCAATAACTTATTTTGAAACCACTTCAAACTTTCAGAAACATTGCCAGACAGAACAAAGAACTTCCGTATTCTGTCCACCCAGGCTCCCCAGCTCGAGCCGCTCACAGCGGCTGCTGCACCCGCCCTCCCGCGTGTGCACGTGCTTCGCACCTGGGCAGCCTGTACCTCACCATCCATCCACACACATTAAATGTCAACAAGTCCTCCAGCGGCATCCCCTTCCTGTGCAGGAATGCAGGTGACATTCCGTCCTCCAGACTCCAGGGCCCTCTCCTTGGGAGCGGCCCCTCGAGCTTTCCCTGCCTCTGGTCTCCTTGGCCGTCCCTAAACTCTAAGTATGACCCTCCGCTGGGTGACCAGACGCAGGGCTGCACTTGGCAGGAAGACTGCAGCCGAGGCTGCTCTTCAGCGCCCCCACCAGAGGCGGGGACCCGACCTGGCCGCCGCGGCTTCCTCCACCCCAAGGCACCGGCTTCCCCCAGGCTGATTCGGGTTTTCTGGGAGTATATTCTGAGTTTATACCAACACCCTGCTCCTCATCAAACTTCCACCCCGCACTTTATTTTCTCCATCAGTTCCCCTATTTGCTCGCCAGCTGGCTTACTTTCTCAGTGCAGCCCACCGCGCTGGCTGGCTCTTCAGCCCGCCGTCCCTGCGCTGACCTCTGCCATCAGGCCTTCCTGTCCGGGTCTCTGTCACCGCCCAGCCTCTCTGCACTACCCCGTCCTTAGGGGCCAGCTTGCCACATGGGGAAGGAAGGGAAGGCAGGGAGTTCGGTTCGGGCAAAGTGACTGTGGGACTACCGGGACAAAGGTGGTACCCAGGCTACAGGGGCAGGGCTGGAGGGTAGGTTGTGGAGCAGAGAGCAAAGGTGCCAGTGGAGCCCTGTGACCCCAGGCATTTACGGGAGGGCTGAGGCAGCCCCGTCTGCAGAGCGCCCTGAGCAGAAACAGCCAGGAGGGGGCGCCCTCAAGCCTCCTTTGCCCTCAAGCCAGACCAGAATCAGGCCTCAGGAGTCCTCACGCAAGGCCGGCATGGCTCCTACCCCAGGCTCTTCTCTGATGGGTGTGGGCCCCACTCTGCCCTTTGAGGGACAAGGGCTGTGCCCTTTCTGTAAGAGCCTGGGCTTGAGGCATCAAGAGACAGATGGCCTGGCCCCTGCTGCCCACCTCTGCCTCCAGCAATCTTTCCACTTTGCCTCCACAGTGGCCTGCAGGCCTGGAACCCACTTCAGTGGAGAGCCGAGCCAGTGTGTGCCGTGCACGCCGGGGACCTACCAGGACAAGGACGGCCAGCTCAGCTGCACGCCGTGCCCCAGCAGCGATGGGCTTGGCCCGGCCGGTGCCCACAACGTATCCGAATGTGGAGGCAAGTGTGGGTCCACCCTGGAAAGGGAGGCCACAGCCTGGGGGACAGGAGAGCCTCCCAGGGCTCCCAAAGCAAAGGCCAGGTGCCTTGTGTTACTTTGTAAAGCTCTTTGCCGCCTCCAGAGCCTGCCATGACTTCCCGTGCAGCTGCATTTCCAAAGTGCCTTGCAGACCCTCAGCGCCCACAGTTAGCAAGCACTGGCTGCATCTTGAAGTTGCATCATGCAGTTTGGAAAGGACTTTACAGTTCACCAACACTTGGTCATTTACAGGTCACCTTACCACTTATAATGGAGGGTACTGCTTTATGGTCAACCAAACGTGTTACCTTGTATGGAGCACTCCATCATCGAAATGCTGCATGGAGTGTGCCGTTACCTGGACGAGGACGTGCCCTACACAGAGAACTTTACAGTTTGCCCTAACAATGGCTTGGAAAGCCCTTTTTCAATTTACCAAGCACGATTCGGTTTGCCAATGGCTTTACCATTTACTCTCCCACTCAACCTCATCTGTGAAATGGGTGCATAGCTCCACCACCACCACCACCAGCCTCCCTTCCTGGGCCATTGTGGGGTCACCTGAGAGAATGGGTGGGGAAGGGCGTACCTGTGAGGGTGGGGAAATGGGATCCTTAGGGTGGTAGACACCTGCAGACTCCTCTGGGGCACCGAAGAGATGAAAGGCCAGCCTGAGCTCTGCAGGCTGGCTCACTGTGCCCCCCAGGAGAGCAGCCTCCACCCCAGGGGATGGCGATGAGCACAGAGTGGCCACTGGCAGAACAGAATTCCGGGGTCTGGGCTAAGGGGGCACTAGTGCCACCCCTCACTCCCTGCTTCAGTGAATACCCTGTACCTCCAGACTTTCTGCTGGGGTGTGTTGCCCCCTCCTTTGTCCGAACTGTGCCCTCAGGCACCCCACAGACCCTCCTCCATCTGCCGTAGCCCAGCCCTGCAGCCAGACAAGGGGCCTCAGCCTGGAGCTTGAACAGCCCCAGTTATGGGAAGGCCCAGGGTGGTCAGCCCCCTGGGGACAGCCCCTCAGAAATAAATGACCTCCCTCGGCCTCCCACCTCCCCATGTGGGGTCCACACTCCCTAGCTTGACAGCAAAGCTACTTTTTCTTCCACCCCTTCTCACAGGAGGGGAAGAGTAAAGCCAGGTCTAGCCGAGGCTACACAGGGCTTGAGCTGCGGCCAGCATCCGGCCAGGGGCCAGGCTTGGCCCAGCCCAGACCCCCGCCCCCAGGCACCCCCACCCCAGCCTGAGCTGTGACCTCTGCCTTCCAGGCCACTGCCTTCCCGGCTCCTTCTCTGCCGACGGCTTCAGGCCCTGCCAGGCCTGCCCTGTGGGCGCGTTCCAGCCTGAGCCTGGGCGCACCAGCTGCTTCTCCTGTGGAGGGGGCCTGCTCACCAAGCACGAGGGGGCGGCCTCCTTCCAAGACTGTGAGGCCAAAGGTGAGAACGCCCCCACCCCACCCCCCAAGGGGCCAGCTGGGCTTTTCCCTGAACCCCTATTTCCTGCTGTGGCAAACCACTAAGGTCAGAGCAGCCCGGAGCCAGCAGGTGGTGGACACTGGTGCCCAGAACTGTGCCACACGCTAGGACGGGGACAACATGGGGTCCAGCACAAGCCTGCCCAAGAGTCTCAGATGAGAGGGCCAGGCAGGCACAAGAGTTACAGTCTGGAACTTTGAGCCCCCAGAGCACCAGCTGGGGGCCGCCAGGTCCTCGGGGTGCTGGGAGAGCTTTGCACTGTGCTGGCAGGCAGGTGGAGGGGGTGGAGGGAGGGGCAAGAGGGGGCAGCAGGGGTGGAGGCCGAGGCCAGAGGTCTCCCCTTCCCTGGAGGCCCTCCCTCCAGGCTGCACGGGGTCTGGCAGCCCCTCCGGTTCCCCAAACTGCCCCCCAGGCCCCATCTCCACTGCTGACCTTGCCCTCCCCCCGCCCCCTCCCAGCTGAGGCCTTAGGGACGGTGTCCCCGCTGGCTGACATACTGCCCCAAACCCTCCCACTCTGGAAAAGGAAACCCCAGCTCTCTACCCCACCTCCCCCGAGATGCCCACCAGCTTTTCTGCCTTCCCTGTCGGCCTTGTAGAAAGCACGTCTGGATCCTGCCTCCTATCTTGCCCTTTTCTCCGGAACAGCCTGCTCACTGTCCCCAGCTACTCCCGATAATCGCCCCCATCGAGGTGGCAGTGGGAGCCCCAAGTTGCTTGGGCAGCAGTCAGTCCCCATCTCTGGTGGCCGCAGCCTGTAGCCCTGCCCGGCTCATCCTCACACACCCCTCCCCCTAGCAGTGCTGGGGTCCCAGTCCCGTGCATGCACTCGAGTCTGAGTAAACCCATCTGCTCACCGGGAAGAGCAAGCTGCCTGGTGACCCCCCCGTGTCTCCGGTGCAGCCCCTCCCTGAGCTCAACACCACCCCCCCTGCCAGGCCACAGCTCCTCCAGCCCCGCACACCCGGAGCCCTGGTCCCCTCCCCTCTAGTCTCTGCAGCTCCGTCCTGCCCTGCTGGGTGCCCCGGGAAGCTGTGGAGTCCCCCAAGCTCTCTTTCTCTCTGACCCCACTCCAGTCTGTCTGCAGCCCCTGCCAGCTCGTCCCCATGGCCTCTGAGCCCCCCTCCAAGCACCCCCCACCCCAGGACCTGTGCTTTCCCTCTCCTGCCCCAGAGAGCCTCGCGGGCTGCTCTGGGCTCCACACAAAATCCCTTGTGCTGCCTTCGCTGGCCTCCCCTGAGGACTCTATAGGCAGCCTTACATTTCCTCCCTCCCGTCCATGCCACCCCACTCTGCATCCAGAGCAGTGGGCCTGGGATGTCAGCCTGAGGGCGGGCACTCAAGCTGGGCTGCCGAGTACCATCTGCACAGCCATGGACAGGGCCAGGAAATGGAGCGGGGGCACAGGGCCCCGGGGAAGGGCCCCGAACACAGTGCTGACAGACCTGGAAGGCAGGGAGACCTGGGGAAAAGGCCTGCCTTTCCCACCAGCCCCTGTGCCGCCCCCACAGTGCACTGCTCCCCCGGCCACCACTATAACACGACCACCCACCGATGCATCCGCTGCCCTGTGGGCACCTACCAGCCCGAGTTTGGCCAGAGCCACTGCCTCAGCTGCCCGGGCAACACCAGCACTGACTTTGACGGCTCTACCAACGTCTCGCACTGCAAAAGTAGGTGCTGCTCCTCCCACGGCTGGGAGCTGGGAGTGCTGGGAGGGCTGGAGGGGCAGGTGAGCCCTGACCTCACATCGCACGGGCAGGCAGACCGCCGGCTCCTCCCTGTGCAGTCACGTCCACACTGGCACGGCGGGACGTGCTGGGAGCTCTGCGTCCGCCAGGAGCCCATGGTGTGGAGGGTGCAGCCTGGCCCGGTGCCGCTCACTAGGCCCTGCTCAGGGATCTGGTCTAGGGAGGGAAGAGCCAGGCTCCATGCCAGGGGTCCTGTGGGGCAGCTGCCGAGGGCTGGGCCCTGCAGCGGTAAAGGCACCCGTGGAGGCTGCCAAGCGGGCAGGAAGCAGTGCGCCCAGCATGTCCAGTGTGGAGGGGCAGACTGTCTCCTTTTGCCTCTGGGAAGCTCAAGAAACATGGTAGAACAGGAAGCTTTGGGCATAGACAGCATCCCAGCCCCCACTCAGCCAGTCACCAAGCATGACAGAGAGGACGCTGCCTTCATGTTACATGTTTGTAACTCATTTCCCAGAGTCCTTTGGGGCATATTTTCTGGTATTTTGCTCTCTCCCCAATCAATTTCCAGCCAGTTACCCCTTCCTGCGCCACTGGTCATGTTTGCCACAGCCTAAAGGACCATGAAGGGACTGTGTGCTGGAGGTGGGAGCCGTCCCCTCTGCCTGGAGCTGTCCCCGCCTGGCCTGTGGCCACCTGGGCTGGAGGACAGACACCCTGGCAGAGCTCAACAGAGATGGGGTTTTAAAAATCCTAAGGAGGGTAAGGGGGAAGCCAAGTGGGAGGGAAGCTTCTGGAAGATAAGGTGAAAATGAAATCTGTCCTTTTCCATTGATAGAAGGAGAAGATATTGAAAATGTATGGGAAAACCATGTATATTTAATTCAATTTACATTCAGTTCTGTTTGCATAACTAAGGTGACTTCCTTTATAAAGTTAAGCCTGGGAACCATTTAGCTCATAAAAATGTCACTTTGGCCTCTTCAAGGGTAAACAGCTTAATAAGAAAAAGGAGAACGTGTCTCTTTTTCTCTCTGTGTTGCCTGCTTGTCCCCAAGCCTGCCTGCTCAGTGGAGAGGGCGACCACACTTGGCACACACAGGCACTCGGGGACTGCTGAGTAAAGGGGTGGGCAGACAGGAAGTAGGGGACAGGGATGTCGGGGCTCACTTGGGCTTTTGCTGTGAGCAGCAGTGACACTAGGAAGAGAAGCAGGGGCTGACAGAGCAAGCAGACAGCGTGCAGGGGTGCTCAGTGGGCCAGCCACATGGCACCCCCACAAGGCCCGGTCACAGAACAGCCAGGCCAGGCAGCCAAGGGTGCCCAGTGAGAAGACACTCGGGCTGGGCCTCAGAGAACCAACACAGAAATGGGGACCTGCCCTCCCACTGAGGAGCAGCCCAGGTGGGGTCCCTAAGAGGGGAGGACCAGGTGGAGGGGACCACATGAGGTGGAGCACCTGCCAGCCTGCCCTGGGCCTCCAGGGCCCGTGTGCCCTGGTCTGACAAGACCCACGCCCTGGTGTCCACAGACCAGCACTGCGGTGGTGAGCTAGGCGACTACACGGGCTACATCGAGTCCCCTAACTACCCCGGCGACTATCCGGCCAACGCGGAATGCGTGTGGCACATCTCGCCGCCCCCCAAGCGCAGGATCCTCATCGTGGTCCCTGAGATCTTCCTGCCCATTGAGGACGAGTGCGGCGACGTCCTGGTCATGAGGAAGAGCGGTACGTGCAGGCCGAGCGGGGCCGCAGGGCCAGCCCAGCCTGCACCCCTCAGCCTCAGGGCAGCTCTGCAGGGCAGGGCGAGGGCCCCGGGCTTCACCTGGGCGGCAGGGTTAAAGCCACTCCCATCTGACTCTGAGAGCCAGGCTTTACAGAACTCCAGAAAGTGGTCCAGACAGCTTAGGGGGGCCAAGGTGTGGGCATCAGAGCCCAGAGCTTAGGGGGACCTACGTCCTGGCCAAGAATGGTTTGGTACTGACCACCAGCCAGTGTCTTATCCCAGTTGTCCCACTGCATCCTGCACACCACCCAGTGGGAGACCCAGGAATGGCCCCTACACTGCAGGGCGTCCTCCACCCGGGCGCTTCTGGGGTGCACTGAAGAGCCAGCCAATGCACACACCCAAGGCGCCCCAGGGTCAGACAGCCCATCCCCTCTCCTGGCTGGTCACCCCGCCAGGGGCTCAGGGGAGACTTTAGGCACTGAGCAGCAGCAGGCCCCTCAGCAGGGGTGACGACCAGTGTGTACCGAGATTGGCTACAACCCCAGGAAAGGCAGGGAAGCCCCTGCACCCCCCGGGACCAGCATGTGCCTAGGCCCAGCACCTCACGCCTGCTGCGGGGCCTCCGTGCCACAGGGAACCAGCTCCCAGTCACCACCATGGGCCAGAAGGAGGCACGTGCAGGCACAGAAACATGCCTGCCCACCGGGGCCTGGAGTGTCTGTGATACAGAGACGGGCAGAGGAGCGGGAGGCTGAGGGGTTCTGTCCTCTCCGTGCCCTTCCTCTGTTTGTTTCGTTAGTGTGTCCATACATCGCCCATTCAGTGCCACTGATGTGCCAGAAGGCGCCAGTGTGCAAACAGGAGGCCTGAGGCCAGAAAGGGCAAAGTGCCTGCCCGGGGTCACACAGCCAGTCAGAGCCCAGCCTGGGACGGTCTCCCCAGACACTCCCATTATCCACCTCTCTCCACGTCCCCAGAATCCTTTCCTCCACTGTCCACCCCCAGGGCTGAGCTCTAGGGGGTCCAGCCTCTCCAGCTTTGAGGGCCCCCCAGGAAGACCCCCAGGGAGACCCCCCGGGAGCAGTGAGGAGGTGGGGTACCCTTTGGCCAGCCCCAGGAACCCCAGGGGTCAGCAGCTCCCCCTGGTTCATCACCCACAGGGGGCAGGCCTTCCTCATCTGCCCCTCTGCCACAGCCTGGCTCTGTGCTGTGTGCAAGCACCCTGTCCTCGAGGAACACTTGGCTGGAGAGAGACAGTACCAACCTGACAAAGAGAGGCTTTAATAAAGGTGTCACCAAAGCACAGTGGAAATATGGCAAGGTGGGGATGGAGCAGTCAGGGAGGCTTCCTGGAGGAGGGGGCACAGAAACTGGTCTGAGAAGGATAAGTAGGAACTGGGATTGAGAGTAGGGAGAGGATTCGAGGCAGAGGGAACAAGTGAGGAGACTAGAGAGCTGAGTGTTTGGGGGACCGGTCACTGGATGCTGGGCAGCTGACGGGGGAGAGGACCGCAGCCTGAGGCAGGAGGCAGGCCAGGCGAGGGCTGAGGACCTGCAGGCAGCTCACCAACAGTGGCCTCGGCCCCCAGCCTCGCCCACATCCATTACCACCTATGAGACCTGCCAGACCTACGAGAGGCCCATCGCCTTCACCTCCCGCTCCCGGAAGCTCTGGATCCAGTTCAAATCCAACGAGGGCAACAGCGGCAAAGGGTTCCAGGTGCCCTACGTCACCTACGATGGTAAGCGCGGCTGCACTGTGTGCCAAGCCCCACCTGGCCCTGGGGACACAGAGACAAATCTCACTCCCCATCCCCAAGGGGCTCCAGCCTGGCATATGCCCACAGGCCCACAGGGTACAGTGTGGGCAGACGCAGAGCAGTTAGGGTGTCCTCAGGGTTCAGTACGAGGTACTGCCCAAGCAGGGTTTTGAGAGTTACATAAGAGTTTCCTAGCTAGCCAAACCTCAAGGAGAACAGTCTGGGTGGAAGGTACAGAGGCACAGAAGCCGAGCTGCTCTAGCTGCAGCCTGAAGCCTGAGGCTAGAGCAGGGGAGGGCCGAGGCGGACGTGAGGGGGAAGAGGCAGGGCCTCGCCCCTTCACCTACCTTCCCTGCTGTGGGTTTACAGAGGACTACCAGCAACTGATAGAAGACATCGTTCGGGATGGACGGCTCTACGCCTCGGAGAATCACCAGGAAATTCTGAAAGTGAGTGAGCTTCTCTACGGGAAGGGATGCCTATAATCCTGGGATAGGGGCCTGCAATGGTCCAGGGCCATTCATGTCCCCGGCTCTGCCCTCCAGTCCCCCAGAGAAGGGAGGGGAGAACGGTGGTGACGGAGAGGAGAAGGTGATGGGGGGGCCCTGGGGCCCGGGTCTGGCACATCTGTCCTTCCAGACCAGGAGGCCTGAGTGAGTCTGGTGGGTCCAGCCCAGGACCTGGGGACACGGGTTTGGGGAGGTTCCTCACTAACCCTCAGCCACACGTTTCTCATTTGGGAGATGGGATAGTTTGACACGGTGGCGTCTGAAAATCAGTGGCATCCCTGCCACCTTTGGGACTGACTCCTTCCTCATTCTGCTTTTAGTAGAGCCACCTTGCCACCGAGGGGGCTTTGGCCACCACGCAGCAGGCACCGGCCATGTCAGGGCCCTCGGCTCTCACCATGAGAGGCCAGACCCCAGGATCTGCCTGGGCTCTGGGAGTCTGGCCCCAGCTCAGCCTCTGGGCAGACAGCACCTCCAGCCTGGGAGCCCAGGTGGAGTAGACATGGAGAGCAGGGCTGGGCCGGTCCACCTGGCTCACTCCTGCTCCAGCTGTTACCAGCTGGGGAACCCCAGCAGGCCCCCTGGACCCTCCCTCTGGGTCTGAGAAACAGGGATGGCTCGCAGGGCTGGGGCTTCACCAGGCCTGCTGCGCTTCTGCTTACGGTAGTTGGTTTTAAGTCCAAGGTTTCACGTGCTGCGGAGACACCCAGGGTGAGACCTGGAGGTCTCGAGCACAAAGCTGCGCACCTCCTCAGGCTCAGCCATCTGTCTAGCAGGAACCAGAGGGCCATCCGGGGATGATGGCACCCCTCTCTCCCCCTCGCCCTCCCCTGCTGCCCCAGCCCTCTGCCCTGGGAGCTTCTCCACAGAACTACAGGTATTCCTGTCACTCAGGACAGAAGCCTTGGCCAGCAAAACCTGGCCAGGTGTGGCCACACCTGCCTCTGCAGCAGCTCTTGGGCCACATTCCCCCAAGGCCTCCCCAGCATTCTTCCCCGACCTCTTTCCTTAGTGAATGTCCACCCCTCCTTCTGCTCTCAGCTCAGCGTCTGTTCCCTGGGCAGGTCACAGCCGCCTGGAGTCCCACAGGGCAGGGTCCTCCGTGGCACCTGGCAGTTGAGGTTTGTTCTGAGTGTTTGGTCCCCCGCCCGCTGGGGGCAGTTGCTGCTGAGGTTCTGGCCCAACACTGTCCCCAGCCTCTGGTCCTGCCCAGCACACAGGGGACTCATGAGTTTTTCTCAGGGTGGCGGGTGTGTGTGCACAGTTGGTTTGGTTTTTGCAGCAGAACCCTTTTTAAATAAAATATTAGTGAAACCCCAAGAGTTAGAACCAAAAAACTATTTAAAAAAGAATTCAACTATTAAAACCAAAAAAGCGTTCATGGCAAAGAGTCAATGGGGTCCTGCAGCCCACCAGCCATCCCAGCCTCTGCCCCCCCCGCATCCTTGCAGACACCTCACAGGCCCCTTCAGGGCCTTCACCCCCCAGCCCCCCAACCCTTGGCCTCACCCAGCCTCCCTTTGCCTTGCAGGACAAGAAGCTGATCAAGGCCCTCTTTGACGTGCTGGCACACCCCCAGAACTACTTCAAGTACACAGCCCAGGAGTCCAAAGAGATGTTCCCCAGGTCCTTCATCAAACTGCTGCGCTCCAAAGTGTCCCGATTCCTGCGGCCTTACAAATAGCGCTGGTGGAGCCGCCCTGCTTGGGGATGGCCTGTGTCCCAGGGGAGGGGAGAGCGCCTTCCCTCCACAGGAGAAGCTGAAAGGCAGCCCACAGCCCCCACGCAGCCTTGGAGATCACCATGGCGGCTGCCCTTCAGGAAACGCAGACCGGCCCGTGGAGAGCAGAGACCCCCACCTGCCCGACTGCACCCCCATCTCCACCCCAGTGGGGAAACCTTGCTTAAGGCAGCCTTTCTCCACGCTTCCACCACCTGTTTATTTCCAGGACACCAAGAGTGTCCCATCCTGAGCTGGCACTAGCAGACACAGACTGGACCAGCATGCTCTGGGCCACCATGCCAGCAGGTCCTGGGCTGAGGGTGCCTTTGGAGATTGCATGTGCCCTGCACCTGGCACTTCAGGAGAGAGAGGAGCTTGGCTGCCCCTGTCTCCAGGGGAGGCACTCAGAGACTGTAGGCCAGGCTGCCTGGAATAAGGGGTGTGTGAAGGGCTCTGGCCTCTGGGGGGCTTTGATAAGCAAGTCAGTGCCTTTAGGCGATCCACACCCGACTCCTTCAGCCCCAGGCCCAGGACACCGGTGCCACGTGGCTGGGCTTAAGGATTCTGTGCTGAAGCAGAAAAGAGCTGCTAGGGGAGGAGACTGTAGATATGTGCTTTCCTGGGATAGAGCATCTAATTAAGTACTTTCTATATATAAATATAAATATATATATATATATATGTATATATATATACACTTCTATTTGTGGGTACTTTAGGAAAATGCTCTTTAGTAACTAAATATTAATTGCAACCTCACCTCTTCTCCCTGGAGTCAGCACAGCCTCAGCTGCTTCCGGCTGCCCCAGTTAATTCAACTGCTGCTCCAGGCACTTGGCGCTTCTGTTTACAGGAGTCTGGGATCCTTTGGGACTGGGCAGAAGGCAGGCTGGCCCTGGACCCACTTTAGAATACAGATTCTTTAGAAACTGGGCTCTGATGCTTTGCTGTAGTACTGCCCTCGGATGGAACGTGGTATAAGGCAGTTTCCCCCGGACCCTTTCATGTGGGTGCAGGGACCCAGCAGAAAACTTTGGAAGGGTTCTTTGACCCTGAGGCCATGACCCTGGGGTGCATGATGTGCCCACCCACCGTGCCTTCCCCACGTGAGTGCAGTGTCTGAAAATAAAAAGGGCCTCAGAGCAGCAGCCCTCTCCTGATTTCACCAGCAAGAAGAGGCCTGGTAGCCAGCGGAGGGCCTGGCTGCCCACGCAGTCTTCTGTCTGTGGCGCCAAGCTGCCTCCCTCTGAGAGTATCTTTAAAAAAGGAAAGTCTGGAGTTTGACCAGGTTGCACGGCGTCCCACTCAGCCGGGAAGCGAGCCCTGGAATAGAGCTAGCAAAGCCCCTCATACCGAGGCCTTGTCTGCTGCAGACTGCTGGCCGCCCTGTAGGACACGCGTAGGAGGAGTTAACACATGCACAAAATTCCAAGGAACATCTTAAGATGAACTCCAGTCCCACCTTCCAGGGCACCTCTAGGTGGTCCCCCTCCTAACCCCAGGCCCGGGCTGACCAGTTAGGGATGAGCACCCTTTGAGGACCATCTGTGGCATCCTGAGGTGAGGACAGGGCAGGTGACTGAGGTCTCTGAAGATGCAGGGCTTGATGACAGGGCAGGTCATGACGAATTTCACAATCCAAAACAGGGCTTGGAGCTTAGGGTTTATTCACTGCCATTACCTATGTCAGCAATGGCGAGTCTCCAGTCTGACTACTGCTGCCGTCAGTGCCTTCTCTGCTAACACCCAGCTAAGTTGGGGGGGGCTTACACCTGGTGGGCAGGTCAGTGTTAGCTGACAAGTGCTGTCGGGGCCACACTGCCCCTCCCCTGCTCACCGTCTTTGAAGACCAGCCTTAGTTTCCATACAGAGCCTGTCTTCTCTTGTCCAGCCATTGCTCGTCCCCAGAAACCAGTCAGAGGTCCCCCAGAATGAGCCCTGAGCCGTTGCTTCCAAGGACAGGTCCTGGGAGGGTATTTCTAACCCTCTCCGAAGAGCCAGAGAGGACCAGAAAGAGCTGTGACCTCCCTTGACCTCCTCCTGCTGCTCCTGGGTGATTTCTGGCAGCTGTCACCCACACCCCCAGCTGTTAGCACCTCTACGGGCAGACCCCGCCCGGTGTGCCCTGGGCAGCGCAGGACAAGGGCAGACTCCAACGGGGGGCACTCGCCCCTCACAAGGACCAAGCAGTCAACAGCTCAACTTGCCAGAGGCCCACACAGTCCCATCCAGCCCGCGCTGCCCAGGAACACCAGCCCCCACGCCACTGGATGGACGCGAAGCCCTGGGATGGGGCCTGCCCTGAATCTCCACACCAGCCCTCAGCCCCACACCGGGCAACTTGGCGGGCCCACCTGTTAAACCCAGAGCTGGTCCCGGTCCTCGGGGACTGGTGGTCCCACAAGATCTCTGGGCAGCAAAGCATGCTGTCCCCACTCCATGTCGTTGAAGCCAACATTGGCGGCCACAAGGTGGCCATTCCACCCGGCCCCAGGTGGAAGTGGAGAGAAACGGGGAGGCGGACAAGGTCTGGGCCCAGGACAGGGGGGCCCCAGGGATGAGTCCCGAAGAGGGGCCCAAGGAGGGGCAGGGAGGCGGCAGTCCTGTGCTGCCCGAGGGAGGCAGGAGACATGGAGCGGCCACGCCAGGAGGAGCACATCCCACTCCCGATGGGACGTTGGCCTTGAGCACCACAGACCCACCTGGCCTTTTGCCTGGCACGGACCCTCAGTTGGCTGGCCAGTCGATAAACTCCAAGGAGAGGAGCTAAGGACCAAGCTTCTGGAAGCAAAAGCTTGCCCAGTCGGCCAGGCCTGAGAGAAGGCACTGGGCCTGGAGGTCCCGAAGAGCTCGGTTCTGCCCCTGGGACAGCATCTCACTTGGCGACAGGCGGCGCTTTCCAGGAGATGGCAGGCGCCTCCGAGGAGCACCTCACCCATCGCTCCTGGACAGTGGGCAGGCAGGACCCGGAAGGGGTGGGCCTGGAAGAAGCCCCGCTGCCCCGAGTCCCGGGCACCACCTGGCACTCTGCTTCCCCAGAAGGCAAACGACCAGCCTCAAGATCCAGTGGTCGCCAAGCCCTCAGTGCGTGAGTGTTGAGGTCGTCTCATCTGCTGCCCCTGATCGGGCTTGTTCTCCCCCAACCCCTCTCCTACCTGAGCGGAGCCTTGCCGCTGCAGTGCTGGGCGGGCCTCTCCCCACCGCGGGGCTGTCCTGTCAGCTGTCTGCGCACCTGCCATGACAGACCTGAGGAGGCTGTGGGCCCACAGCGGCCTCAGGCAGCTTTCCCCCTGCCTTGGTTTGGGGCCTGCTAAACCCAGGCCAAAAGGTCTCCAGGTGGCAGTGGCCCGAGAGGCTGGCTCTGCAAGCTTAAGGAGAGAAGCTCTCCCCGCCTCTTACAAACCCAAGTTTCCTACCTGAACCCCCATGGTCCCAGAGACACAGCCAAGGTCACCCATTTCCCACAGGAGGCCCCCAGCCTGCCGGAGCTGTAGTCGGTGCCCAAGTGACATTTTGGGGGTTGAATAATTATTCTAGCACTTCCACCACCCTCCACAGAAAAAGAAGATACTGGACTAGGTTGGGTCATTTAGTAAATGTTTGCTGAGCACCTACTGTGTGCTGGGCTCCTGGAAGGGCAGAGAACCCAGCCAGCAGAGTAGGATCCCATGGAAGGCCCCTCTGGTCACAGAGGTAAAGCTAACTGAGGCTGACCTGGGGGTGGCCGAGCCCAGTGCTCCTCAGGAGAGGGCAGTCCCCCCTCTGTCCTTCCAGGACCCCCAGGTCGGGGTGGAGGGCACCAGAGAATGGGCAGAGCAGGGCCAGGGTCACGAGGCGGTCCCAAAGTACACAGCCCCAAGGAGAAACTGCAGCCAGCCCAGCCTCACGAGGCAGGAGACAGATGCTCATAGGCCAAGCCTGTGAGCTCAGGAGCCCAGCCACCACCCGGGACAGTGGTCCCCACCCCACACACTGCTCCGCCCAGCTGGCGCAGCCCTGCTCCAGGAAGCAGCTTCCTTTCTGGTCACCCAGGGCCCCCAGCTGTTTTTAAGCTCCTCTGCTCCATGCTTGGAAGTTCAGGAAACCTGCTAAACTGCATCTCGTATCAAGTGTTTTTCTTCACCAAAGATACACGTGGTGGCAGCTCAGCCCTTCTGACCAGGGCGCCAGGACAGAGTGATGCCATCAGGTCAAAGGTGGAAGGACTTGACATTCGAGGGACACTGCCTGTCCCACATGTGGAGATAGAGCAGATAGCTCCTATTCTCCCAGGGCTGCCGCTGCCCCTGCAGCACCCGCAGATTGCCAGCCCCCCAGGAGTGAGTCCTGAGCACCTTCAGTGGGCCGGTCCAGAGCTGGAGTCCACTTGCTCCAGCCTACCTTGCTTCTTGGAGCGGGCACTGGGAGGGACCCAGTCATCCCCAGGTGGAGACAACACGGGCCACGTGCTCCTTCCCAGCACCCTGCACAGATGGCCCCCAATGAACAGGACCCTTTGTTCCCCTGTGGCCTCCCCAGCCCCTGGATGGAACCTCTGAAATTATCTGTACCAGCCACGTCTCAACAGGAAGCAGTGAAGGGCCAGAGTCAGCCCGGTGCCCCCACCCCAAGTTCTGGGCTCAATCCTTTAACATACAATCCCCACGCCCTGCCAGGTGGGTGGAGCTAGTTGTTCAGATGTGATTGAGATCCTGGGAGGCCAAGAGACCTGCCCAAGGCCAACAGTAATTCATGGAATTGAAAATCAAGACCGTGTTAGTCCCAAGGTAGGAGACGTCACTGTGCCATATCCCTAACTGAGCTTTACAGGGTGGGAAACAGCCAGGCGAGCCCTGGCAGTGGGGGTGCAGGGCGGGGATGTGACTGGTAGAGAGGATGCTGAGCGGGTGCACTGAGTGACGTCCCCTCCCTCTGGAACAGGCGCTGGAAACTCATGCAGAAAACGATGGGCTTCTGCCTCCTCCCCAGTGGCCATGTCACTTCCATTCCAACCGAGCCCACAGGGTGAGCGGAGCACAGCTTCCTGCCAGGCCGCGCGCCCAGCCCTGTGGGTGACCACACCCTCAACAGGATGTCCGGTCGCCCCTCTTACAGGCTCCAGCATGCACACTGGGGAATGAGGGCGTCCCTCAGCGGACATTGTGGCATAAAGAAGAGGAAAAAAGAAAGCTGGCTAATGCCTAGTATTGTTTGTTTCAGTGTAGAGGCCACATAGATCTACAGGAAACTTCTTATTCCGCTGGGATCAGACCCTGAAGCAGTCTGAGCAGACCCAGCCCATATCACTCTTGACACAGGATATCTGAACACCCCAGGGACAGGGAGGGACCAGAGGGCTGAACCCCTGTGCCCACAGCCAGTGCTCTAGGGCCTGCACTGCCCAAGCGCTTTGGCAATTGCTGCCTATAGGAATGACCACGTTGTTCTTTCAGTTGCCTCAAGTAGCCAAGGTTTTGTTTTCTCCGTCGTGTTCATACATATGCATGTAATTAAACATCTGCAAAATCATTTTAATAGTAAACAGGAAATGAACTTAAATATGGCTCCTTTCATTCATCAGAGGTCATGATAGCGGGGGGGGGGAAAGGTAACTGGAATCAGAAAAGAAAAAAAAATTGTTTCAGAAGTTCCTTAGCTGTATTGGAGGCTGAAAGCTTCTGAAAGAAACCAGTGCGTTTGAGATCTATATGTGAACAGACGTGTTCCTAAATGAGCTGCCAGAAGGTAAACGTGTGTCTCAAATCCCCTTTCTCCTCATGACTGGCCTTATGAAAAAGTGAGATGTTCCTCTACACAGGACTTTAACCTGGGAGACACAGTGAGCCCCAGGGGATCTGGGGTCCCTCAAAATCAAAATCAGATGCACCATTAGTGCTCTGTGTGTGTGTATGTGTCTAGGAATACAGCCCATGGTTCTGATCAGATATTCTCAAAAAAATCTAGAACCCCCAAAAAGCTAATAACCACTACTCTCCTCAATGTGGAGAACCCTCTGGTGTCATGTACTCAACAGCAGAAAAAACAATTTTATAAATATTCCAAATAAGTGATGGTAAATACCAAGTTTTTACCTTGGTTTAGCACAGTGACTTAAAGGTCTAAGGAAACTTCCAGGAATGTACCCAAAAGAGTCAAAAGCGGGGTCTCGAAGAGATATTTGTGCACCACAATAGTCGAAAGGTAGAAGTAACCCGTGTCCATCAGTGGATGGATATATAAGCAAATGTGGTCTATCCATGCTGCGAATATGATTCAGCCTTCAAAAGAAATGAAGTCCTGCCATATGCTGCCACACAGATGAACCCGAAAGGCATGATGCTGAGTGACGTTACCAGACTCAAAAGGACCAACACTGTGTGATTCTGCTTACGTGAGGCCCCTGGAGGAGCCAGATTCATGGACAGAAAGCAGAACATGGTCGCCCGGGGGCTGGAGGTGAGGAGTGCCATTTAGTAGGGACAGAGTTTCAGCTTGGGAAGATGACAGAGTTCTGGAGATGGATGGTGGAGAACAACAATATAAATGTACTTAGTGACATTTAACTATATTTTTTTAATGAATGAAATAGTCAATGCTATGTTCATTTTACCACAGTCTTTTAAAACTCTGAGTGTTGCTGGGCAGCTGCATCCGGGGAGGTCTCTCCCGGCACACTAGGTGAAACCTCAGCCCGGACAGGGGAGCGTTCTTGACTCTGACCAAGAAAGAATTTACAAACAGGTCAGATTCATGTTGGTAAGGAAGGAATTCATTAAAGCAAGAGTGGCAGTGAATGGCAGCAGCCTGCAGGCAGCAGAGAGCAAGGAAGAGCCAAGGGAGGAAAGGGAAGCTCCTGGAACTCCTGCTCAGCACAGGGCAAATCCCTTGCCAGCTCCTGAAGCCAGAGTCACCTGGCGTCCCGTGTCACTTGAATCTGCACGGCATGGGAACTAAGCCCCCACCACCCCAGGATTCGGGGGAGCCGCAGAGCACTGGATGGAGTGAGATTATGTTCTGAGAACTTCCCAAAGGCAAAAAAAAAAAAAAAAAAGATATTTTCAGGCAGCCTACTTCCCTACTTGTCTGAAGTAGGACAGAGTGAAAACTTGTGCTTAAGTCTAGAAAATAGAATGAAATACCAAAGTAACAAAGATGCTTATCACTGGGAAGAGCACAGAGACAAAACACAGTAAGTCGAGCAGCCACAAGTCTTTATTTAAGACAAAAGTACACACTCGAAGAAAGGGGAGTGCGGGCAACCTCAGAGAGGAGGCATGCTTAAAGGTTTAAAATTCTCTCTTTCAAGGCTTTCAAGAATGGGGTAAAGGGCCAGGGGAGGAGCATAGGCTGACATGTGGTCTCATGATGTCTGTCTCCGGTGAGAGACATTATGTCACCATCCATAGTCTGTCCTGTAGATCTTCTGTCAGATAAACTTAGCACAAGGAATTTCTTGATCCTATTCTTCTTCAAAATAGTTATTGCCCTCAGGCAGTGGGGACATATCATTTAGGACTGCTTGCCCTGCCTTAGAATAAGGTAGGTTATTGACTAATACCATCAAATGTTAGGAATCTTCCCTCCTAACTCCCTGGTTTTTAAATCGGAAACTTAGCTTTAAGATGGAGACCCTCCTGTTCTTACTACACTGTTTATATCTCAGCATTTCATCATAGGCAGGAAAAATTAATCGTGATCCTTTCCCCATGTCTCTGCCCTACGTCATAAGGAGAAAACAATGACCGCATCCTCTGAGCACACAACACACTAGATATTTCTCCCAAATTTCTACCAAAGCTCCCATGAAGGCAGGTTTGAAAGATTAGGTGTATTTGGACTAGAAAATTGAGCTAAGAATCAACATAGCCCAGCCCACAAATGTGGTGGTGAGTGTGGACTTACTTACTCCCCAGATTCCAAAGTCTAAAGTGAATACCAAATTGCTCAGAGAGCAGAAGGTGCACATTTCAGCTTGTTCCAGCCTCACTCTGTGAGCTGTGAGGGTTCAGGAGAATTGCCTCTGAACCAGTCTGGGACTGGCCTGTTTCACATTACACTATTTCTGGATTCAGGCATCTTAGAGTATGAAGTGTGGATGCTGTCACTTTTCCCTTCCATTTTCAGATCAGGAGATTAGATGTACAGTACATTTGCACAAATGAAACTTGCATTTTAAAGCAGTTATTAACAAGCAAGCTTCTAAGAGGTTGGCTATGAATAATATTTTGTCAGTAGATTGAAAATGTATTTGTCATGGACCAATTCCTAGGAAAATTCTAACTTACCAATAGACACAGAAGAAATAGAAAATTAGAATAGTCTTATGATCAATGATTGAATCTGCAATTTGAAAACTTTCCTATAAGTGTATAAAGAAAAGCAAATGATTGAAAATGGTCAAGACCCTTGTTGGGGAGGAAGAAATTTCCCCTACCCATTGAGGTTCTTCTGTCTAGTCAAAGAATCAAATGGACATGAGACAGATTAACAGGGTAAAAAAACAAAGTTTTGATCCAGCAAGTCCAACCCTAGGTGTAGACCCAAGAAAAGTGAAAGTATATGTTCACAAAAATTTTGTACATGAATGTTCACAGAAGCATTATTCATAATAATGAAACAGTGGAAACAACCCAGATATCCATCAGTCAATCAATAGACAAACAAAATGTGTGGTACCCATACTAATGAAATATTATTTAGCCATGTAAACAAAGCACTGATACATGTTAAAAAGTGAATGATCCTTGAAAATGTGATGCTAAGTGAAAGAAGCTAGTCACGAAAGGCGACATATTGTGTGATTCCATTTTTATGAACATCCAGAATCGGCAAATCCACAGAAGCAGGAAGTAGATTCGTGGTTGCCAGGACTGGGGAGTGGGGTGGGGCAGGAAGTAGGAGTGACTGCTTCTGACAATAGAGTTTCCTTTGAGTGCGTTGGGAATGTTCTAGAATTCAATGATGGTGATGTTTGCACACCCTGTAATCTTGTGAATATACTAAAAACCACTGAGTTGTATACTTTAAAAGGGTGAATGTCATGGTATGTGAATTATTTCTCTGTGATAGAACAGAAATATGCATTTGGTCTTTCTCCCAGATCCCGGCATACAGCTCATAAAACTGGTGGAGGCTCCAGAATGTGTCTTTTGTATGCTAATAGATGACTGGTGGCTGGGGCCCCTGGAGAGCTTCCAGATGGGGGCTGATTACTAGAAAGACCAAGACCTGGTAAGAGAGTTGGAACTTTCTTAGCTCCACCCCGTAACCTATGGCCAGTGATTTAATTAATGGTGCCTACTAATGAGACCTCCATAAAAACCCCTAAACAATGAGGTTTGGAGAGCTTCCAGATTGGTGAATAAGAGGGTGGTACGCCCAGAGAGGGCACGAAAGTCCTGCAACCCTTCCCCGTACCCACCCTGTGCACGTCTTCCACCTGCCTGTTCCTGAGTTGTATCCTTTATGATAAACTATAATAGCAAGTAAAGCACTTCCCGAGTTATGTGAACTCTTCTATCAAGCCCAAGGAGAAGGTCATGGTAGCCCCCTGAATTTATAACAGGTTAGTCAGAGCACAGGTGACAACCTGGGACATGTGACTGGTGTCTGATGTAGGGGCAGTCTTGGGGACTCAGCTCTTAACCTGTGGGGTCTGTGCTAACTCCAGGTAGATAGTGTCAGAATTTAATGAAGCCATATGGAGTAGACACTGGTTGGTGTCCAAAATGTAAGTAAAAACAGTTCAGATCTAATACAAAACAGAACATCATAATGTGCGGTGAAAAAAGTCCCATGAGATCATAACACCCTATCTTTAATCTCAGCAGCAAGCAAAAGTAAATTAGATACACACTCACATGTGAGGAAGGAATGTTTTAAAGCATGGAAATAATGAAGGTCCATTCCAGTGTGATGACTCCCATGCCAGGGGATGGAAATCGCAGAGCAAAGGACAGCAGTGCTGCTGCTTAATAGCATACACAGGTCTCACCTGTCATTTTGAACAAAATATTTAAAAGGCTAACGAAGGGAGAGCGTGGTGTAACACATTTCCTTATGAAGATGCCACATGGGAGGACAGCCAGCACCTGTCGGTCCGTGCAATCGGCCAGCGTTCCCCAGGAGCACAGACGCAGATCGCTGTCTCCTTGATTGAGGAACAGGAGAAGTCAGAGCCTTGGGTTTGAGCTCCATGGGGAATGAAAACACATTTTATAGAAGACCCCTCAGCACAGCTCCTAGCAGGAGCAGCTTTCAGAGACCAAAGGTCACCCTGAGCTTGCCATTTCAGGATGAAGGTCTTTTTTTCAATCTCCACCTCCGCCTCTTCTTTTCCCTGGAGAGTGAGTGGAGCAGAGATGAAATTCTATGTTGATTAAATAGCACATTCACTGGCTCCATAAGGAGGTGCTATTTCGGCTGAGACCTGAAGAATGAGTTGGAATTAACGAGGAGGGAGGAGGGCAAGAGCTCTCCGGCAGAGGAACAGCACCTGAAAAACCCGTGAGGCACAGGTGACACGATGCCCTCCACGAGCTGCAGGCCAGCATGGCGGGACCCCTAGGAGGAGGCTGGAGAGGTCAGCAGGGCCGGACCATGCAGGGCCTTGGAGGTCCTGTGAAGGGCTGGGTTTTTATTCCTGAGCACCAGGTAACCACAAAAGATTTCAGGCAGGAATGTGATACAACTGGATTTGCACTTGGGTAAGTGAATGCAAAACAGGCCCAAGCTATCAGAGGGTTGGGTTAGGTATGTTCACATGACACAGGCCTGAGAGAACCATTGAGACTCAGGCTCCCTTCTCCAGTGGGACTGGTTCCCTGGGAGGTTATAGGCTGGAGCTGTTGCAGCTATTTTATCACTACAAGGGGATAGCCTATCAGAGAGTGAAACCAATGCACAAAAGAGACAAGACAGAAAACCTGGATCCTGCTGACGGTGTTTGTGCCCCTTGATTGAGCCGGACCTAAAGCCCATATGAACTCCTTTGTTATGTATTATGCAGTAGTTCTGGTTGCAGTAACAAAATACCACAGACTGGGTAACTTAAACAACAAAACTTTATTTTCTAGAAGCTAAAAAGCCCACGATCAAGGTGCCATTTGGTTCCTGGTGGGAGTTCTTCTCTGGGCTTACAGCACCCTACCTTCCAACTGTGTGATCATTTGGCAGAAAGAGAGAGTGCTCTGATATCTGTTCCTGTTGTAAGGGCCCCAGCCCTATCAGATTAGGACCCGACCCTTCGGACATCATTTAACTTTTATCACCTCCTCACAGGCCCTAGCTCCAAATAAAGTCACAATGGGAGTCAGGGCTTCAACATATGAATTTGGAGGGCAGCAGTCCATAACATCGTGTGAGCCAGTTTGAGTTGGATTTATAGTCCCTTGGAGGGGATAAACTGCAGACTGATACAGAGAGGGAGGGAGATGGAGCTGTCAGAGGTGATAGATGCGCTTTCAGCTAGTGCAACATGTGGTTTGCCCATAATAAAATAATTATTTTAAGTATGCTATTCACTATCTATATAGGCATAAGATTATAAGGTATGATAAATAACATAGTCATTATTAGTGTTGATCAGGTCTATGAAATAGATAATTCTTACTGAATTGTAATATTGGTATGTACTGAATTATTAACAGTGAGGCCCTGCTATCCCTGCTTACCTACTTCGGCCTGAGGTGTGCCTGTTCTGTGGCCCACAGGATGCATGAAGCCTCATGGAAGTTACAGGGTAGGTTGCAGAAGATACGTGTGGGAACTAGAGGCCGAGTGGCCTTGCTCTAGATTATGGAGAGAAGTCTGAACACTTCTACTGCAATGGCTTTATTCCCCCTTGTGTGGTATAAATCCAGCTTTTTCATTTATATTTTGTTTAATAATATTTCTTCTTACTGTGAAATAAACCTTTACAGGAGCAACAAATTTTTTTGAGTCCACATTTAATTTAAAATTAAGTTCTGAAGCTCCATTTATCAAAGTCGATTATCAATTTGAAACAACGAGCTGCAGGCCAGCATGGCGGGACCCCTAGGAGGAGGCTGGAGAGGTCAGCAGGGCCGGACCATGCAGGGCCTTGGAGGTCCTGTGAAGGGCTGGGTTTTTATTCCTGAGCACCAGGTAACCACAAAAGATTTCAGGCAGGAATGTGATACAACTGGATTTGCACTTGGGTAAGTGAATGCAAAACAGGCCCAAGCTATCAGAGGGTTGGGTTAGGTATGTTCACATGACACAGGCCTGAGAGAACCATTGAGACTCAGGCTCCCTTCTCCAGTGGGACTGGTTCCCTGGGAGGTTATAGGCTGGAGCTGTTGCAGCTATTTTATCACTACAAGGGGATAGCCTATCAGAGAGTGAAACCAATGCACAAAAGAGACAAGACAGAAAACCTGGATCCTGCTGACGGTGTTTGTGCCCCTTGATTGAGCCGGACCTAAAGCCCATATGAACTCCTTTGTTATGTATTATGCAGTAGTTCTGGTTGCAGTAACAAAATACCACAGACTGGGTAACTTAAACAACAAAACTTTATTTTCTAGAAGCTAAAAAGCCCACGATCAAGGTGCCATTTGGTTCCTGGTGGGAGTTCTTCTCTGGGCTTACAGCACCCTACCTTCCAACTGTGTGATCATTTGGCAGAAAGAGAGAGTGCTCTGATATCTGTTCCTGTTGTAAGGGCCCCAGCCCTATCAGATTAGGACCCGACCCTTCGGACATCATTTAACTTTTATCACCTCCTCACAGGCCCTAGCTCCAAATAAAGTCACAATGGGAGTCAGGGCTTCAACATATGAATTTGGAGGGCAGCAGTCCATAACATCGTGTGAGCCAGTTTGAGTTGGATTTATAGTCCCTTGGAGGGGATAAACTGCAGACTGATACAGAGAGGGAGGGAGATGGAGCTGTCAGAGGTGATAGATGCGCTTTCAGCTAGTGCAACATGTGGTTTGCCCATAATAAAATAATTATTTTAAGTATGCTATTCACTATCTATATAGGCATAAGATTATAAGGTATGATAAATAACATAGTCATTATTAGTGTTGATCAGGTCTATGAAATAGATAATTCTTACTGAATTGTAATATTGGTATGTACTGAATTATTAACAGTGAGGCCCTGCTATCCCTGCTTACCTACTTCGGCCTGAGGTGTGCCTGTTCTGTGGCCCACAGGATGCATGAAGCCTCATGGAAGTTACAGGGTAGGTTGCAGAAGATACGTGTGGGAACTAGAGGCCGAGTGGCCTTGCTCTAGATTATGGAGAGAAGTCTGAACACTTCTACTGCAATGGCTTTATTCCCCCTTGTGTGGTATAAATCCAGCTTTTTCATTTATATTTTGTTTAATAATATTTCTTCTTACTGTGAAATAAACCTTTACAGGAGCAACAAATTTTTTTGAGTCCACATTTAATTTAAAATTAAGTTCTGAAGCTCCATTTATCAAAGTCGATTATCAATTTGAAACTTCCACAAAATGTTGACTTTTACCTTCTACCATGGAGGGTGATGGGGGAGTCGGAGGGTGGGGGACAGGGGAGAGGGGGTGGGTTGGAGGGGTAGAGGGGGGGAGGGGAGGGACAAAGAGACATCACTAGCCACAAACCTACCCAGATAACACACTTCTGATTCAAAAGCAGTACATCTATTTCCAATACTTCCTCATTAAGAAGACTGAGTCCGAAAATGAGTTAACACGTGCAACTGCAGAAATGGGTCATTTATACTCTGAAATCATGACTTCATTTAGATCAGATGCCTTTTTCTGTATTAAGTTCACTCGTTTTTCTAATTCCAAGTTTTCTTGTGTTTTTATGAAAAGCAGTCTTCACTGCTAATGTGTTCCCTCTGCTGGCTGAGCAATTCTTCCACAGTGGATGCCAATTTATATCACAATCATCAGAGGGTTCCATTTTTTTCCCCATCCAATTCATGGAATCAAAGCTAAACTTTTGGAAGTTCGTTCTGTTCAAAGTGGAAAACTGACATTATTACAAATGCTACTCAGCTAAATTCAGTTAAGAAGTTGAACACTGCAGGCATTTTGTGTGTGTGTGATAATATAAAGTTTGATGGGCTCAGCATAGAGGGGCAAACATTCTTACTAAATTAAGAGACCCACCCAGAAGAAATGCACTTGAAATTGGATATGCTTAATAATTTCATCCAGACAAGCTGTAAAATTATGCCAACTGGAAATTATAATTGTCAAAATTTTACAACTTTTTTTGTAATTGGAGTACCTGAGCTGCAAAAGTTTTTGTGACAAAGCTCATGTGACATTAAGAAAAGTACTTGAGCATGGCAGTGACATGTTCTTTTCTCTGTGCTTCCCTCACCAACCACAGTTCGAGCACAGTTTACTTACTCCTGGCATTGAGTAAATCCTCTATTACTGGTGCCTTTTGCTCAAATTCAGCTTAAAACTTTCAATCGAAATATTCAGCACCTGAAGCACCAAAAAAAAAACCCTTTAGCCTTTGAGCTTTTCGAAATTACAATTAGTGCAGAGTTGCAAACAGGAATACAATGAAAATCATCCCTATGGAAGCAAAGCAAGTTGGAAAATTAGAATGGTCAAAGAATTATGTTTAAAATTCTGTCACTGCACTTCGAAGTACCTTTGCAATACCTCAACTCATAAGAAAAACCTCTCAGTTTTACTTAACTTTCCACTCTGAATTCAAACATAAGGAAATCGATAAGGTCCAGACTCCGTAGCACCTCAATTTGGTGAAGCGTCCCAAAAATTCAGGGATCCCCTCCCACCCCCGGGAGCCTCAAAGGACGTCGGTGCTGCAGCTGCAGCTCGACCACACCACGTCTCCGGTTACGACCGCGTGGGCACGGCACGGCCTCGCTCCCGGCATCCCCCGGGGCAGCCACGGGGTGAGAGAAAACACCGCCCCTCCCGGGGCGCGTGCGCACACGCCGGCAGCGCCGAGGCGCACACGCCCCTCTCGTCCGCGCCCCCGGCGCACAGCCCCGCGTGCTCGCGCACGCAGCCCACGCCGGCCTCTCAGTCCCGCTGCCCAAGCTTCGCGCCTCGGCGGCGCGCGGCGAGCGGGCGGGCGGCGGAGGGCGGGGCGCGGGCGCCCCCGAGTGGGGCGGTGCCAGCCGGCGCGCCGTGGAGGAGGGCGGGGCCCGCGGGCTGCGGCGGCGTGGGGCTCGGCGCTGGAGGAGGCGCCATGGAGGCTGACGCGGGGCCGGAGCGCCGGCCTGCAGAGCGCCGCGACCCGGGGTCGGCGCCGTGCCCGGATCCCGAGGAGGGCGCGCGGGCCCGGGCCGAGTTCTGTGCGCTGCACGGCCCGGCGCTGCGCGCGTCGGGGGTGCCCGAGCGGTACTGGGGCCGCCTCCTGCACAAGCTGGAACACGAGGTGCCGGGCGCCGCGGGGAGGGCGAGACTCTGGGAGGGAGGGGGGATACAGAGAGGCCCTTGGAAGGCAACAGGGAAGCTGGGGTGCGGGTCCTTGAGGCGCGCAGCCCCAGCCCGGGTCCCCGCGGCCCTGCGCGCGCCGGGGTGGACAGCTCCGGACCCTTCTCCCGGGAAGGGTGTGGTCTGCGGGTGGCCCCTGGCCGAGGACCGAGGGTGGCCTCTCGGACGACACGTGCTGATGAGGATGGGAGGGTGTTTGGGGGGTTGGCCGTGTGCAGAAGTGGAGAAAGCGCGTTCCAAGGCAGGAGAAGCCTGTGCCCAGGTGGCCAGGCCTCAGTGAGACGCGCAGGAGGTGTGTGCGCCCGCGAGTTGAGGGTGGCATGGATGGATGAGGCCGGAGAAGTGGGCAGAGGATTGATGGTGAAAAGCCAAGAATGCCGTGATCACCGACTTAGACTTTGCCTCCCTGGCAATGTGGGGACCTTCTAGAACTTGGGCCTAAGACTGGCAGCAAGAGCCCTGTACCTGTGGCCTTGATCCTGCCAGCACCTGGGGCTGTGCCAGGGCCACAGTGGGAACTGGTACCCGAGTGAGCTTTGGCCCCTGTTGTGTGCCAGACCCCTGAGCAGAGCTCTCCACACACCTGATTCCACAGAGCCATCAGCCCCATTATACAGTTGAGCTTACTGAGGCCCAGCGAGAGGAAGTGACTCTCCAAGACAAGCCGGACTTCAGGGCTGGAAACTGGCTTTCAGCCACTGCCTCTCTCAGGGAGAATAGGGGTCCCAAGAGTTTGTGTGGCTTTACCTGTTGGGGTCATCGAATTCTTCCGGGTTTCATCATCTGATTTGAGCTTCGGATCACCCTCATTTTACAGATTTAAAGAAAACCAAGGCTGTGTGGATAGGAAAGGAATCTAAAGGAAAATGTGAAGGGCACATACGCTTCCAGGTCCTCTTTTTGCTCTAGCCCAGACCTCGAAAGGGTCTGACCGGGGCCTTGCTGAGGGTGGGCCCTGGATTTGGGTGCTTGACCCAGGTGCTGAGGCCAGAGCACATTCCCAGGCCAGCTTGGAGGGCCTTCCTCTCAGCTGGAACCAGGCTCCTCTTCAAGGGCTGCCTCCTGGGGCCAAGACAGATGAAGTAGGATGGGTGATAAGGGGGGACCCCAGAGCCTGGAGGGGTGTCCCCTGAGCCTGGCTGCTGAACAAAACCCACTTCTCTGTCTGTAACATTAGGTTGGGCCAGGTACCTTCCTGCTCAAAACACATAGTTGCTGTAAAAAAGATAAAATGTCAGTGGCATTCAGTAACTACTTTCCTTCTGTACCAGTGACCTTCCTTCCCCTGTGTGGTTTTGCCCTCAATTCTGCCAGCATTTCCTGAGCACTTGCCCTGGTCCCAGGCCTGGGCTGGGCAGGAGGGGACCCCAGGAGTTTGTTAGGGCAAGAGGCCCTGGGTGAAAGGAGGAAGCCCAGCCAGCCCCCGCGGGCAGCAAACCTCACCTGAGCAAGTTGCTCACCCATCTGAGAATTCGGGGACCGTGCAACAGCCCCAGCTCCCACGGTCTTGGAGATTGGGTGGGGACGCATGGCTTAACTTCAGCTAGCACCTGGCACATTGTGGGCAGCCGCCAGTGTCTTATCCCCTCTGTCTGGGCCATGTTGCTCTGCCAAGGAGCAGCCAGTGTTTTTCCGTGACCCTCCCTTGCCATTAGAGGTTATAGGCAGAGCTGTGAGTCACCGTGTTACCCAAACCCTCAGCCATTGTTGTGAGGATCCTGCTGCTGCTATGGGCCGGGTGAGGGGGGAGACACCTGCCAGCAGGAACGGGGCACCTTCAGCCTCACCCAGGGCCGGTGACCCTGGGGCCCTGCCTCAGAAGAAAGCAGTTCCCCCAGAAAGGATGGGGAGTGTTTTTAAGTAAATTTCAACTCTTCCCATGTTCAGGAACTTCCCAGCTGCCAAACTGTTCCCTTCATCACCTTGTTAGGAGCTTCTGCTGTCCCACCACGAAGGGGTCGTGGTCAGCCCCGTTTCACAGCTGTGGGAAGCCAGGCCCTCTAAGCGCAGGCCTTATGCTGCCCCCACATATCCCTTTCCCTGTTAGATTTGTGGATGAGGGCTGTCGGGATGGCGTTCTGGGTGGACGCCCAGGGTGTGAGTTCCAACCCTCTGAGCCACTCTCCTGATCTTTAAACTGGCAGGGGTACCGGAGAGCCCAACCTGAGGCTCCATCCCAGAAAGCGCCTGAGCCTCGGGTCTCCAGCACTCTGCACCCTTCGCCCCCAGCTTCTCTGACCTGGGCCTTCCTCTCGCATCTCCCCTGCCTGGGGTCCCTTCACCCTCACCCCTTAGCCACATGTTCAGTCTTTACGGTTTTTCCTGCTTTCCTCCGATTATGTTTCCATTAAGTCTTCCCGGCCCCTCCAAGCCCCTGCACCATTAGTCTGGGCCCCTCGAATGGCCTGCCCTTCCTTCACTCTGCCACTCGGCCTTCAGCCTCTGGCAAGATCACAGGTGCTCATCTGCACCCCCAAGTGCCCATCCCGTGCCCAGTGCACAAAAGCTCCTTGTGCCTGAGTAGATAACTGGCTTCCAACTGCTGGGATGAATTTTCCTTCTGTTTTTTACAGAATCATGAGAAATAGGTTTTGGAGGGGAGCTGGCCTTTGTTGAGTCCCTGCCATGTGTCAGGGATTTTGTTTTACTGATTTACCACTGGAAGGTGTATGATACCCCTTCCCGGGGTAGAGACGAGTCCCAGAAGTGTGACGATGCTAACAGGTGTTTGCAAAGTCTTTGCCCAGCTGAAGTTCTAAACTCTTTCATGCATCAGTCATTTAATTCAACAGCCCTGTGAGGTAGGTACTGATATTCCCATTGTGTGGATTGGGAAACTGAGGCACAGAGTGGGCCAGTGACTTGTTCAGTCACGTAGCCCAGCTCCAGAACCTGCCCCTTGCCAACTTGTGGCAGACACACAGTGCATGAGTGTGGCTGGGTGGGGGCCAGCCTGGCTCTAGGGCACACAGGAGCTGCACATGCCCAGCAGTTGCCCTCCACCAGGGAAACTCTCAGACCAACGTCCTTCTCTTCCTGCCCATCCAGGCTGGGACCTCAGGAGACTAACTACAGGCCTGGACTGCTGCTTGTGTGGGCTGGCATGCTGGCCCTTGGGCACCTGTTTCCTTGTGTGTTGCCCCAACTGTCTGGTGTTGGATTGGTCCTTCTAGTGAGAGAGAAACAGGGGTACAGTCCCTGGCCTCCAAGGTTCTGACTCTGCTGACAACTTCCAGTGTTGCCAGAGCCACCCCCTCTGCCTCTTGGGCCTCGTTTTCCCTGTAAGGCAAGGGGCCAGGCTATACAACTGGGACACACACATGCAGCCCCTCCTCCAGTGTGGGTGCCACAGGGTGGAGTCATAGCGGGCAGGTTGGGTCCCGGTTCTGCCCTCTGTCTCTAGGTGCCTCAGTTTCCCCACCTGTAAGGTGGGTAGTAAGGCAATAAATAGGTCCTTCTTCTCCTAAGGAGTTTAGTTTGTCCTTGAGGCCTGGGTGTGGTGCCCACTGCAGCCTTTCCTGAAGCAGAAGTCTAGGGCTGTGGTGAGCAGGGGGGCCCGGGAGCGGGAGGGATCTTGCCAGCACCCCCTGCTGTGCCCCCCAGGTGTTTGACGCTGGGGAGATGTTCGGAATAATGCAAGTAGAAGAAGCGGAGGAGGACAGTGAGGATGAGGCGACTCGGGGAGCGCGTGAGAAGAAGCCCAACCCTGGCAGCGAGCTCTGCTACAAGGTCATCGTGACCAATGAGAATGGGCTCCGAGCAGCCGACCCCAACAGGTAGGAGCCGCACGCAGCCTGCTGGGGCCACTGCTTTCAGCTGGGCCGTGGGGTCATGTCAGCCCCGACCCCGGTGACATCCCCGTGGTAGGCAGTGTTGTGCCGTCCGAGAGCGGCCTCCCCAGCGTGCACTCACCCGGCGTGGCAGTCCCACGATGGAGATGTGATGAGGTCCAGTTTTGCTGATGAGGAAACAGGGAAAGGACTTGCCCGAAGTCACCCAGCTGGTTAGGCCCAGGGCAGTCTTACTCATGAGCCCCAGCTTTTCCGAGGACCCTGGGCCTGTCCCTGGGCCTGCTGAATCGCAATTCTGTATTGAAGAGGTCCTCGTGGGATTTGTGTCCAGACTCATCCTCAGGCAAGGGTGCAAGGCCCAGAGCAGGCCTGGGCCCTGCCCAGAGCCATAGGAGACATGAACAGAGCTGAGAGAGGACCCCGGCCTCCCACCTCCCAGAGGCCAAGAGGGGCTGTCCTCAGTCAGGAGAGGCCTGCAGGCCCCTCAGCCAAACCTTGTTGGAACACTGAGGAAACTGGCCGGCCTCAGAGGGTGCCCTGTGCCCACAGCTGTTCAGGAAGGGCCTGGCTGCCTGCAGAGCTCTCACAGCCTCCCACCAGCCCTGGGGTGGGAGTGGCCACACAGGTCATTTCTGCAGCCAGTCCATCCACCCACGTGCTCTCTGACCCAGAAACCTGCCGGCCTGTCACTCCTCTAAATTCAGTGCCACCAGCTTTTGTAGGCACCTGTGCTGCCTTTGGGGCCCAGGAGCAGGTGACTCAGGCACAGTGGCCTCCTCGAGCTCACTGCCTCCTTGCACCCTTCACACATCACCAGGCCCGGCCTGGGAGGGGCTGGGTGGGATCCCAGGTTTGGAGCCCTGGGCACCGATCTCTGCCCCACCAGCCCTCCTGTTCCTGGGCCCTTCTCCCTCCAGCTCTTTGTGAGTCTGCTCTGCGGCTGATTGCCAGGCCCCCTCATGTGCATCTGCCCATGCTCAGCCCCAGGTGTTCCCCATGAAGGCCTGGCCCTATAACTCTAAGCACAGGGGCAGAGTAAACCTTCATTTGTTTGGGGATATACAAACAAAAATAAACACAAAGTAAACAGTGCCGAGCTTGCCCCCCAGCCCAAGAACTGCAGCACCTGCTGTCCCTTCCACTTTAGCAAGGGCATGGAGGCAAGGGCCGCTCGCCCGTCGGGGAAAGCACTCTCACCTGCACGCTTGGAGCCTCCTGGTCCAGCAGGGCTCTGGATGGGGTCTGGGCAGCCCTGCCCTGTGGAGCAGGAGGGCAGGCCTGGCCTGGCCTCAGGCCTGCGGTGGGAACGCTTCGTCGTCCACCACAGCCCCGCCGTGGGAGCTGTGTGGTTGGCCCACCTGGGCTCCTCCAGGGACACTAGAACATGTGGGCTGCAGGTGTCTGTACACGTGGGGACTTGAGGCCTCTTCCCACAGGAAGCACCCAGACATCCTGGGCATGCATGAGCTCGCTCCACGTGAGGCTCCTCTGCACACGTTCCAGGCCTGCAGGTAGCAAGGTCGGGAGCACGGGTTTGTGCTCCAGCAGTTCAAAATCCACTGTGGACACATACTATTACTGTGATTAATAGTCACTAGGTACACAAGTACTTGGTATGCAGCCAGAATGTTGTAGGTGTTATTTGATGCTCATATCATCCCAGTGATAGGAGAGAGCCTGCTGCCTTGTTTTAGCAGCTGAGAGAGAAGTTGCCCAGGGCCACACAGCAGCGCAGAGCCGGGCTCCCCACCCATGCCTGGGGTGCTAGGGAGACCACCTCAGGGTGGGCGCAGGTTTCAGGTCGCAGCACCAGGCCTCATCCGCCGCCTCAGGCCCTGATGGCCCCCTCCGCACCCTGCCCTTCCCGCCGTGCCTGCATGGCAGCCTCACTCGGCATGGCCTGTGCCTGCAGCATCTACCTCGTCGACCACGCCTGGACGTGCCGGGTGGAGCATGCCCGCCAACAGCTGTGGCAGGTGCCGGGGCTGCTGCACCGCATGGCCAACCTCATGGGCATCGAGTTCCACGGCGAGCTGCCCAGTGCTGAGGCCGTGGACCTGGTGCTGGAGGAGATGTGGAAGTTCAACCAGACCTACCAGCTGGCCCATGGGGTAGGTGGGCCGCCAGCCCCCGGGGAAGCGGAGGAAAGACCCTAACACAGGCCTTCACACTCCACGCTGGCAGGGGGCAGCCCAGGAGAGCCCCAACCCCACCTGGGGGCCTTTGCCCCACAAGTGAGCAACCCCTCTTCTCCTGGGGCCCATAGAATCCTCCCTCCCTCCCTGTGATGTCACCGGGGCCCTGATACTCTTTGCCTTGGGCCAGCCAGTGCCAAGGCCCCAGGGGTCCACATGGCATTTGAGCTCATAGACTTGGGCCCAGTGCCTCTGCTCTCTCTTCCTGGCACCTTCTGGTTCTGTCACCCTCCTAAAGCCCTCCGTAGTTCCTGGCCACCTTCGGGAGAAGAGGTGAGCCTCTCTAGCACACGTCGGGCTCTCATCTCCTGCCCCTGCCCCGCCGACCTCCACGGACTCATTCTCCTCTCCAGCCCTCACCACGTCTGGTTTGGGAAAAGACAAAAGTCGTTTCTCATGGTCTCAGCCTAGATGCTGCCTCCTCCAGCGATCTTTCCTGAACTCAAAGCCCCTCTCCCCCTGCCACACATACAAATCAAACACATCCATGTAGCTGCTAGGCTGAGTGCCTGCTTCCACCTTCCAGCGCACACATGACCGCACTGCAGTCTGTGGCCCGTGGCCTGGTCTGACAGGGCAGGGCCACTGTCCCAGAGACCTGGGATTAGAGGGACTGGACGTGCGTGTGATGGGTGCTCCAGGTTCGGAGGGTTGAGCGTAAATGGGTGAGTGGGTGGTGTTTGGATGTGGAGGTGGGTGGAAGGTGTGCGGATGGAAGGGATAGACGGACAGACCGTGCGCGAGGGTTGCTGCATGTTCTTCCCTGCAGACAGCCGAGGAGAAGGTGCCAGTGTGGTATGTCATGGATGAGTTTGGCTCGCGCATCCAGCACGCGGACGTACCCAGCTTTGCCACTGCACCCTTCTTCTACATGCCCCAGCACGTGGCCTACACGCTGCTGTGGCCCCTGAGGGACCTGGATACAGGTGGTAAGTCAGATACCCGCCCACCCTGGAGGCTGGGCCTGGGCCTCGGTTTCCTGCCGCACCCCCCCGATGGGCACGTGTCTTGGTGCAGAGGAGGTGACCCGGGACTTTGCCTATGGAGAAGCAGACCCTCTGATCCGGAAGTGCAGGCTGCTGCCCTGGGCCCCTGCCGACATGTTGGACCTGAGCTCCTCCACCCCCGAGCCACCCAGTGAGCACTACCAGGTGTGACCCTCCGCCTCTGACCCCTGGGCCCATTGCCTGGTGGCTTCTGGAGCATTCTGCATCCTGTCAACAAAGGGTATTGAATGCCAGCTGACTACTGCAAGAGATGGAGACAGTTGGGAGCATCTGGGAGATGGGGGCTCAGAGCCCAGGGAGTGAGTGTGAACTGCCCGTGACCCCACAGCCTGGGTGCCAGTCCCGAGCTCAGACCCCAGGGTGCCTGATGCTGGGAACTGTCCCTTCAGAGCGTTGGGTGTCGGTGGGGGAGCTGGTGGTCCAGGCTGCCTTCCCCCATTTTCAGGGGAGCAGGGGGAGGTGTAATGGGCCGAGCAGCTTGGCTGTGAGCCCTGGCTCAGTACTGTTTCCTCACGTGACACCTCCTGCACCAGGATGTAGAGGCACCACGCAAGCACTGGATGGTACACTTCCCAGCACGCGGTAGGCCGCCACAAGTAGTCGTCAGTAGTGTTAGTATTGTGGACAACACAGGTGCTTCAGTCCACAGGCAGCCTCTCCATCAGGGCCCCAACAGCCCCCCGTGGCCCACTCACAAGAGCTGGGCTGGTGGGGAGAGTGAACCAGCATGGGGGCTGGGGCAGGGGAAGACATGGAGCCTGTAGGGACACAGCTGCTGCCAGAACCACACAGGTCTGGGCAGGGGTTACCACTCCAGCCCCTCTCTCCTCTCCTCTGCTCTCTGAACTGCCATAGCTTCCTGTTGGCTGGTGACCAGTTAGCCTGTGCTTAGCATTTGCAACAGGCATGCTCTGTTGTAATCCTTACAACAGTTAGGATTTACAGTCCTATTTTTATCTTTACTGAGGATGAGGGAGCTAAGGCACAGAGAGGTTAAGTAATTTGCCAAAGGTCACACAGCTGGTAGAGCTGGAATCCACCAGGGGGACCTGACAGCTTGTGGCAGCTTCTGTTGAGGCTTCCCTGCAGCCTCTGGCATCAGTTGCTCACTGAGTGCCTCGAGGCAGGGGGCTGTGGAAAGGCACAAACAAGTTAGGTCAGATGACAGCAGGAAGTGCCTCGTGATGCCTGCTGTCTGTGGTGCTGTTGATCACAGAGGCTGGGCCGTAGCGGTGGTCCTGCTGGACTTTCCTCGTGATTTTGCCCAGTGGAGCCGTGATTGGACTGTACCCATGCCAAAAATTCAGTGCTCGTATTTCTTGATTCAGAGGTGTGTTTCAGCACCTCAGAGCGCCTGCACTTAGTAGGTACTTAGTGAACAGGTAGGTAAATGCAGAGGGTCAGGGCTTAGGAGTGGCTTAGAGACAAAGACTTTCAGGTCTTCAAGTTGTTTGTTGCAGGAACGTGAATTAAAATGAGTCTTTTTTTCTTGGGGTGCCCTCTGCTGGCCAGGAAGAGGGCGGAGATAGGAGCCAAGCAAGCACTGGTGGTCCGGCCGTCCATTTGCCTGTCTGGATCAGGCCTGTGCTGCGGGCCCTGGGGCTGCCTGTATTAGGTAGCTATTACCAGCAAACAGATCACTCCAAAACGTGGCAGCTTAAACAGCAAAGATTGATTATCTCACACCTTTTGGAGCAGCGGTAGGGGATGGCTCAGCTGGGTGCTTATGGCTTGGGATCCCCTGTGGTGCCGTCAGTCAGGGCCACATCATCTGACGCTGGAGGGCCGAGCACCTGCATCTGTGTGGCCCACTCATGCCTGGCGAGGGGGTGCTCTTGGCAGGAGGCCTCAGTCCGTCCCCCGTGGGCCTCTCCACAGCAGGGGGAACTGAGTGTCCCACAGTGTGGTGGCTAACTTCCCTTAGAGCAGGTGTTCTAAAGGCAGGGAAGGGGGGGCACCCGCTGTTACACTTGTTCTGTTAGAGCGGCTCATTCAGCCCAGCCCGCACGCGGGGGAGGTGAACTAACTCTGCCTTTCGAAGGGAGTGTCACAGATTTTGTGGGCCTGTTTTAAACCACCACGCTAAGCTTGGAGCAGTTTGGGGGCTCCCTGGGACCACAAAGCCCCTCCCAGGACAGGCTGGGCACTTTGGCCACCTGTGACCTGGAGGTAGTGTTGAGAAGATTTAGAACAATATTTACATTGTTCTTTTGATACAAAACAGGTTGTTAAGCACCTGAATATGGGGGAAGGGCTCTGCGAGCTTAGGGCCTGCACCAGGCTCCCCCTGGGGCCTGGGTGTGTCCCCCCAGATCATTAAACCCTGGTGTGCCAGGTTGGGAGAGGCCTGTGTTCAGTTGCTCCATCTCTTGAAGGCCTGTTTAACCCCTGGTGTTTTCCTCCTAGGCCATTTTGGAGGAAAACAAGGAGAAGCTGCCACTTGCCATCGACCCAGTGGTGTACCCCAGCGACCACATCTTCAAGTGTGTTGCCCCTTCTCAGCTCGTGCTGAGACTCCTCACACCCCACAGTCCCTGAGACCCTGGAACAGGGCCTGGCATGGGAAGCACTCGGGAACCCCACTGTCTGCCAGCACCGTGGCAGTGACAGGAACGCCAGGGTACAGTCTTAGGATGACCGGGAGAAGGCTGTGGACAGTGAGGGGTGTTTTCACCCCATGCTGGAGTGGAGACACAGCCTGGCCTGCCCGCACACGCCCCTCTTGAAAGCAGGAGCCTGGGCTGGCCGCGAACATTCTGGGCACCAAGCACAGGAGCTGGGGCTGCTCTCAGGTGTCTGCGGTGTAGGCTGGCATGTTATGTAAGGCCGGCAGGCAAGCTCAGGCTGGACCCTGGGTGGAAACAGATGCTCCGTTTTACAGATGGGGAGCAGAGGTGCTGAACTTTACCCGCCAGATGTGGAGCCAGCTTAGAGGCAGGGCCCGGCCCAGCCAGGGGCAGGCTGGCCTCTGCCTTCAGGGGAGCCCCCAGCACTGGCTGCCCAGACCTGGTCCAGCCAGAAGCAGGCAGAATGCTCCAGTCTGCCCCTTCTGCCAGGTCCTGGGCTCTATTCCCCACTGTCCCTCTGCCTGCCTTCCTCTCCTGAGGCCATTGCCCTGACCCAGGTAGTCCAGGGGCTCTTCCTGAGGCCCTCTGCCCAGTATCCCTGTCCCCCCCGGGCCCAGAGGCCTCACTGAGGCCGGCTGAGCCTTGCCTTCCTGCTCCAGCCACAGACTACGCACTTCACACTGGCCCCACCCAGCAGGGCCGGCTCGCCTCTTTCCTTGGAGCGCTGGCCCAGGCTGAGCCACCCTCCTGCCTTCACACTTGGCCCCGTCACTTTAAACGTGTGGTCGTCTCCACCTGCCCCAGCATGGCCGGGCCAGGCAGGGCAGGCAGTGGAGAGCACCAGTGCGGAATGAGGCCTCATCTGGGGCACTTGTCCTGGCCACACGCTCACCTGCAGACACCCAGAATGCCAGCTTCCTTTTCTGCGGGCAGAGTTCTTGATGTGTCCTCAGGACCAGCAATGTCAGCCCATCCTCTGTTAGCGCCTGGGAGGAAAAAAACTGTGTTTGGTAAACCCTGAGGTTGTCCTGTCTCATCCTCGCAAGTGTGACGTGGCCCTGTGGTTCAGTGTCACAGATGGGGAACCCAGGGTCAGAAGGCTCCAGGTGGCCCCATTGCTCAGCAGGCAGAGGCTGGGGTTGTCCGACTTGAGGAGCCAGGGCTGCAGAGTTGGACTTAACTCGGCCTCGACCTCTTAGCCAGTGGGGAGCAGCTGAGACCTGGGAGCATGGCAGCCAGCTCAGCCCGGCCTCCCCTGCAGGGTCTACACGGACATCCAGCAGGTGCTCAGCCACCTCACCCACCCGCGCTTCACCTTCACCCAGAACGAAGCGGACGCCGACATCCTCTATAACTTCTCTCACTTCAAGGACTACAGGTGAGCCGCCTCCCAGCCTGGGGCTCCTGAGGCTGGCCCCAGAGGCTCTGGCCACCCTGAGCTGGCTGCACCTGCCTTGGCCCTGCAGGAAGCTCAGCCAGGAACGGCCCCAAGTGCTACTGAACCAGTTCCCCTGCGAGAGCCTTCTGACAGTGAAGGACTGCCTGGCCTCCATCGCACGCCGGGCGGGGGGTCCTGAGGGCCCGGCCTGGCTGCCCCGAACCTTCAACCTGCGCACCGAGCTGCCCCAGTTCATCAGCTACTTCCAGCAGCGTGAGAGGCGGTAAGGACCTCCGTGCACCAGAGCTGTGCAGCCGAGACACCTATGTTCATCTCGAGCCTGTCCTCACATAGCCCAGTCTGCTGCTTGGCTGAGAACCTACTATGTGCAGGCTGCGGTGCTGGTAGCTGTGGGCTCTGAGCATTCCATGCTGCCCAGGGGCCTCCACCCCACTGCTCGGGTCATCCTTCCACCAGAGTACAGCTCCTCACTCCCCAAGCTCCAGTCTCTAAACATCTCTGAGACACCAGGGGAGGCTGGGTGCCCCTCCTGTAGCCACAGACCTGGGGAGACAGTGCCTGGGCGGGTGGACACAGGCACAGCCTAGCCAGCCTCTGTGCCCCCAGGGGCGAGGACAACCACTGGATCTGCAAGCCCTGGAACCTGGCCCGCAGCCTGGACACCCACATCACCAGGAGCCTGCACAGCATTGTCCGGCACCGCGAGAGCACCCCCAAGGTAGGCCCTCGGCCCCAAGTGGGATGCCTGCTCGGCACATGGGTTGGCCACCAGAGAGTGGCAGGGGACTCAGGTGTGAGGACCTGTGCGTGTGGGCCTCAGCATTGGCAGGTACTTGGGGTCACTCGGCTCACAGGAGTCTCCCAAACCCTCCACAGCCCTTTCCTGCTGCCCTTGCCAAAGGAGGGGGCTGTGTGACGGTCCCAGTAAGAGGAGGGGGGCTCGATCAGCTGTCCTAGGTGTGTCTGACCTCACAGTCCCACATGCTGACCACGTATGACCACCCGGCAGGAGTGAGTGTCCAGGCCAGGACAGGGAGCCCCTCAGGGACACGGGGCATATCAGAGGAGCATCTTTTCTTTCAATTTAAAGTAAAGTTGAAGATAAAGAGCCTGAAGGATTGGCAAAGGCAGAGAAGGAGCAGAGTATGGGGTGCAGGTCCGTGGACACCAAGGCAGGGACCTAGGCTACAGGAGCACACCTCTCCAGGATGCGAACCCACTGCCAGGGGGGCCGGGTGCGGACAGGGCGAGCTCAGGGCCTCTGTCCTGGCCCGGGTGAGGTGAGAGTGCCTGAGAGCCTGTGTCTGTCTCCCAGGTTGTGTCCAAATACATTGAAAGTCCTGTCTTGTTCCTTCGTGAAGATGTGGGGAGTGTCAAGTTCGACATCCGCTATATCGTGCTTCTGCGGTCTGTGAAGCCCCTGAGGGTGTTCACATATGACGTGTTCTGGCTGCGGTTCTCCAACCGGTAACTGGGGAGATGGGCAGGGCGGGTCCCCACTTCCGTGGATCAAAACTCTACCCAGGGGCTCCTGCACCACCCACCAGGGGCACTGACACAGGAGCTGGCACCAGGGGCACTGACACAGGAGCTGGCACCTGGCCCAGGGCTCCAAGTACCTGCCCTGCCTGGACTTGGCCACATACAGGACCCACTCTAGTATCTCTCCACTCATCCTGCAGCCCCTTTGCGCTCAATGACCTGGATGACTATGAGAAACATTTCACCGTCATGAACTATGACCCGGAAGTGGTACTGAAGCAGGTAGGGCCTGGGGGGGCCTGGGTAATGGGTTCACAGGGAGGCCGGCCAGCGTGAGCCTGGGCCCCACACCCACTGGCTTGTCTTCCGGGCAGGCTGCATAGTTGGTCAGAAGGGCTGTGGTCTGGTACCTGTCAAACAGCGCCCCCTGTGGCTCTGTGGGGCGCGCACTCTGTTGGAGGTCACGGGAACCACAGCCTCCCCAGGTCCTGGGGCAAGTAGGAGCAGGGGGGTCCCGGAGGGGAAGCACAGACTGCCTCCGCTCGGCACCTGCTGAGCACAAGGACAGACAGGGTTGGGGAGGCACAGGTGTGCGTCACATGGCCCCCGGCGACCCTGCCTGGACCCTGGGCCCTGTGTTCCGTGCACTATTGGGCTCCTTGAGCAAAGGGGAATCGGGGTAAAGCTCCTCTTATGCTGAGGGCCCCAAACCCCAGCCAGCCAGCTGCGTGCCCGGGACAGGGAGGCCCAGCTGAGACAGAGGTAGAGGTGGACTCTGGGAGGCAGAAGAAAACAGGAGAACTAGGCCGCCCCACCCCATGTGTCACCCCTGAAGTGCCCTCCGGCCTGGTGGCAGGCTGGTGGCGGGCCGTGGCCCTGCAGGTGAGCTGCTCTCCTGCATGTGATTGTCCTTCCCAGGTGGCTCTCCGTTCTTTTCAGCTGAGAACGTCCCTAACCAACTCAAAGGATTGTTTTCCATATTTGTATTTTTGTATCGGGGGCGCCTTATTGAACAAACCCTACCACAGCTTTTTCTGAGGACCACGTTTTCAGCCGTCGTCACCACTAAGGGAGCTGCGGGCGCCGTTGCTCACTCAGTACCAGATGTCTGGGTCAGCTCTGGTTTCTCCCTGGTGATAGGCGTGCCAGGGTAAATACACCACACCCGTACCTAGGAAGTCCCCTCAGGAGGCACCTAGAAAAAGAGTGGCCGTGCAGTGCGTGCGCCCCACAGGGCTGGTTTCCCTGCCCCTCCTCTTGTCCTGGGCTGTGCTGAAGGCCGGTTCCCAGTACTCCCTGCCCCCTCTGGGGCCCCAGGATGTGGTTGGAAGTCGTCTCTGAGGGCCTTCCCCCTAACTTAGTATGTCATTCCAAATGTCATGTGTTCCCTGGAAGCTCCCAGGTGTAGGGACCTATGTCAGGCAGGGCGGGAGCGTGGGGCGTCACAGGGAGCCCATGCTGGCCTGTCCTGGGAAAGAGCTGAGCCATGAGCAGGTATGTTCTGGGTGAAGTCTTGCTGTCCTCAAGCACTGTGAGCTGAGCCGTGCAGACGCGGGCGCGAGCTCTGCCTCCAGTGCCCTGCTCGGAGGTGTGGATGGGCACCAGCAGCCCAAGCCCCGAGCCCAGCGTCTCACGTACAGCCTCTGAGCAGCCCTGCAGAGTCGGCTGAGCAGGGAACCTTGCAGAGGAAGACGCTGAGGCCCCTAGAGGTAGATCTTGTCCAGAGTCACCCAGAGAGCGCCAAGCTCGTACCCCAGCTCCTGCCTCCCCTGTGCCCTGAGAGGTTGAGGAAGCAGCTTTCCCCTCCCCCGCCAGCCTCCGATCTCCCTGCCCGGCCTCGGAGGCCTGCCTGCAGAGCACGAAGGGCCCTTTGTCACAGGTGCACTACGATGAGTTCATCCCCGAGTTCGAGAATCAACACCCACAATTTCCATGGAGGAGCGTCCAGGTGAGTCCTGAGCAAAGCTTCCCTCGTGGGTGGGCACTGGCCGGCTGGGGGTCTTCTCCTCTGGGTGGTCCTCCTCCCACCGAGGCAGCAGGCGCCAAGACCCTTCCTCCTGCTCTGGTGCATGTGGGGTGATACGCAGGGCTCCTCGGGTGAACCAGAGGGGCATTTGGGGCATGCCTGGAATAGCCAGACAGTGGCAGGCCCTGCCTGTCCCAGAAGAAGCTAAGCAGAGGGCACGGCTGGAGATGCGCTCACCTCCACGTCCTGGGGTGCTGCTGTGCGTGCCTCAGTCACAGGGCACCATGGGGGCTCTGAGGCAAGCAGTAGGTGGGCACCAGGAGGGAGGGAGCAGGTGGGGGACGGAGGTGGCTGCTGCCAAGTCTGGAGACATGGAGGGTGTAGGAAGTGACTTGGGCCATTTGAGAGCTGGGACTTAGGAAGGGGCAGCCAACTGCATATTGAGAGGCTGCTCTGGGGGCTGACACCAGTGTCAGAGCCGCACAGGCCCCTGACCCTGCCTCCCCTGGTCCCCAGGCCGAAATCTTCCGGGCCTTCACAGAGCTATTCCAGGCGGCGTGTGCCAAGCCGCCACCCATGGGCCTCTGCGACTATCCCTCATCTCGAGCCATGTATGCCATCGACCTCATGCTGAAGTGGGACAATGGTCCAGATGGTGAGGAGGCTTCCCCATAACCCAGCCTGTCCCCCCGTTACCCGAAGTCCATCACCCAGCCCTCCTCACACCCACTCCCGGGGGACAGGGAGAGGTACCGCTGCTGCTCTGTCCTGCTGAGCGCTGCCCAGGCTCCCCCTTGCCTCAAGTTAGTGGGGAGAGCTGGGTTCTGGGGGATTCGCCTTTCAGGGGTGACAGCCTGCAGGGCAGAGCACAGACGGAAGGGTGGGCAGGCTGCCGGGGCATCGGGAGAGAGCTCCCAAGGGCTGGGCCTGTGTGTGACAGGCAGAGGGAGCAGGCAGCCCGGGCTGGGCCACCGGTGGTTCCAGGGTGACCAGGCAGGCCCACCCCGGCCCACTCTGCATCTCTGCTTCCTCTGTTGGACTAAATCTGATGTCTGAGCTGGGTGTGGTGGCTCCCATGACTCCCGGGGCCTCCCCTTAAGGAGCAGGCTTTGGACCTGGCGCCTTGGAAGCCAGGAGAGCGGAGTTCCAGGCCCTGCTCACCAGCCCGCCCTCCCAGGAGTAAGAGGCCCTGTGCTTTGTGCCGTCAGGGAAGCGAGTGATGCAGCCACAGATCCTTGAGGTGAACTTCAACCCGGACTGTGAGCGAGCCTGCAGGTACCACCCGACCTTCTTCAATGACGTCTTCAGCACCCTGTACCTGGACGAGCCCAGCAACTGCCATGTCACCCGCCTCATCTAGGCGCTCGCCAGCCCCCCCACTTGTGCGCTCGGGTGGATTCCAGCCTTAGCCTCTGTGGACTTCCCCCCTGCCCCCAACCCCCTCTGGGCACAGCCTGGCCTGTGAGCCACTGCCCAGCTCAGGGTCCTCCTCCCCTTGTAGGTCGGGAGCCCCAGTGCCCCCAGGCCTGAGTGCCAGGCCCCATCCATACTTTGCTCACCACCATCCGCACAGTGATTGGTCTCAGCTCAGCTAAGGGCTTTATTCCAGAGAGTCTGGTTCTTGGGCTGCCATGCTTCCCAGGGTGTTAGCCAAAGAAGGGCTCTGGGGAGCCTGGCGAGGTAACCTCAGAAGCAGGGTTCTCTGGGCATGGCTGTGGGAGCCCAACATCGACACGGCCAGGCTGGCTTTTCCTGCGCTTCCGTGAGGGCACTGTGGCTCCTCAGTGTCAGGCCACACTCCACCCCGGGGCCCTGAGTGACAGGCGCCCCCAGAACACCCTGGGGAACCAGCTACCAGACCCAGCCTTCTTGCCCAACAAGCTTGACCAGACCCTTCACCAGCACCCTTCCAGGAAGCTCCAGGCAGGAAGGCCACAGTGGTTGCTGTGGCTTTTCCACTTGGGAAGGACAGGCCATCCTGGGGCCCAGCGGCCCCCCTGTCACCGGCACTGCAGTGGCTCCCCTCATCTGAGGTTGGCTGGGACACTCTGGCTTGGGAGCTCAGGGACAAGTGTGGGCAGCAGAGTACCAGGCGGCAGACGCTGAGAAAGATGATTCCAGAAGAACATTATACCGGATGGCATCATCCACTGGAGTCTAGCGTCCAAGTGTTGGATTTTTTGTTATTGTTTCATTCGTGGGAGAAAAATATAAAGTTCTCTTAATTTTGTTTGAAATTTGGAGTCAGATGCCAGCACATGTGTGGCTGCAGTGTGCCTGGGCCCAGCTAATGGGAAGATGGGCAGGCTCCGAGGGGTGCTGCTTCTCAAGGCTACCTGTGTATGTGCTAGGGTTGGGGGGGTCCTTTTTTCATTTTGGAGCCAAGATTCCTGCAGCAAAACAGGACCTGATGGGGCCTCCCGTGTGTGTCAGTGTCCGTCCATCCCCTTAACCAGAACCTCAGCCGCAACCGGAGAGCACCCCTGCCCCGAAGGCCAGACTTCATCTCTGGTTCCGTCTGCAGGCGGGCTGCTGGCGCCCTGTTCTCGCCCCAGCCTAGTTTGTGTTCCTGCAGTAAGTATGCCTTTATTTCTGCCTCCCCTTCTCTTTGGAAGCCCTGGAACCACAGGCCTGGCATGGTGTGTCGGCGGTTTTCCTGGCTGGTCGTTCAAGAAAACCAAAATAACGACGTGAGCTTTGCGAAACCGAAGAAACAAAAAGTAAGGTGGTGCTTAGGCCCGTCGGAGTCCTTCCTGGCCGCTGACACAAAGTGCCGTGAACAGGGCGGCGTACTCAGCAAGCATCTTTCTGACAGTGTTAGGGGCTGGGGTGTCCCGACATCAGGGGGCTGGTGGGTTTGGGATCTGGCAAGGGCAGTGAGGCCCCTCTCCCTGGTTCAGGCAGCACCCTTTCTGTGTCCAGGCAGGACACTCGGGGGGGTCTCGAGGTGCTGTTCCCATCATGGGGGCGCCACCTCCTGCCACCATCACATCGGGTCAGGAGTCAACGTATGAACTTGGGGGATGCTGGGATCACAGTTCACAGACCCACAGCTGCATTTCCCAGTGCTGGTCCCATTTCAGAGTGGGCACAGTGGGGCAGATGTGGCACTGAGGCCCATCCTGTGTGACGGCCTCACCCGGAAGCTTCCATCCTCGTGTGAACCCTGAACCCCGGCTCCAGCACACACTCCTGAGGCCTGGGGGAATGGGAGTCTTGGGGATGATGGGAGACCCAGGCAGCCCACAGGGCAGCACAGCCTGGCAGCTGGTGCCTGAGAGGTGCATGGCTGCAGTCGGCCAGTACAGGTAGAGCAGGTGGATGCCTGGTGGGCTCACCCGGTGCCAGACCACAGCTGTGGCCGTTGCCATCCCACCCACCAGTGGTTTTGGAGGTTAAAACATTCAAACCCAGGCCAGGGATGGCGTCCCCAACCACAGGCAGCTTCTCCCAGGAGCTGCCCTGCAGGGAGCCCTCCTGTGCCCCTCAGGGCAGGCGTGCACACCTAGTGGTTTGTGTGGATGCCCGAGACGGGTAATGCAGTCACTGGGTCAGAGGACCACACGACCCCAGCTTTCCTGATTATAAAAGTGCTTTCCCCCAATTCCAGATGTCCTCGTATCTCCGATCAGCGGAAATCAGGTGACCCCACAGAAGTCCCCCAGCAGGGCCCTCACTGTCCCAGGAGACCAAAACATCATCGCAGGGGACACAGTTCTATTCCTCTTAAGTCTTTCTGGCACTCATGTCACCCATGTCAATTTCTCTGTATTAAGAATTCTCAAAAGCAGAATTTATAAGTGTTGGACATTTGGAGTTGACGAGATATTGGACATTTTGCCAATTTCAATTAACAACCAAAAGTAAACGGGTAACCAACAGCCAGAGGCGGGACCAGCCCCGGTTCTGGGAGGCTGCGCGGCACACGCGGCTCAGAGTGTAGGGACTGAGCAGAGGGGCCCCCTGCCAGCCCTCTTAACTCTACACAGCCACCTGGAGAGGTCATGAGTCACCCACCTCAAAGCCAGGGTGACACCTTCAAACCTGGGCTGGCCTTGGCCAGCGAGGGGCTGCTGTGTGCCAGGGTGGGTGAGGCTGGCGTGAGTCCCGGCAGCCCAGGGGCAGGTCAGTCTGGGCCCAGCCCCACCCCTCACCCCACCACCCCCCAGTCTAAGCCAGCCAAACAGGAGCACAGGGCCAGGGTGTGGGCCCCAGGTTGGAACTGGGCTGCTCTCCACTCTGCCAGTTTCCCTCCGCGCCATCCTGAGCAGGCCTTGGCACCTGTACACAGTGAGGGTCCCAAGAAGTGTGGGGAAGCCCTGCCACATCCAGTCACATCTCATGACAGCCCAGTCAGATCCACAGCAGGACAAGCCCGTCTCCCTCCCCACGACCAGGCATCTCACCCAGGTGAAAAGGCCACTGCTAGGAAGTTAAAAATTTTATTTGGCTTATAAAATTCCACATTCTGAGAGCAAGCTTCGTGAAGGGCAGAAAGCTCAGGACTGTTCCTAGGGTGGGCCAGCAGCCCAGAGCCCTCTGCAGGTGGTGGTGACCCCCTGGGCAGAGACCCAGACAGACCCAGACAGACCCAAGGCCTGTAAAAGCGAGAGGGCTACTGACAGCGCCGGGCGGCAGCTGAGGTCCTCACAGGGCAGGGTGCCCTTACTCTGCGAGCCGCCCGCCTCCACGCCGGCCACGGTTGTCCCGCCATAGGCAGTAGTTGAGTGCAGACCCGAAGGCCAGCCAAGCCAGGTACGGGTAGAGCAGGCGGGCAGCTGCTGGGCTCACCGGGTGCCAGGCCACAGCTGTGGCTGTCGCCATCCCGCCCACCAGCAGGATGTCCACCAGGGCCTGTGGAGACATGGGAGAAGGCCTGAGACTCAATGGACTCACAGGGTGGGAGGGTGTCCCTGCTGCCCAGGCACTGGGTACACTCAAGGGAACACTCCAGTCCACCCCTAGGGGACTCAGCCAAGCTCTCCACTGTTCTCTGTCTCATTTTCCCCATCTGTAAAATGGGGACAGCCGCCCTGCCTGCCCTTGCCATGTATGGGGTGCACAGCTCTATGTGGCTTTTCCTAGACAGTGGCCCCTAAACCCAGACCTGCAACTGCATCCAGCGTCTGTCAGCCCTGCCACGCTCCCCTCACTGGAGGGAAAGCAGCCGTGGGGGGCTCCACAGGAGGGCACTGGCCCCAGAGCTTGTGAAGAGACGCTGACCACGAGCCAGGTGCCACCCCTGCCCCCACCTTTAGACCCTGACCCCATGAGGGACGTGATGCCCCATGTCCCCCAAGGGCCATCTCCAGGGACAGGGAGACAGGCCAAGGCCACACTTACCCAACCCATCTGTCGGGCACCAAAGAAGATGGGAGGCCACGCCCAGTTCAGGGCCAGCTGCCCAGCATAGAGGCCCAGGGGAACCACAGCCTCCTCTGTGAAGCCTCCCAGCTCTTTCCAGACCATGTAGGAGCCATACCTGAAACAGAGGCCACCGTCAGCCGCTAACGGGGAAGGGGCCAGAAGCCTCCATGCAGGGCACAGAGCCACGCTCACCACTGGGGGATGGTGATGGCCAGGCGCAGCCTGCCACCGACCGCTGCGTGACCTCAGGGAAGGCGCAGAGCATCCCTCACAGGGCTGCCGCGGGCATCTCTGAACACACTGCCAGCGCTAGGGCAGTGCCTGGCACGTGGGACACTCAATAAATATTTTCCGCTGGTATCGTCAGTGCTGTGAACAGGGCACGACATGAGGCGTGTGCGTGAAGAAGAGGCTCCTAACCTAGCCAGGAGCACCGCACGGAGGGCAGAACATTCAGGCTGGGCCTTAGGGGAAGAGTAGGAGATTTCCAGGGGAGGAACCAGGACCTGCTCAGAGGCAGGCGTGAGGCCGAGGCAGCCTGTGTGACTGCGGGTGGTCCGGGGGGCCAGGAGAGGCCGGCCTAGAGAGGCGGATGGGGACTGGTCCCGGGTCACCGGCGCGGTGGTGAGGCCGCCGGGAACGGCTGACGCCCCCCCGCACTTACCCGCACAGGCACTGCTCTGGCCCTCCCCGGGCACCAACTCGTCTCATCCCCACTGTAATGCGATGGGGTGCACGGTATGATCACCCCCTTTTATAGGTGAGGAGACTGAAATCTCTTGACGGGCAACCAGTAAGTAGTAAGGGCTTGAGTCCAGAGCCCAAGTTCCTTATTCCATGAGGAGTGTGACCTTATCGGGGCCGCAGGGGGCCTACACGGGGTCCCACGACAGAGAGGCTGGGCCACGTTTGTGTCTTATCAGGACCTTGAGGGAGGACCAAGAGGAAGTGGGGGGCCTGGAGGTTGGAGCAAGCTGAGGCCGAAACAGTGGAGGCCGGGCTGGGCTGGGCGGGGAGAAAGCATATCAGAGAAAGCCTGACTGGCAGGGCCTGGGGCTCCAGGGCTGGGACCCAGGTGACAACTAGGTTTGAGGGGGCTCTCTTATTCCCAGAAGAACCCCAGGACACTCGACCTGGCCTCTGCTACCTGCCCCCCGGGTGGCTGGCATCTGCAGCCCCACCTTGCACTGGGCTGGCATAGACCTAGGAGGCAAGGAATATTCCAGGAGGCCGGAAGCTGCCCTGGCTCCCTGGACATGGTTCCCTCTGGAGCCATCAGGGGGCGCCCTCCCCCATCCAGCACTTCCTTTCCTCCAAGGCAATCCCTGGGGTCACTGGGTTTCTGCAGGGTCCCTGCCCACTGGCCCCGTGTCCTTTGAAGGGGAGGGAGCGGTGGCGGTGGGGGGTGTCCAATTAACTGAGACAAAGCCTGGCTGTGAGCGGGCGCCCTTGAAAGGCAGCCGCTGCTGTTGCTGTCGCTGCTGCTGTTACCCATCTTGGAAACGTCCTCGCTGCCCAGGTCTGAGCTCTACACACTGAGCCAGCCTCGCCCTGGAGTTGTGAAAACACCCAGCTTGGCCGCGTCAGGTTGAGCCACCGGGCCCGCCCCTTCCAGGAGGCGCTGGAGCAAAAGGCTCGGTTGTGCAACCAACAGGCCCAAGGTTTTCTCCACCCTGCTCTTGGCAAATGAGGCCGGGAACCGCTGTCGCAGCCCTGGGGGAACCTGGGCACTTAAACCCCTGGAGGAGAAGAGGAGAAGCTATGCTCTCAAGCCCTGAAGGGAGAGGATGGCCCTGCCCAGCCTGCTCCGCGGGTGGACTGCATGGCTGCGAGATCAGCGCCTGTGCCCACCTACCCCATCGTTGAATAGAGCGTGCCCCAGATGGGGCCCAGCGCCCAGCGGGGCGGGTGCCATGAGGGCTTCTGCAGGCTGTCATACCAGCGCAGGCCCTCGCCACGGGTATGGTGGGAGCCCAGGTAGGCCCCTACGCTGGGCAACAACGTGAAGCCCACGGCGGACACCCAAGGCGGGGCCATTGCTGTTGAGGCTGCTGTTCTGGAAAGCCCTGAAAGAGAAGACATAGCTGCAGTAAGGCCTCCGGAAGCATTTCCCAAGGACCTACTGTGTGCAGGCTAGGGGGCTGGGCCTATCACCTTCAGCATCACCACAAGCCCTGGGCGGGCCTGTTACCAGCCCCCTGTCACTCACTTATACATCAAAGGATGGATTAAACAATCAGGGAGGTTTAAGGTGGGGAGGGTCTGGCAGGGGGGGGTCCCAGGTGATCCCCAGGTTTTGGGGACTGTCTTAGTGCCATCAGAAACCCGAGGCACCTGGCCTGGCCTCTGCTACGTGCCTCTGGGTTCACACAAGCAGCCCCCACAGCCGAGGACTCCAGTGAACACCTTTCCATCCAAACTCCTGCCCCGACCCAGGAGGCTGCCCTGCCTGGAAGGAGCCTCTCGGGTGGCCCTGCCCCCAGTCAGCTCCTGGCCCGGCTGCCAGGGTCTTGTGCCCTCTCACCCTCTTGCTCTCTCTCTCTTGCCTCTCCAGGCAAGTTTCTCTGCCACCTCATCCAAGGCCAGTTTGGGTGCCCTCCACCAGGAAGGCTTCCCAGCCCCTTCTCCCAGGCCAAGTGCCAGCCAGGGGCTCTTTGAGGGCTGTGTCAGTCCACACCCTGTGCTTTATGTTCTAATATTTCTCATTCATTCATTCAACAATTGGTATCAGAGGTTGGCTCAAATTCTGGCTCCCAGCTGACCCTCTGTAACCTCAGACAAATCACTTTAGCTCTCTGGGCCTGCCTCAGTTTCTCCCTCAATAGGATGAGATATCAATGTTGCCTACCTGGACCCAGCCCAGTGCGGGGTATATCTCTGCACAAGTGTTTCACAACCACCCCATAAGCCCACCTTGAAATCACCTTCTCCTCCCTCCCTGTGTGCCCGAGAGGGAAAGCAGCCTGCCTGGGGCCACACAGCACTCCTGGGCCAGGCTCTGTCCAGCTAGAAAAGCTGCTCCCACTCTGACACCAGGGCCACTGAGGTAGTGGGTAAGAAGGAACAGAAGTTAGCAAGAGTTCAAGGCTGGTGAGGTCCCCCTGGCAGTCCTGAGAGGCTGGCAGAGCTCAGGGCAAGGAAGGGCCCTGTCTCAGGCCTAGACGCTGCCAGCCCCAGGACTGGGAACCCAGTCACCAGGTCTCTCCATTCTGCTCTTTGCACGGCCGCTTGCCCAGCAGCCCTGCCACCTGCACTGAGGGCCTGCTAGGTGCCCAGCAGGAAGTGAGGCCCCAGCAAGCCGAGCTGCTCATTGGGGCTGAGAGCCCAGAGACAGCCGGGGGGGCTCCAGGCTCGGCACCTGGGGCTAGCTCTGCCTGGACCTGCTGCAGGGCCCTAAGCCGGTCAGTACCCCCGACTGGCCCTCAGCTTCCCCAACATAAAGTAAGAGGCCGAGCTCCCACTGGTACATCCTGATCCTACTTGGGGAAGCTGGGGGTGTCCAGTGGCATAAGTAGCCACACAACCGGGTCAGTTCAGCAAACACAGTATGGTCTGCTAGGGTGGGGCTGGGGCCCCCTGGGGGACAGAGTGGGAGAAGCCCCGAGAGGGGCACAGACCTCAGACCCCTGACCCAGGATCAGGGAGGACATCGAGCACTTGCTCCCCAGGGACACTGGAAGGGAAGCAGCTGGGGTGACAAGAATGACCAGGCAGGCAAGCATGGGCCGTGGGCTGGACGGGGGAGGCAGGTGTCGGGGAGACACAGGAAGGAGGCCATGCTCAGTTAGGAGCCACGGGGAGCCACCAGGCTTCGGAGCCAAGGAGAAGGGAAGAAGGGGCAGCTGCCAGCCAGGAGCTCCACGAAGCCCCATGAAATGCAGGTGTAACCTCAGTGTCCACCAACTGGGGACCATCAAAGACTGGTCAACCCCCAAAAGTAGCTTTAGAGAGAGAACTCTAACAATGTGAAAACTGTTCTTGACATAACATTAATGAAGAAAGCAGAAAATAAAACTGACTATAGAATGATCACAATTTTAACAAAAAATAGATAACATAGATACGCATTTAAAAAACCGTAATGAATTCATGAAGATGTTACCAGCCATCGTCATCATAAGGCTAACATTTCCTGGGGAATGGCCGTGTGCCTGGCAGGGCCAGAACCTGGGTGTCAGCCTGCAGCCCTCACCTTGGGAGGCAGCTACATCCTCTTAGCCGGCTGCCCACCACGAGCAGGGGCACCGAGGGCAGGAGGTGCTCGCCTGGGGCCTGCACAAGCGGGCACTCAGAATTCTAAGGCTGGCCCTGGGCAGCGGGATTTATGATGCTATGTTCATTACATCTTTATAGTTTTCCAAAACATCTCTAATTGGCATAATTTTGAACGGAATGCTCAGTGTTGGGCATCCAGCAGATTCCAGCTCTACCGTTTAGTAACTATGCCTCCCGCCTCCCTAGGCCTCACCTGCTGAATGGGGACAGCTACCCACCTCCCCAGGTCAATGCACAGGACCTGGAAGGGTGAGCGTCACCAGGGGCTGGCATGTGACACAGGGCCGGGCAGGGAACGTTCCTGTGTTTCTCCCTCCCGCTCCCCCTTGCCCTGCCCTCTGGCTTTGAGGGCGTTTCAGGGTGCCAGGGCAAGGGTCTGATCTCAGCACAGCAGGGAGGGCCGCCTCCCCTGGGGCCAGGAGAACACCGGCCCTGTGCTGCTGGGTGCCGAGCCCTGGGCCCGGAGTACTGAGACCTGGCCACTCAGCTGGGCTCACCACTGCGTCACCTCCAGCAAGCCCAGGCCATCTCAGCCCACTTTCTCATCTATGAGGTTTCCCCTGGAGTGTGACACAGGCCAGGCAGGTGGGAGGCCTTCACACCATACTGAACCTCACATATAGACAGGGAAACTGAGGCCCAGAGCCAAAGGGAAGAGGCTAGAAGGCATGGCACAGAGCTGGGCCAGACCTCAGGCATCCTCAAGGTGACCACATGTGCCTTTTCCCAGAAAGGTCCCAGTTTAAGCCCATTTTATCCCAAACTAATGGCCCCTCTCACTCTCAGATGTGTCCCTTTTACAGGTGCTCAATGTTAAGACACATGGGCCCCCAGTATAAGACACATGGGTGTCATGAATTCCTGATACGGTTTACGGGGTAGACACCCTTGCTGTGGTATTCCTGCCCAAAATGCAAAACCCCAGCCAAATCGCAAACATCCTACCAAATAACTGACTCCAGCCCTCTGCACAAGTGTCAAGGTCATGACACATTAGGGACATCTTATTCCCATCAGAAACCCGAGGCACCCAGCCTGGCCTCCGCTACCTGCCCCTGGGTTCACACCGGCAGCCCCTGCCAGCCCAGGGCTCCAGAGGACACATTTCCATCCAAACTCCTGCCCTGACCCAGGAGACCGTCCTCCTGGAAAGACGTGGGAGAGGTGGTGGTGTCACCAAGGGCAGGAGACCACAGAGAAATAAGATGGCAGTGCAGGATCCTGGAGGGGTCCTGGGGCGAACCAAACGTATTCCTGGGAAAACCAGTGGAATGCATTTAAAACAGTTCAGGTGGGCCTCACTTTAATGTTCTCTGCAGATACTGCATTTTTTACAACTTTTTTTACAAATGCAGCCAGTCTATGGGCTCCATTTTTCCAACAGCATTTTGTCACTGCGTGTCTCTGTCACATATTGGTAATTCTCCACCTTTTTCATTATTATGATATTATGGCCATCGGCAGTACATGATCACAACTCACTCACTGAAAGCCCACATGACGGTTGGCATTTTTAGCAATAACATATTTTCTAACTAAAAGAAGGCACATCGGGTTTTTTAGACACAATGCTACTGTACACATAACAGACTACAGTGTGGGGGAAACATAACTTTTTTATGCACTGGGAAACCAAAAAATTCATCTGACTCGCTTTATAGCTAGCTATCCTTGCTTTATCACGATGGTCTGGAACCAACCCCTCAGTAGGTCCAGGTTTGGACATTAACTTGCACTGTCCCCTACTTACAAGCTCAGTTTCATCGCCACATTAGTCCCTGACCCCCAGGCCCCAGACCCGGCTCCACCTGCCGTCAAGGCCCGTCGGAGCGTCTACTTCCACCACATCGCTTCTGCTCTAAGACCCTCGGGGGCACCTGTCCAGGGTTTTTTCTATTTTTTTTTTAATTGAAGAGAAATTCACATCGTGTAAAGTTAGCCATTTTGGGTGCACAATTCAGTGGCATCCCAATGTTGTGCACCCACCACCAAGTTCTAAAACATTCTCATCTCCCCATTAGCAGTCTCCCCTCATTTCCCCCTCCCCCAGACCCTGGTAACCAGACCTGCTTTCTGGCTCCACAGATTTACCTTTTCTGGATGTTTCATATGTGGCCTTTTGTGTCTGGCTTCTTTCACGGAACATCATGTTTTCAAGGTTTACCCATGCAGCCTGTGTCCACCCTTCTCCCCAGGGTTTTGTGGGCAGGGAGCTCATGTCACTCTGCCATAGCACCCAGCCAGTGCTCAGGAAATCCCCATATGGGATGCCCAGTGCCAGTCGACTGGGCCCTAGAGCCCACCATCCAAGTGCCCCACTGTACAGAACAAATCAAGGCCCACAGGGCTGTGGTGGCGTCCCTGAGGCCCCAGGGACACAGCGGGGTCTGAGTCCCATGCTCCTGCCCCCACCCAAGGCTGTGCTTCTGGAGGCTGGCTGTGCTTATTGCTCCACTGGGCCTAGGGGTCACAGGGTCTGTCCAGCCTAAAGGTCGGAAACCAGGGGGGCCAGATGCCCCACGTTGACAGAGCCCGGCCAGGGAGCTTCCGGAGGCCTCTGGGGGACTACCCGGCTCTTGAATCATCCGACCGGGGAACCAACCAGGCTGAGTCACACAGGGCTGGGCTGGGCTGGGCTGGGCGGCTGGCCCAGGAGGACCTGAGAAAGATCCGCACTGGAGTGGGGCCCCCAGGAGGCTGGGGAGGGACTCAGGGCACAGAGGGGCAGAGCCGCCCACCTACCCTTTATTTTATCCCCATCAGAAGGTGACTAAGAGCCCAGACCTTGGCTTGCCTCCAATTTGCTCAGTGATCCCAGACCAAAGCACCTCTTGGGCCTCAGTTTCCCTCACTTTAGGTAGGCATAACCCATCCTGCCTTCTTCACAGGGATGTGGGAGGAGGGGGGCACTCAGGTGAGCACCAGATGAGTGAGGGGTTGTGGGTGTCAGTGTGGGGGCCACTCACCCCACTTCCTCAGTGGGTAGGGGGTGATACGGCACCATGGTGCAGACCCAAAGCTGAGAAAGGTCAGCCAGAAGCTCAGGAGGTGAAAATGCTTCACAGAAGGCCCTGCCCTCAAGTGGCGCCACTCACCAAGCTGTGCCTCTCTGAAAGGGAGGCCCAGACAGGGCACAGCAGAGGGCTCAGGACCTGGGGGCAGGAGACTCCAGGCCTGTGGGGAGCGAGGCAGGGGTGACACACGACAGACTGTGCTCACCCTGGGGGTCGTTACTGCGTCAGCTCTGCGCCCAGCCACGGCGGAGGGACCAGTGGCTTCTCTGCTCAGGGCCCTGAGCCACACGGCCCTCGTGGCCTCCATGGTGGACTCATGATGATTCCCACTGTCCAGCTGAGGAGGCCAAGGCACAGCGAGTCACAGAACTTTCCAGGTCTGTGTGACTCTGGGGCCCACAACATCCCCACCCGGAGCTGGGAGTCTGTTGGCCTCGACTCTGGGCCGCAAGGCCACTCGCCTGGTCAGCAGTGTCACCTCCCCTCTCAGCCTCCCTCCTCATCCCAGCACCTGCAGTGCGGGGGGTTAGGGGGGAGTCTCCCACCCCACATCAGCCAACCCACCCTCTCCCGGGGGTCAGAAGATTCTCTCAGGGCCAATAGACCCACTCTCTCCAGCCCGAGGGCCAACAGTGCCAGGCTCCAAGGGGCATCAGGCCCCTCCCTGGCCCACAGGCAGCACAAGATCTGAACCCTTCCTGCCCCCCAGGGTAGGACCCAAGATCTCCCATCCTTGAGAGGCTTCACTCCTGGCCAGAAGCCCCCAAACCCACTGCTGGCCCAGGCCCCTGTGTCCCCATTTGTGAAGTGAGGAGGGACTGAGCCAGGGGGTCTCTGGGGACCCTCCTGTTCTCTGCAGCCTCCCTATAGAAGGTGACAGAAACCCATGCCCAGGGACAGAAGAGTGGCGTCCTTCCCCCTTCCCCCCAGCTGTGCCCAGCCCTCCAGGCCCATCACTCCTTCCAGCCACTGCTGTCCCAGGCATGAGTCCTAAGGCTCCTTCTATCCAATGACTCACAGCCCATCTCACTGTAACCTCTGTGACATCTTTCACATTATGGGGACCCTCCTGTTCTCTGCAGCCTCCCTATAGAAGGTGACAGAAACCCATGCCCAGGGACAGAAGAGTGGCGTCCTTCCCCCTTCCCCCCAGCTGTGCCCAGCCCTCCAGGCCCATCACTCCTTCCAGCCACTGCTGTCCCAGGCATGAGTCCTAAGGCTCCTTCTATCCAATGACTCACAGCCCATCTCACTGTAACCTCTGTGACATCTTTCACATTATGAAAGTACAGTGTAACAGACAGCAGGTCTGGAAGGATCCACGCCTTGCTGGTAACCCAGCAAGTCTGGGATGGGGTGGGGCAAGGGGTGACAGAGGGGAATTTGCTTGGTGGAGAATGACTCCTTTTCTAAACACAGCATAGTCAGGCATAGCTTGCACAATCAAACATAAACAAAAGGAAATACAAATAAAAGAAATAGATTCAAAAATAAAATAATGAAAAAGCAAAAGTATATAGAGTAAAAAGTGGCTCCCTCCCCTGGGAGCCCAGCCCCTCACCCGACCCAAGTGACTCGCTGTCAACAGCTTCCGGCAAATCCAGACAGATACCATTCAGTCAGGGCCAGACACAAGTGTGTACACACACGCACACGCGCACACACATAACAGGCAGAGAAGGCGGCCTCCAGGGCATGGCGGAAGAAACAAGGCTCTGGAAACAGACCACACCAGTTCACACCCTCATTCCGCTGCCGTAGCTGTGACCCCAGACAGGGATTCTTGGATGAGCCTCAGTTTCCCCCATTTCAAAAGTGCTGTTGCCCCCAGGAAAAGATGCCTGGTTCCTGCTGCCCTGCGGGCAGTCCCCACACCGCCCCACAGACACCGGGGCCCTCAGCCCACATCCTGGCAGTGAGGCATTTTGGCCCAGGGCCTGCTGTTTGCCAGGCACACTAGGCGTGTGCTTCTTATACACAGCCTCCTCTGACACCCCCTCCTTGCCCTTGACCCTCTTGGAAGAGCCTATCACTTGTTCCTAGAGGCTTAGGCCCTGCCCCTACTTCCATCCATCCTCGAGCACATGTCTGGGACCATGTACTACCATTCCCTGGAAGGCCAGCCGGAGTCTCCCAGCCCAGCCCAGGCCCCAGCCATCAACAAGGCGCACCCAGCACTCAGCAGTGTGTTCCCAGCTGGAAGTCCCTCAACCCCGCCCACCTGAACGCGGAGCTCCTTTGCAGCAGCACAGGGACAAGCAGGTCTCAGGTGACGCTCTGTCCACACCAAGCCCCTGTCCAGACTACAGCGCCCCTGAGAGCTGGACTGGGAATCTAGGGACCCGTTTCTAAGGCCAGCGAGGGCCGAACAGACTTGGGGGAAAACAACCTCTTGGATCCGGCCTGGGTTGCATCCCTTAGAAATGGGGCGTGTCACCTGGATGAGGCACTCGCAGCGTCCAGGGCGTTTTGTGGTCCTCAAGGCACCTGGCTCAGCCAGCCTCGCCCCTCCGCGCCCTGGCTTGCTCCTCCGCGAAATGGGCAGGAGAGGGGGTGTTTGGCCCTCCCAGTGGCCCTGCTTCCCGCTCTGGGCAGGGGGGCAGAACTTCCTTTCCCGTCTCCCATCGGCAGGAACTCCACTTCGCAGGACAGCCGACAGCGGAGCCAAGGGCCGGAGACACCCGCCGACCCGCCTGGGGGCCCCCCTCTCCCGGCTCCGGCGTGCTACCTCCTGCCTCAGTTTACCCTCGGTCCCCGCGCCTGCGGCGCTGCTGGGCGTCGCCCTTGCGGGGAGCGCCCACCCCGCAGCCCCGTCGGCTCCCACTCCCCGCTCACCAGCGACGAGGACGCGCTCCCGGAAGGTCACTGCACGGCGGGAGGAGGCGCCGAGGTCCCCGCCCCGCCCCGCCCCGTCGCGAGGCCCCGCCCGGCCCGGCCCGCCCCTCTCGGCCTGGAGTCCCGGCGGGCGGAGGCCCGGAGCATCCTGGCGAGAAGGCCACCAGCGAGTGCCCGGACCGTCCCGCTTCCCACGGCGACCGCCCACGCGGGGCAGACCCGGCGGTGCGCAGCCGGCCGCATCCCATCCCGCTGTCGCCGGCGGGTACTGTCTGCTCTTGAGCCTCACTGTTCCTGTCTGTGAAATGGGGCGACAGACACTGCTCTCAGAGAGCCGAACCACATGGCCCGTTGGTGAAGCCCTGCACACCCCCCTGCACAGGAGCCCTGGCCCCCATCCCCGGGGCAGCACCCTGGTTCCTTTAGCTGTTGCCCCAGGGCACGGAGCCAGCGCAGTACTAGTATTCCTGGCTCTGCTGCTTTGTGGCTGGTCCTCTCGGCCTCCATTTCCGTATCTGAAAAATGGGCACAACATCGTGGCACTAATCGGGATGCCACACAATGCAGGCAGGGCACCCCGCAGATGACACTCGTTGAGTGGAGGCTTCGATCGCCACAGCCCAGAGGGGGCCTCAGTTTGCCAGGGTCTCCCCAACAGGCCTGGCACGTCCGGCCCCAGGCCTGAGGCACCTCCTCCTGTGCATGCGCATGTGCACTTTTATTACTGCATCCCAGGGCCTGTCCCTGCCACTTTGGACTGACTTGGCCGGGTGGGGACCTCTGCCTGCAAGAGCCACAGTTGCCCAAACTGGTCCTCTGGGGGCCAGCATGAAGCGCAGCTCCTTCCCCCCAGGCAGAGCAGCCTGGAGCCGCCTTAGCCCTCCTCAGCTGCTTCCTTCTTTGACTGCTTTGGTGTAAAGACAAGTATAACCCAGGCTGGAGTCCATTTCTGTTTTCTTTCTGACTTTAAAAGAAATTAAGACATTTTCCTGAGCCTCTCAAAGTACCATGGCCCCAGGCACTGCGGCTGCCCTGCCTCTGGACTCATTCTGGTCGCGCGGCCCAAAGAGCTGCCAGCCCTCACCCTTTTCCTGTAAGGAGGTGCCTGTGGCCTGGCAGAGCGGCAAGCCCCCCTCCCCCGGAACTGCCATGGGGAGGAGGCAATGTGGCTTCCCTCCAGCCTCGCCCCTACTGCCCTTGGGCTCCAGGCCCACAGGGGTACTCTGGGAAGCAGAGGCTTCTGTCTCCAAATACCTGCTGCCCTCCTGGACTGAAGGGAGGGGCTTTGAACAAACGCACAAGGCCCCTGTCCTCATGAAATCCACACCCTTTACACAGATGAGACCCTGCAGTTTGGGGGGGCCAGGTGCTGCCCAAGGGGCTCCCATTGAGGTCTACATGCAAATGTGGATGCCCCATCCCGCTGTGCCTGGGAGCATCCCATTCCTTTTGCCTTGCTCCTGTCCAACCCCATGGACCCCACCTGAGCCTGGACCACAGTCATTGTTCCTCTTCTGAGCAGTACCCATAGCCCCTAGCTGGCTCCCAGCTCCCCTCTTACCCCTTCTAGGCCCTTCCTCTGCTCAGGACCCTCCATGGCTCCTACTGCCTTAGGATCCAGCCCAAACCTTTTACCTGGCACTTGAGGCCCTGTCAACCTGGGGTCAAGCTGACTAGCCTACCCTTTCCCATCTCTGTACCTTTGCACACACTGTTCCCCCTATGTAGGCCACCCTTCACCTCCCACTCTGGGTATCTCCATGTGTCCAAGCCTGCCTGCTCGCCAATGTCACCCCAGGAAGCCCTTCCAGAATCCTCGCTCTATGCACCCCCACTCTAAGTAGGCAGTGACCTTGAACTCCAGGGTTCCCTGTCCACTCCACTGATCAGCTTTGCACAGCCGAGGGGCAGCACATTCCTGGCTAGAGAGAGCGGGCACAAAGGCCAGACCACGGAAAGAAGGGGAAAGGGGGAAACTGAGCCTCTGCCAAGCACTGACAAGAGCCCACTCTGGGGCAGTCAGAGGCTATGGTGGGAGGCAAGGCTCTGCTGTGGGCACTGCAGCTGTGGCATGGGCATTCAGCAGGAGATGCCCTGTCCTCTTGCTTCTGAGCTCACTGAACCTGTGTTCAGATCTCCAGAGTAGGGCTGGACATTTCTGTGAGGTAGAACAAGTGTTGTCAACTGAGCCAGGGCATGGAGGGGACAGCAGGGGCTCATCAGCCTGTGATCAAGACTGACCAAGTGCGGACAAGCGTCCGAGCCAGGATAACTGGGGATTCGGTTCTTAAATAGGCAGTACATGGCAGCTGGCGTCTTGGTGATGGCAGCCCTCGATACATCCCTAGAGTTGCCGCTCCTAGCTGGCCTGGCTGCTTGCAGGCCTGGTGCACACATCATCCTGGGGTTGCTCTTCACCACCACCTGGGGTGCCCTTGACCCCTCTGCTGGCTGGCTTCTCATTTCCTGGCACTTCTTCACCTTTTCTGGTTCCCCCTTGATTGTGATGAGCCCATCCTCCAGGAGTTCTTGAGAAAGACCGCACAGGAGGAAATCATTTTTGAAATCTTGCATTCTATCCTGTGGCTGACTAACGCTTGTCAGGGTAAGAACTCAAACCTGGAGACTGTTGTCCTTCGGCATCGTGAAGACAGCCAGCCCTCCAGCCACCTGCTGATCAGCCACTGCTGATGAGCAAGCTGAAGCCCTTCTGTGCTGAGCCTTTCTGTATAATTTATTTTGTTCTCTCTGGAAAAGTTTAACATTTTTGTCCCCAGAGTTCTGGAACTTCACATCAATATTCCTCTCTCTGGGCTTAATCTCATCTACCATTCCAGCAATTAGGGGGCCCTTTTATACAAGTGTGGATAAAATGAGAGTTCCTGTGGTCAGGATTCTCACCTGGGCCTGGTTGACTAGCTCACTGCACACCTGTGGGCAATACATGGCTGTTGACTCTGTATGAAGAGCTCCGCCCAGTGCTCTGGGCACAACATGGTGGCGCCCCTGCAAGGCTGCAGGAGAGCAGAGTAGATGCTGTAGTGGTGGCAGTGCTGAGGACAGAGGCCCAGGGGGTGGCTGTGTGGGCCAACTGTGCAGAGAGCCCCAGAGGACAGCTGTATGGGATGGCTGCAGAGAGGCCCCAGAGGATGGCTGTGCAGACAGAGGGGCCCAGAGGCAGAGACCAGCTTGCTACATGCAGACTTGCTCTGAATGAATGGGATTCTAGTGACTGACCTGCCACCTGGAAATAAAGTTGGGTATAACCCTTTCACCCCAAGCACGTTTTACTGTAATTTTCTTTGGTCACATTGAATCCATAGCAAACTTGCCCGGGGCTGAAACCCATTGGCAAGACAACAAGAAACTCGTATCCCTTACATTTCAGAGAAACTGATATTTTTTAAATTATTTCCTTCCCTCCACTTTCTCACTTCTCTTTCTGGAACCCCTATTACTCAGAATCCGGAACTTCCTGAGCTGGTCCGCTTCCTCCCTTCTAGCTTCTCTCTTACTTCTCATGTTTTGTTTTGCTTTACTTTCTGTGATGTTTCCTCAACTTTCTCTTCCTGGCCTTCTACCGGGCTTTTCAATTCTGCTATCCTATTTTTAGTTTCCAAGGTTTATTTTTCTCTTTTCCGAATGTTCTTTTTTCAATAACTTCCTGCTCATTTTTCATGGATGAAGTGTCTTCTCTTACCTCTCAGCTATCAGTAATAGCTTTCTTAAAACGATTATTTCTTCTCTCATTATAGTTTCTGAATCTAATGCTTTGGTTTTTGTTTTTATTTCGGTTTGTAAGAGGCTTTTCTCAGATGCTTGGGAATCTTTGGCTGGAAGGTCATGATTAGAAAAAAGGAGGAAAATAAGTCTGCAGCTGCTATTTGATGGCTTAGCTTCACTGTAAATTGAATTTGGTGGGTTATTTGGGAACTTGTTGGCTGTCAACAGTTTTAGGGTTTCCTCTTGGATGGGTCAGATTCCCCAAGATCCTCCAGTCCCTTGTCTGTAAGGGTAGGGGTCTGGCTCCAGGTTTCTCGGATCTCAGTGGGGGAGAGCCCTGAGGGAGGTCCCTGCATTCAGCATTCAGTATCCACCTCTGGCCAAGTACTCACATTCACGCTGTCCCTGGCATGCCCAGTCATTTCCAGAGCTAAACCCCAGATGTTTACCAGAGTGGTTAGAGAGAGGGAGGGGATCTTAAGATCTGACTGTTCTTCAAAGACACCTTCAAACAATCCTCTTCGTGTTTGCCTTCTTTTACCCTTAGATCTAGAAGCAGCCAGTGCTGCCAGTTCCTAAGCTTTTGAGGATTCTGTTGTATGAATAAGGATTGGGTCTCAGCTTTTCCCCCAGTTGGGGAGAATCTGGGTATGTGGAGTCTGCTAAATAGGTAATACTGGTCTTCATGCTTTTCAGCATCCAGAAATTCTGTTGCTAGGGCTCCCTTTCCTGTTCTTCCTGTCCTTGTAGATTTATGTCTTTATGAGATTCCTTTACTGTGGATTAATGGGCCTCTGGAGGCATGTGCTCTATTCATGCCGTAACCTAAAAATCTCTTTATCTTTTAAGACCATGGCACGGTATAGATTTGCCATAATTTATTTACCTAATCTCCTCTAGTGGGAAATGCAGCTTATTTCCACTTTTTCCTTGCTAAAAGCAAGGCTCCCGTGGGTATCCTCCTAAGAGTTAGGTCTTTGCTCATTTGATGCTTTTCTTAGGACAAACTCATTGAAGTAGATTTGCTGTGATTCTATACAGATCTTTCTCATTATGAGGTACGTGTGTGTGTGTATGTGTGTGTTCTGGGCTCCTTGGAAGAAGCTGGAAGGAAATGAGAGAAGCAGAGCGGGGTTAGGGATGTACTTAGAGGTGAAGTCTCTCTGACCCAGCCTCACACCGCGGCTCAGAAGCTGGATAACCCCCATTTCCAATCCCCCTTCTGTCATTAACCACCTGTCACTCAATCTTGGAGCCTTTGTCTACTCATCTGTAAACTGGGGATAACAGTAACAACTATGCATCACAGCGCTGCTGTGAGGAATTAAGCTAATATCTGAAAATATCCAAGGCTTTGCTCAATGGAACAAGCATTTACTGGGTGCTTATTATGTGCTAAGCACGTTGTCTGGTTTGTAGGGAACGTTTTGGAGTTGTATTGCTTATCGCACAGTGTTACTGGGAGAAAGCAAATACGAGAAAGAATGTGGAAGCGTTTCAAGCACTTTTCACATGCTAGCAAGAAAGAGTGAAGAGTTCGTTGGTTATTCAATAACTATTTTTGAGGGCTCATGTGGGGCGGTGTCGTATTTAATCCTTTCCTGCGGAGGTTTAAGTGAGCGCACGGGTCATTCCAGTTCCGCACTCTGCGGTAGGGCGTCTCCCCGCCGGGGAGGAACTGGTAACTGCGGAACCTTTCTTCGCGCTCCCCCGGCCCGCACGGCAGGAAATGCGTCAAGGACACGCCGCGCCGCGCCGCCGCAATAGGGCCTCGGTCGCCCCGGTAACGCGCGAGTAGCAGGTTTCTGGCGATGAGCGTCCGGCTCCTACAGGCTGCGCGGACTTGGGGCTGGGGCGCGGGGGGCGCGGGGGCCCCCCGCGGGGCCTCGAACTTCCCGCTGCCTCCGCCGGGCGCGGTGGACGTGGCTGAGCTGCTGCGAGATGCGACCACAGCGGAGGAAGGGGCCAGGGAGGAGGCGGCGGCGCGGCGGCTGCCGGGCCAATGCTCGGTCCTGCTCTTCCCCGGCCAGGGCAGCCAGGTGGTGGGCATGGGCCGCGGTATGCTCCGCTACCCGCGCGTCCGCGAACTGTACTCCGCCGCCCGCCACGTGCTGGGCTACGACCTGCTGGAGCTGAGCCTGCACGGGCCGCAGGAGGCCCTGGACCGCACCGCGCACTGCCAGCCCGCTGTCTTCGTGGCTTCGCTGGCCGCCGTCGAGAAACTGCATCACCTTCAGCCCGCGGTAAGGCCCGAGGCTCCCGCCAGGCCAGAGTACTTCCACGTCGGACTCCTTCGGCAGAGTCTCACTTGAGTTCCCTCTGTGCTAGGCACTGTTCCAGGCGCTGAGGATACAGCCGTGAACTAAAGGATCCCTGCCTAGAGGGGCTTGCATGTCAGGGAAGGGAGACAGATAATAATAAATATACTATATTAGTATAACTAAGTGTTATAGAAAGTCCCAGAGAAAGGGCCTGGGGAGTCACGGGCTGGGTTGCAATTTTAAATGATCTTTAATTAATTACTACATGATTTTAGAAGGATTGAACTTCATCCTTAAATGAAGGATCATTAAGAGATGATATATCTGAGAATGTCACTTCAGGTGACTGGGCCAGGTATGTGCTAAGCACTTTAGACACATTATCTTCATGTGATTCTCTCAGCAGCCCGATAAGGTAGGTCTTACCCTTTCCTGATGGCACAGGTGAGATAACAGACTCACAGAGGCTTGGGAACTTTCCCAAGCTAAGAATCAAATCCAGCTCTCTGTGACGCTGAAAGTCACCCTCTTCTGTGTTAAGTTCCCTCCAGCTCGGCTGACCTGAAAGGCAGCTTCAGGGTAGAGGCTAGAGAATCTGATCCCTAGGTTGGAGTCACAGCTCCACCGTGGAGTCAGCCAGCGGGCTTTAACTTGCCCTGCTGGAGAAGTTCCTCATCAATAAGGGGCTGGGATCAGTGATTGTCAAGGCCGTTTCTTGTGTCCTCTTCTAGCTGGAGCACCAGGCCAGCAGAATCTGGCTCACTGAGCCACTGAACACCTTGCCAGCTCTCTAGAGCAGAGCCCTGGATGGAGCGTCCCTGAGCATTTGGCCTCACTTCTGCATCTGTCACCACAGGTTATTGAGAACTGTGTTGCTGCTGCTGGATTCAGTGTGGGAGAATTTGCAGCCCTGGTGTTTGCTGGAGCCATGGAGTTTTCTGAAGGTACACAGAAAAGGGTTTGGTTTTGTGCAAGGGTGTGTTGTCTTGCTGAGTTTACTGGGGACAAGGGACACTGCCAAAAATAATTCTGGATGTGCTCAGGGGTGATAGAGAAAGTAGCACATGGATGGGGATGACATTGGAAGCTGAGGACCAGACTTCACCTTGATTCTTTGTTTAAGCCCGAAGGGCTCATTAGAGATTCCCTTTAGTTTTTCAATCTCACGGCATCTGCTTGCTTCATGGTCTCCACCACTGTCCTGTGCGTCTCCTCGCTCACACTCCTCCCGCACCTGTCAGGTGGCAGACGCTCCATGGATACCCACTGAATGGAAGAGGGTGAATGAATGGTCTTGAGCCATAACAGTTTCACTTCCTAAGATTTTTGCTTACAGGTAAAACAGTTAAACATTTTTGCTTGCAGTTAAATATGGGAAAGGACTTGAATAGACATTCCTCCAAAGAAAATATACAAAAGCCAATAAATACATGAAAAGATGGGCAACATCACTAACCATTAGGGACATGCAAATCAAAACCACAGTGAGACACCACCTCACACCCACTAGGATGGCTTTGATTTAAGAAAACAAAACAAAAAAACAGAAAATTATAAGTGTTGGTGAGTATGTGGGAGAAAAAAGAAGTTCACACATTACTAGTGAGAATATAAAATGGTGCAGCCATTATGGAAAACAGTTTGGTGGCTCCTCAAAAAATTAAACACAGAATTACCTCATGACCCAGTGGTTCTACTGATAGGTATGTACTTAAGAAATGGAAACACATGTCCATGTGGAAAATCTTGTACAGAAATGTATACAACAGCATTATTCAGCCAAAAGATGGAACAACCCAAATGTCCATCATCAGATGCATGGATAAACAGATCATGGTCTCTCCATTCATTGGGATATTATTCAGCCATAAAAAGAAATAAATTACTGATATAGGCCACAACATGCGTGAACTTCAAAAACACTAAGTGAAAGAAGTCAGACACAGAATGTCACAGTGATCCCTTTTATATAAAATGTCCGGAATATGCAGAACAAAAGAGACAACAGATTAAAGGTCACAAGGGGTGGAGGGAAGGAGAAATGGCGAGCGGCTACTTCATGGCTGTGGGGTGTTTTATAGGGTGAAGGAAAGTTTTTGAAATGAGAGTTGGTGTCTGTACAACATTACAAGGACAACAAAGGCCACTAAATCATGTATTTGCAGTTGGTTATATTTTATGTGCCTTTCACTTTAAGAAAAAGCATTATAGTACTACTCTGGAAACTGAAAAGAAAATTTAAGATTTCAACATCCTAATAAAATTATTTTGCACAGATAATTTTATGTGTACATGATTTGCAGAGATACAGCATATATACATTCTGTGCCGAGTTTTTCCACTTGCCGTCTCACAGTTACTTAATGCCTACATAAGGGGATTTCCACATGCTCTTTTCACATTCCTATGTATTCTCTCTACTTCCTACCACAGGCTTTTGATGTATTTGCTTCACAGTTCCACCTGTGTAAGGGGGCCAAATATCCACTACAAATATATATTGTCAAGTGTCAAGTGAATGAAATGCGGTAAAGAGAAAGGGTGCAGATTTGCTCCTCAGATGTTCTGTTTTCCCATCAAACCTGAACTGGTCCCTTACCCTCTCCTCCATCTGGTCAGCCCCCGCACCACAGGGAGCAGACCTGGACCGGGATGATGGGTGTCCAGTAATTACAGGCCATTCTTATGTCACGATCGTGCGGCTGCCTGCACGGGCACAGCCCTGTGCTCTCACCCTGCACACGAGCCACGCCGAAGCAGGGGCTCCGCGTTTCAGTTCATCTGCCTGGGCAGCGTCGGGTTCTCCAGCTCTAAGTGAGGGCTAGCTGTGCTTGGTTTATGGTAATTTTTTATGTTTCTGAAATTCATGGACTTGCTTATAGTTTGTACATCCTTCCAAGTGTCTGATGACTCATAATTGTTTTGCCATTTCAACACGATTAATCTCAAATAGTAAACTAGTTAATAATAATTCTCAGTTTTCAGAACAGTTAGTTTACTAACTAAAATGTTGACCAGGAAGGAGGTCATGAATTGCTCAAAGCGATGTAGCTCAAAGTCTGTTCCTTTCCGCCGTACTCGGGGTTTCTCAACAGCAGCAGTACTGACCTTTTGGACCAGATGGTTCTTGGTTTTGCTGGGCAGCTGCACATTGTGAGATGTCGAGCGGCGTCCCTGGCCTCTACCCACCGGGAATCAGTAACACACCTCCCCCCACCAGTTGTGACAATCAAAACACGTCTCCAGACAATGACCTGGGGCCAAAATCATCCCTGGTTAAGAACCACCGCCCTACGTCAAGCCAGCTTTAAGGCGGGAAGCTCCATGGGTTAATCCGTATAGTGCAAAGGATAGCCCCTTGCATTTTGATGGCAGTGGTACCGTCTCTGTCAGTGTGGCAGATACAGGTACGCAGAACTCTAGCTTTGTGGACTGCTGATAAGCAGCAGTAGCAGGGACTCCAGCATGCAGTGAGGACCTTGTCCTTTTGTCTTTCAGGTCTGGACTTCCCTCCTCCATTATGTGCCCTGATTTTTCCAAATGCGCTTCTCTCTGGATAGGTTTGTACGCGGTGAAAATCCGAGCTGAAGCCATGCAGGAAGCTTCGGAAGCTGTCCCCAGTGGGATGTTGTCTGTCCTTGGCCAGCGTCAGTCCAAGTTCAGCTTCGCCTGTTCGGAAGCCCAGGAGCACTGCAAGACTCTGGGCATCGAGAACCCTGTGTGTGAGGTGTCCAACTACCTCTTCCCTGATTGCAGAGTGATCTCAGGACACCTAGAGGTCGGTGTTGATGGGAGCGCCTTCACGGGCCTCAGCCCAGCGCAGGAGGGTGGGACCGTTCCATGCCTGGGAGCCCACAGGAGTGTAATGGGTCCTCTGCCAAGCCAGGGTCTCCAGGGAATATTTGAGGGCCAGGGGAGTGTGTGGCGGGCCAGGCACTGCAGATGGAGCCGGGACTCCACCACGTACAAGCAGGAACCTCGGGCAAGTTGCCCAGCCTGTGCGGGATGTCAGGGGGCTGGACCGGCCCGTCTCCAGGGCCTTCCTACAGCACATTCGAGGCTTCTTATAGCCTGATCCGGTTGCATCCTTAGTGGAGAAGCCATTTCCTGCTGGGTTTCCCTGCCTTGCCCTGCTTTTCGTTAGGTACCTGTTTTCGCACCTGAGTTGATGTCCTTCCTTTGAGTCCTTCCCTCCATTTACCACCTCCCCAGACTGCATTCCTGGAGCATCTCCTGTGTGACAGCATTGGGCACACAGACTGATAAGCCAGGGCTCCTGCCACCTAAGGAAGGCTAGCTGCGGACGGACGACTCCAGGTTTCAGGGCACAGTTAGGGGTGGCTGACTGCCAGTGGGCCTGAGGGAGAGGCACCAGGAGGCAGTGCCTGGAGGATGAGTTTGCCAGGAGGAGTGGTGGGGCTGCCAGAAGGAAAAGGCAATCCCGCACGGAGTGCCTGGCTGGGGCAGTGCCAAGCGAGGGAGTGCAGACAGGTCTGGCCCGAGGGGCTGCGGGTGTATGGCCCGTGTTACATCTTATCTAGTCCTCAGCGCCAGTCCTGTGCTCTGTTGAAGGGACTCTGCATTTCACATACAGGGAAGCCGAGGCAGAGAGAGGGGCAAGTGCTTAGAGGTGGCGGAGGCAGAATTGGAACTCGTCTGTCTCAGTGCGGTGTCTGTCTCCTCCACTTGACCGCACGCAGTTGTCTTCCTGTGTAAGGCCTTGCCAGTTTGCCAGGTGCCCTTGTGTATCACCTCTTCATCAGGGAGAGCCGGCAGATGCCTCCTGTGGCAGTTCTGAGATGACGGGAAGACCACTTTCAGAGGCCCCCGGGCTAGTCATGGAGCTGGTCGCCCATTTCTATTAATGGCTTTGGGAAGATCCCAGAAGTGGGCCAGGAGGGCCGCACCATGCAGGGCGGGAGTCTCCCTCACAGGCCCCCAGACGGGTGGGCACCCAATCTAGATAGTGACTCCAGGACATCCAGGTTTGGCCTTGGGTGCTGATGGAAGTGCCGCAGCACAGAGCTCGGGCGAGAGGAGGGGATCCCCTGAGCAGGAGTGCCCTTCCCAACAGTTGGTGTGAAAGAAGTGCCTTGGCCTCTGTTGGACCAATGCCAGGGCTGAGGGCCAGCCACAGGAACCCGTTCGACCCTGCAGCTGTGGCCTTGACTCCTGTGGCCCTAACCTGGGCATGTAGTTGGATGGTCCACAGGTGTTACGTAGAAAGCACTCTGAGACCGCTGAAGTGCCGGAAATCCCACTGAGCAGCCAGCCATGTGGATGCCAGTGACCTGAGCTGTCTAGGCACGGGAAGGACATGGGCTGTGGAGTCCGGAAGGCCTCTGTTCAGGGGCTCCGGGGGCGCGTACCTGTGAGATGGGGGCGGATGGAGGGTGGTCATGGTGTGGAGCACCAGGTCCGCTAGGACCGGCTAGGCCACTGCCGTGACAGGCAGCCCACACCGGCCGAGGCGCGGCTGCCACTCCCTCTCGGTTCTCTGTGCAGGGCTCTGCTCCCCGTGGCTTTCGCCCTAGGGCTCCGGCTGCCAGCACAGCGCTCACAGACTCAAGGCAGAGGAGAGTGAGGCATGTGAGCCCCCGGCGGCATTGACTGTGCCCTGGGGAGCAGGACATACCCCTGTGGGGGGAGGCCACAGGTGGACCAACAAGCTCCATCCAACCAAAACTCTGAATCCCTCCTACGCTTTGGGGCACAAATAGCTGGTTTGTTAGGTATATTTTTCCAGTGCACATGGATGAGTTTAGTGTACAAGGTAATTGCTAATCCTTATGTGGTATGTGTAACCCAAGCTTAGTTCTCCTTATCATAACCTTATGAGATGACGATTATTATCACCATTTTATAGATGAGCAAACTGAGGCACAAAGAGGTAAAGCAGAATTGCCTGAGCTCATGCCACCGCTGTGGCCTTGCCAAGGCTTACCCTGAGTCTCTCAGGGGCAGCTGGCCCAGCCCCCGAACAGGCCAGGGATGGCATTGGTTTGGAGGGACATGGCGAGGATTTTGCGCTCGGGAAACCCTTCTGCAGATCCCTGGAGGGCTGTCAGGGCATCAGCCCTTCAGCCCTGGGCTGTGCCCCAAGGGCACACGGTCTCTTAAGCATAGGTACTCTTTTTTTGGTATCATTAATGTACAATTACATCAGCAACATTATGGTTACTAGACTCCCCCTATTATCAAGCATAGATATTTTTAACTCTTTTAAAGATATTTTCAAATTATGTTTGCATACAGTTCCAAATTGGAGCCTGTTAGCCCAGGAGGCTCCTTCGAACTCAGGTGCCCTTCAGGGGAAGGCTTTTGGCTTCAGGGAGAGAGAGCTTGTTTCTTCTCAGGTGAGGGTTTCTGGTGGGAAAGAGCCTACATTGTGACACGAAGCTTGGGCTCTCCTGAATGTTGTATTGAAGGATATGGAGTAACAAGGAAACCTGCTTATGAAAAATTATGAAAACTTAGAGCTGGAAGCTAACACTTACTAGGCTTTTTCATTTATCAGACACTTGTACAGCTATCCAATCACTTCCCACCGACCTTGTGAAGCAGGTGAAATTATGCTTATTTTATGGAGGAAAAAGAAGTTAAAGCAAGTTGAGTGCTCTGCCTGGGGCCACTGAGGGAGTTACCAAAGCACCAGGACAGGACGCACAGGTGGGCGGGGTGTCGGGCCCCCGGGGAGGGGCCGTCCCTGTGACTGATGTTAGCTGGAGCAAAGAGGTGGGCTGAGTCCCTCGGATGTTCCCAGGATATGCAGAGAGAAGCCCATCCTGTCATATCCTGGATGACGGACTGATGCCAGTGGGGACTGCCTCTCGTTGTTTCTCCCCCTCATATTTGCTTGGTTTAAACCTCCTTTCTTTTTCTTCCAGGCTCTGCAGTTTCTCCAGAAGAATTCCTCTAAGTATTACTTTAGACGCACCAAGATATTGCCAGTTAGCGGCGGGTTCCATACCCGCCTCATGGAGTCAGCCTTGGAGCCCCTGGCGCAAGTTTTAAAGGCAATTAATGTCAAGGAGCCTCTGCTTTCTGTCCACTCAAACGTCAACGGGAATAGATACATGCATCCAAAGCACATCCAGAAACTGCTGGTCCAGCAGCTGGTTTCCCCGGTGAAGTGGGAGCAGACCATGCACGCCATCTACGAGAGGAAGAAGGGCACCCCGTTCCCCAGAACCTTTGAAGTCGGGCCTGGGAAGCAGCTGGGCACCATCCTGAGGAGCTGTAACCTGCAGGCCTGGAAGTCTTACAGTCACGTGGATGTGCTGGAGGCTGATGAGGACCTGGACCAGGGCCTGTAGGAGTCTCTCAGTGACCATGGAATAGAGCTGGGGGTGGGGACGGGCCTTAGGAGGGGAAGGAGGCGCCCAGCAGCTGAGCCCAGCCTGGCATCCCCAGAGGCTGTGCACCTGCCCACCCTGCCTTCCTATCAGGCCTCCCCCAGGGACTACGTGGAATTGTTTGCAAAGGGCTTTGCCACATAAAAAGTGAGTATTTCTTTACATGACACAGTCTGTTTCTCCCCTTTGAAACACGTTTGAGAGCTGGGGGAAAAGACACAGCAGTAATGGTTACCAGGAGGCCAGGTAGATTTTCACTGCCTTGTGGGCAGGCCGCCTCACCTCTTTGCCTCGGATGGTGTTTCTGTGAAGTGGGCTGAGTCAGTGTGCTGACAGGTGTGTCCTGAGGACTGGAAGGCTTCTCCTGTTGCTGTGTGGGTGCCTGGGCACACTGGCCACAAGCGCTTGCCCAGGCAGCTGGCAGCCAACCCATAGCCAGAATCTTGGCTCCTTTGTCGGTGAATCCAAAGGGCTTTAGGACCCAACTGGCCTTGTCAGCCCTCCATCCACTCCTGTCCTCAGCAGTTGGGAGTTCCAGCCCCACTTGTTTACTTACCCAACAGATCATATTGAGTACCTGCTGTATGCCAGGGCATGAGTGGCTTTTGCCCTGGTGGGGAGAGTGACTAAGGGTCCTGTTTCCTCCCCCACCCCCACGTCTTCCCTTTGACGGCAGTTAACTAAGTGCCTACTGTGTGCACGACTTAGGCTGGCACAGGCTGCCTCACAGAGCAGATTCTCTGCCTGCTCCACACGAAGAGCAAAGCACAGCTCCTCACAGTATTAAATACGAGTGATTCTAAGCTGCTCAGGTGGGTTTGTCATTATTCAGTGATAGTGGGAAAACTTTATTGGGAATGAAATCTCTGAGTTTGTCTTTAAATGTTGCCATTATGTAGACACATGTCAAATCCTGGATAGTCTTTCCCATTTTGAATTCTGTAGTTTTTCAACAGGGGCCTCACTGGCCTTTGAGCAGAAATGGTCTTCATTGTGTGAGACTGTACTGTGCTTTGGGGCAGCTGTCCTGGCTCCTGGCCACTACATGCTAGCAGCACTTCCAGGCATTGTTACTGCCAGACGCGCCTACACGTTTCCACAGCCCAGGCTGAGAACCTGATTTTCAACATGGTCTGAGTTTGAGTTTTCCGTGGAGCATAATGAAAGTACTATTTCTTTTCTTTTTTTTAAAATTTAATTTAATTTTATCAAAATTTAATTTAATTAAATCAAAATTTAATTTTATCAAACATCCCAGTCATTTAACAGTCTCCTCTCCCCCTGACCCGCCTTCGCCCATACCTCTCCCACTTGGTAACCACTAGTCACTTCTCAGTGTCTATGAGTCTAATGCTGTTTTATTCTTTCTCTTTTGCCTTGTTTTTATACTCCATAAATAAGTGAAATCACATGGTATTTGGCTTTCTAGGCCTGGCTTATTTCACTGAGCATAATACCCTCTAGCTCCATCTATGTTGTGGCAAATGGTAGGATGTGTTTTCTCCTTATGACTGAATAGTATTCCATTGTGTACATGTACCACATCTTCTTTATCCATTCATCTACTGATGGGCACTTTGGTTGCTTCCATTTCTTGGCTATTGTAAATAGTGCTGCGATAAACATAGGGGTGCATGTGTCTTTTTCAAAAGGGGCTTCTGCATTCTTAGGGTAAATTGCTAGGAGTAGAATTCCTGGGTCAAATGGTATTTCTATTTTTAGTTTTTTGAGGAAGCTTCATACGTTTCCACAGCAGTTGAACCAATTTGCAGTCCCACCAGCAGCATAGGAGGGTTCCCCTTTTTTCATATCCTCACCAACATTTGTTATTTCTTGTCTTTTAGATAGTGGCTGTTCTAACTGGTGTGAGGTGACATCTCATTGTGGTTTTAATTTGCATTTCCCTAATGATTAGTGATGTGAAGCATCTTTTCATGTGCCTGTTGGCCATCTGAATTTCTTCTTTGGAGAAGTGTCTATTCAGGTCCTCCGCTCATTTTTTTATTGTGTTGTTTATTTTTTGGGTGTTTAGGCATATGAGTTTTTAATATATTTTGGATGTTAACCCCTTATCAGATAAATCGTATACGACATATTCTCCCCCCAGACTGTAGGATGCCTTTTTGTTCTGCTGATGGTGTCCTTTGCTGTACAGAAGCTTTTCAGCTTGATGTAGTCCCACTTGTTCATTTTTTGTTTCCCTTGCCCAAGGAAATGTGTTCAGAAAAAAGTTGTTCATGTGTATATTCAAGAGATTTTTGCCTATGTTTTCTTTTTTTTAAAATTTTTTATTAAGGTATTATTGATATACACTCTTATGAAGGTTTCACATGAAAAAACAATGTGGTTACTACATTTACCCATATTATCAAGTCCCCACCCACACCCCAGTGCACTCACTGTCCATCAGTGCAGCAAGATGCCACAGATCCACTATGTGCCTTCTGTGTGCTACACTGTTCTCCCCTTGATCCCCCACACCATGTGTACTAAACATAGTACCCCTCAATCTCCTTCTCCCTCCTTCCCCACCCGCCCTCCCACGCCCCTCCCCTTTGGTAACCACTAGTTCATTCTTGGAGTCTGTGATTCTGCTGCTGTTTTTGTTCCTTCAGTTTTGCTTCGTTGTTATGCTCCACAAATGAGGGAAACCATTTGGCACTTGTCTTTCTCTGCCTGGCTTATTTCACTGAGCATAATGTCCTCCAGCTCTATCCATGTTGTAGCAAATGGTAGGATTTGTTTCTTTCTTATGGCTGAATAGTATTCCATTGTGTATATGTACCACATGTTCTTTATCCATTCATCTACTGATGGACACTTAGGTTGCTTCCATTTCTTGGCTATTGTAAGTAGTGCTGCGATAAACACAGGGGTGCCTATGTCTTTTTTAATCTGAGAAGTTGTATTCTTTGGGTAAATTCCAAGGAGTGGGATTCCTGGGTCAAATAGTATTTCTATTTGTAGTTTTTTGAGGAACCTCCATATTGCTTTCCACAATGGTTGGAAAGCTTACATTCCCACCAGCAGTGTAGGAGGGTTCCCCTTTCTCCACATCCTCACCAGCATTTGTTGTTCTTAGTCTTTTCAATGCTGGCCATCCTAACTGGTGTGAGGTGATATCTCTTTGTGGTTTTAATTTGCATTTCCCTGATGATTAGTGATGTGGAGCATCTTTTCATGTGTCTGTTGGCCATCTGAATTTCTTCTTTGGAGAATCGTCTCTTCATATCCTCTGCCCACTTGTTAATCGGGTTATTTGCTTTTTGGGTGTTGAGGAGTGTAAGTTCTTTATATATTTTGGATGTTAACCCCTTGTTGGATGTGTCCCTTATAAATATATTCTCCCACACCATAGGATGCCTTTTTGTTCTGTTGATGGTGTCCTTTACTGTACAGAAACTTTTCAGTTTGATGTAGTCCCATGTGTTCATTTTTGCTTTTGTTTCCCTTTCTTGAGGAGATGTGTTCAGGAAGAAGTTGCTCATGCTTATATGCAGGAGATTTTTTGCTTATGTTGTCTTCTAAGAGTTTTATGGTATCATGACTTACATTGAGGTATTTGATCCATTTCAAGTTTACTTTTGTGTATGGGGTTAGACAGTGATCCAGTTTCATTCTCTTACAGGTAGCTGCCCAGTTTTGCCAGCACCAGCCTTTGAAGAGGCTGTCCTTTCCCCATTGTATGTCCATGGCTCCTTTATCATATATTAATTGACCATATATGGTTGGGTTTATATCTGGGCTCTCTAGTCTGTTCCATTGGTCTATGGGTCTGTTCCTGTGCCAGTACCAAATTGTCTTGATTACTATGGCTTTGTAGTAGAGCCTGAAGTGGGTGAGCATAATCCCTCCAGCGTTTTTCTTCTTTCTCAGAATTGCTGTGGCTATTCTGCGTCTTTCATGGTTCCATATGAATTTCAGAACTGTTTGTTCTAGTTTGTTGAAGAATGCTGTTGGTATTTTGATAGGAATTGCATTGATTCTGTAAATTGCTTTGGGCAGGTTGGCCATTTTGACAATATTAATTCTTCCTATCCATGAGCACAGGATACATTTTGATTTATTGGTGTCTTCTTTAATTTCTCTCATGAGTGTCTTGTAAGTTTTCAGGGTATAGGTCTTATACCTCCTTGGTTAGGTTTATTCCTAGGTATTTTATTCTTTTTAATGAAATTATAAATGGAGTTCTTTTCCTGATTTCTTTTTCTGCTAGTTCATTATAAGTATATAGGAATGCAACAGATTTCTATGTATTAATTTTGCATCTTGTTTAATTTTACTGAATTCAGTTATTCTAGTAGTTTTTTGGTGGATTCTTTAGGATTTTCTATGTATGATATCATGTCATCTGCAAATAGTGAGAGTTTAACATCTTCCTTACCAATCTGGATTCCTTTTTTTCTCTTTGTGTTGTCTGATTGCTGTGTTTAGGACCTCTAGACTATGTTGAATAAAAGTGGGGAGAGTGGGCATCCTTGTCTTATTCCTGATCTTAGAGGAAAAGCTTTCAACTTTTTGCTTTTAAGTATGATGTTGGCTAGGGGTTTGCCATATGTTGCCTTTATTATGTTGAGGGACGTATACTGTATAATTTTGTTGAGAGTTTTTATCATGAATGGATGTCCAATTTTGTCAAATTCTTTTTCAGCATCCATTAAGATGATCATGTGGTTTTTATTCCTCATTTTGTTAATATGGTGTATGATATTGATGGATTTACAAGTATTGTACCATCCTTGCATCCCTGGAATAAATCCCATTTGGTCATGATGGATGATCTTTTTAATGTATTTTTTTACTCAGTTTGCTAATATTTTGTTGAGGATTTTTGATCCTATGTGCATCAGGGATATTGGTCTGTAATTTTCTTTTTTTTGTGGTGTCATGCCTGGTTTTGGTATTAGAGTGATGCTGGCCTCATAGAGTGAGTTTGGAAGTATTCTCTCCTCTTCTACTTTTTGGTATGCTTTAAAAAGGATGGGCATAAAGAACTATTTCTTAAAACTTCATTTTAGAAACTGTTCAAACATCCATGAAGAACTGTCAGGATTTTTAAATAGTTGCCAAGTCTGTTGAACTCCCTTCACCAAGTGCTTTCAGTAACCGGCAGCCCCTGAGGCCAAGCTCTCCATGGTCTCTGGCTGTGCTACAGGCAGGATGGTGTCCCACTTGGAGGAGCACAGTCCCTCCCACCTGTGGAGGTGGAGATACAGTGAAGGGTAGGTGATTCTGAGGGGCGGGCCTCTTCCTCGGAGTGTGGGGCGGTGTTCCCTGCCCCCAGGAGGGGAGGAACAGCACACAAAGGGCACACAATGCTGCCTTCACAAAGATCCCTGAAAGCTGGGCAGCACCTCTGTGTACAGGGAGGGAGCTGCCTGCCTGGTAGGAAGGAACCCAGAGGCACATGAGGGCAGGGTTCCTCTGTGGAGCCTCAATCAGGGGAGCGCCAGGTTGGGGCTGGTGGGCCTTCACCCTGGCTCTGATCCTGCAGATTTTGAATCCAGATGAGTGACAGGAGCACAGGATGCTGAGGGGAGTTATGGGAGGAGCCCAGAGGCCTGGGGTGAGGGCCTCAGGGGCTGGGATGAATCCTGTTCCTGGGCAGGATCGTGGCCAGGTCCTGGCCCTTGGAGGAAAGCACCAGTGCTGTATTTGGTCCCTGGGTACCGAACCCCCTGAAGGCAGGAATTGCATTTGCTACCACAGCCCTGGGCCCCACATCAGTGGAGAACCTTGGCCTGTTTTCCTCCAGCAGCTTAACTCCCCAGTCTGCCTGCAAGTGGGCACTGCTCTCCTGCCTGGCAGGCAGGGGTTTCCCTGGGTACCTTCTAAGAGATTCAGATCTTGCCTCATCTCCACAAGTCCTGAATGAACCAGGAGCCTATTCAAAAGCCTCTGAAACAAAGATGGGACTCCTCATGCCCCCACAGCCTTGTCACCTCCTCTGGGAAGGTGCCCGACCTTGGGTCCCCAGGTTGTAGGGTCTGTGCCCATCCTGCAGCAGTGCCTGGGACCCACACAGAGCTGCTGGAGATGATGGCGAAACATTGTGTGGAAATTCTTTAGGGATCATGAAGCCACTGGATAACCACATCATCCCTACCCCTTCCTGGAGGGTACAGCCCTCTGTTCCTCCCTTTTGGGGGTTGGAGAGTGATTTTCCCTATTGCTTTTGACTCAGATTGAAGCCCACTGCAACTCCTAAGGGCCAAGCTGCTTTGTGCACCATGTGTGAACAGCCAGGCAGGCTTCACACTGTGACCCCTTCCCCTCTGTGGCCTCAGCGTCTAACTGCCCCATGGAGGCTAGATTGGATGACAGTGGTCAGAAGACCCCAGTCCAACTGGGATCAGGATCCTGGGTGACACAAACCTGAGCCACCTTGATCAAGTCCCTTACCTGTCTGGGCCTCATTTTCCCACTTGTAGGGCGGGCTGTCTGGAGCAGGTAGTGAAATGTAGCCACAACCGAATCAGGCCAGGAGGTCAAGGCTGCCTCCTTACGTGTGGATGCCGGAGCAGCATCAAGCTCATCAGGGCCCTGTGGTTGCTGTGACCTGGCGAGAAACCGTGGGTCAGACACTGGCCAGTCCGCCCCCATGTTCAGGCCTGTCTCCCAGCCGGGGGCCTTTGTGCTGCTTGGCAGCCCCTTTTCTACAGCCAGCTCCTCCGGAGGCCTTGTCTTATCTTGCCCATCCCTGGGCCCACCGTTTTCTGTCTTTTGCTGCCCTCAGAACACATCCCTCAAGACTCTTAGCTCATGTGTGTGTATTTTTCCCCAGTAATGTGAAATCTGAAGCGGGGACCATGTCGTCTTCACTGCATCCCCAGCTCGCACGCCGGAGGCGAGCACAGTAGACACTCCTCTGATACCCATGGGTGGAAAGAGTATTGTGGACTCCAGGACAGGATGAGCCTGGGGAGGGTGTCCCCAAAGTCCTGCAGGGAGAGGCCACTGCCCGGTCAGCATTGGCTATTATTCCTGGGAGCATTTCCAGCCCTCTTTCCTCTGAAGAGCCCCAGGCACTGCTGGCCACATCCATGGTGGGCCTGTGGCTGGGGGGACAGTTTATCCCCTGAGAGCTCAAGAGGGAGAAGGCGGAGTGCCATGTGGTCAGGGACTTTCTAAAGTCACCCCCTGGCTTTGGCCTTGCCCCATCCCTAGCCACTGACTCTACAATGGGTCCCCAGAGCCTCGGGGCCAGTGTACCCACACAGGGCAAGTTGTGGGGCCACTTCCAGGTTTCTAAGTTTGGTGTGGATGCTTCCTGGATGGAACAGGGTGCCATGATGGAGCTTCCCCAGCAATGACCTGGGAGCTGGGGGATTCTGGACTCGCCCTGTGAAGTTCTGGGAAAGCCTGACAATCGGCCTCAAGTGACAACTTACATGGAAATGGGTTAAGTTAGGCCTCAAAAGCCATCAACAGGCAGACCTGGGGGTCAGGGTGCAGCTGCAGTATAAGGCCTGGGGGTGGGAAGCTTCACTCATAAGGGCTGAAGGGCACAGCTGGGGGAGCCCATCCTAAGTTTAAAAACTTGTAAGTGACCCCAGAGCTTGCCCTATGAGGACACTGGCCCCAAAGCCCTAGGGACCCACTGTAGAATCAGGACGGCTAGGAGTGTGGCAAGGTCAAAGCCAGGGGCACCTCTAACTGACCACATGTGTTCATGTAGCAGCTGAGAGTGGGCAGGACACCGGGGCCTGCTCTGACTGGCCCAGCTGCATGCTGGGGCAGCTGCATCTGCTGGAGGGCTCTGGGGCTGAGTGGAGGGCAGGGAAGGCTCCCCAGCCCTGGACCTGGAGTGGGCTAGAGGGTGAGGCTGCCTCAGACGCTGGTGCAGGGGACGTGGGAAGCTGGAGAATGGTGGCTTACCCCAGGGTTGGCACTGAGATAGGGGACTCAGGGTGGGAGACATGGAACACAAGTTCTGGGAAGGCCTGGTAGGATCTAATAGCAGTGGGCCCAGGTCTGGGGAGGGCTGGGCCCACACATGGGGAGGTGCCCCTTCTCCCCAACACACTTGTGTGAATAGCCCCCCAGGCTGCAGCATTCCAGCACACGCAGGGTAAGCACACATGGGGAGGGGCAGGCAGCCCAGTCCTAAGAGGTACTAACAGCCCAAAAGAAGTGATCCCTAATGACAGACATCAGGCGCCAGGGCCTGGCAGGGAGTGACCCAGCATGTGTTGTGTTGGGCCACATACTTGACACCATTTGCCAGTGCTGGGACAGCAGGGAGGGGCTGTGTGGTACAAGCAGCCAGCTGCACAGGTGGCCAGGAGCACAGCCCACCCCTCCCCTACCCCGTACCCCAGCCACAATCCCCCTTGCAGGGGCAGGATGAAGCCCACACTGCGAGCCCACAGAGAGGACCAGAGACAGGCTGGAACCAACAGTTTATTGAGCCCTCCTCCCCCCAGGTCTATCCCAGGTGCTCTCTGCCGGGGGCATCACAGACCCAGGGGTGTGACCGGCACTACCCCTGCCCCGCTACACCACCAGCCCGGGGGAGGATGGCTCCTTGGGCCCGGCCACGCAGGGTGGGCTGGGGCCCGGAGAGCAGGCCCGGCCAGGCCTCAGTGTGAGCAGTTAACCAGTAACCACCCTAGAGGTACAGTGAATTCATTTGTCTTACAAAAAAAAGAAAACAAGAAAAAACTAGTATGAAAAACCTCAGTAGTGTCCCAGCACTCAGAGTTTAAATATAAAAAAGGGATCATCAGAAAACAGTTAAAAAGACAAAACCAACAAGGCCACACCTCCAGGGTGGTGGTCCGGGGGCGGGGCCAGCCCACCCCCACGGAGGGGGGCCGGCGTCACTGCAGGAGGCGGAGTCCCCAGCCCAGCAGCAGCGCCAGCACCAGCAGTGCGGACAGCACCAACTCGCGCCCTCGGGGGGGCAGCACCTGCGGGGTGAAGGGGGCAGAGGTGAGGACCCCAGCCTGGGACCCGCGGGCCCAGCCTACAGCTGTCCTGTGCCTGCTGGACACCGGGGCGAGCCAGGCATGGGTGAGAATGGGGTGGGGGGCACAGGAGCCCCTCGCTTAGAACTGGAGGGGCGTGGGGCAAAGTGACCAGAGGGGCACAGGAGGCACCAGAAAGGGGCCCTGGGGACACAGCAGAGGGTGGTAGGCCAGCCCACCCAGGGGCTGCTGTCTGGTGGGGACTGGTATGATGGGATGAACTGGTGTGAGGGACAATCAGCGTGCAAGGTGGGGAGGAGTGAGGGAGGGCAGGTATGTGAGGAACCAGCTGCATCTTCCTGCCAGATGAAGTCACTCCTGACAGAGGGAACAGCATGTACACAGAGGTGGAAGTTAGCAAATGCACTCAAGGGACTCGTGCATCAGGCAGGAAGCCAGGAGTCTCAAACCCAAAATGACCTTTGGGACCAGGCAGTAGTAGAAATTAGTGAAGCATGCAAGACAAGATAATAGAGAGTAGTGGGGACTGTGGCAACCGGAGAAGGCAGGACCGCCCCAGACCTCACCACATGCAGGAATGTAAGTCAGGGTCATAAAATCTCAGGGCTTACTTACCCAGTCCCTGAGGGTCAGTAGGCTCCAGAAGCTTATGTTCTCCCTGAGGTTAGTGAGACCATCCGTCAAACTTCTGAGAACAGCCCTCAGGCCTGCCTGGTTGTAGGGGAAAGCCAAACTGCCGTGCAAATGGGGGGGAACAGGGCCATTACTGCAGGCCGGGGGCAGAGAGAGCCTGTATCTTAGGTGAGAGTTGTGGGGAAAAGAGGGCCAGTCCCCTCCACCCACTGCCGTCCTCTCCCCCTTCCCTGGGTGCTCTGCCAGGGAGGGCTACTCCCCATGGGCCATTTCTGGTCCCAAATTCATCTGATTCCTGTTTCCTCCCAGACCTGCCTGCCGGCCCTCTGGAGCTGCCTTGTGGAAAATGCTCCACTGTCCACAGGCCCGAAGAGGCAGGTCCAGGGGAATGGGTCCTCGCTGGAGGAGCTTGTTTTCATAGAGGCCCCAGCTCCCCAGGGGAAAGCTGGGGACAGGAGACCATGTCAGTGTTCATCCTGGCCTCCAGGAGTGAGGTTTCCACATGCCCACTTTGAGCAACTCAGTGAGATGATGGGAACCTGGAGGGGTGCTGGCAAATTATGGAAGCTGAGCATCAGCAGGTGAGATGCCTCCATACAGAAGGCTCTGCCGGGCACACAGACAGCCCCATCCATGCTCACCCAGCGTTGCCTGTTATCTCAGGCCAAGACCCTCTTGGAAATTACTGTCTTGACTTGGTGAGGGAAGGAGAGAAGGCGCCTGGGTTCTGCTTGGTCTGCTGCCCAGGCCCAGAGGATGAGGTGGCAGCGGGCAGCTTCTGGAGCTGGGGACTCCCGGGCTGGACAGGGGCTGGTCACCTGTACATGGCCATCCGTGGCAGCTCAGCAATGTGGGGCAGCATCCATCTCACTTCCATCTCATCCCCAATGAAGGCCAGCCGCATGGCCACGTCATCACGGTTGTCACTGTGGGGAGGGCACAGGGAATCAGGGGTGTGGTCGTGCCAGGGACCCCACGCCCCCGGCCCAGCAGGCCCCAGGTTCAGGAGGACCACGGGCGGGCGCGGAGCATGGCAAGGGCTGGGAACCAGGCCCCTCCTCCGGCTCCCACTTTGCTTCAGAAAAGCCAGCAGGGTCCCACGCACAGGGGGGCTTCCATGCGGGGAGGGAGACTGCCCTGGGGGCCCGTCCCAGCTCCTCTCGTGGGAGGGCAGGGGGCTTTGGGATTTGGTCTGCACCCTCGCCTGGGGCGGGCGGGAGGGACACCTCTGCCTGGGTGAGCACTGGGGCAAAGCAGCCTCCCTTCCCCATCCCACGACAACTGAATGCCCTGGGGAGTCCTGGGAGGGGGCCCCCCACCTGGTGGGTTTGGTGGAAATGTTGGCAAAGATGGGAAATGGGTCTGGGCAGGCGGGAGTGCCCCCTCGGATCACTGCGGCTGGCTTCCTGCGTGGGTCTCAACCCTCCTCATAGGGAGGGGCTCTGGCACCTGTTCCCTGGCCCCATCTTGAAACCACCTGTTGCCATCACTCCTTTTACAAAGGAGGGGCTAACTGGTCCCTGCCTGGGCACCTCCCTACTCTGACTGGAATCCTTGAAGAAAAGGGAGGCATACACACCCCCAAGTCTCACGCGCTCCCCTCCCGTCCTGGCATGTGGGCACCTTCAGCCCTGCTGACACGGTTTGCCAACACATTCCATCCCAGTGACTAGGCAGCCCGGCTGGGAATTCCCAGGCAGGTGGGCCTCCCAGGGACCAGAAACTCCAAGCCCCTCCCAGCCTGGCCCCAGCCACCTGCCCAGTCTCCCAGGGTCCATGCTCTATTCCAGGGGCAACAGGCTGGGAGGGCTAGCTGGCGGTCAGGGTGGTGGGCTAAGGTCCCGCCTCTATCCCAGTACCTGTGGGACCCTCAGGAAATCACTGCCCCAGGCTGCATGGCCCCTGCTGTCATCTACAAATGGAGCAGGAAAGGGTGAGGCAAGGCAGATTTGGGGATACCTCCAGCCCTGAAATCCCAATCCCCAAACCCAGGACCAAATGACTTAAGAACCCTTGAGGCCTAAAGCAAGAGGGGAGCATCCAGAACCCTGGGGCCAGTCCTGGGAAGATCCCCTCTGTGCTGCCCTATCTGAAATGGCTTCCTCAGGCCCCTTTTCTAAAATTGTATCCACCTCTTAAGAGGCCTTGACAAGGTGACTGTGGCCACGAGGAGCAGGACGCATCCCCTCCTGAGCCTGCTTGAGCCATTCTGATGGCCAGAGTGGAGCTGCCCTGCCCAGGGCACTGGCTCCGTGACCACACCTGGGGGGTCTGCTCCAGAGCCCTGCCTGGGGAACCCAGGGCCGCTCCTGTGAGCACAGCCCAGAGGCCACCGACCCGCAACGGCAGTGGGCGGGGCCCAGGGACATGCCTGTACAGGGAGGACCCGGGATCCTCATCCTCCGTGAGCTCGGTCACGCCAGGGACCTCCAGAGCTTCGGGGCCATGCTCACGCAGGAAAGTGTCCAAAAGGAGGTCGCTGGAAAAGGCTCCTGCTTGAGACATTTCTTCTCTGGGGGAAGAAGACACACACTGACTGCATGCCCAGAACTATGCACGCACTGTCACCTTACCTCTGCTACCCGCCGGCCACTCTTTCTCCCGTGGAGCCATCATCAGCCTTCCCCACTCCAGCTCCCCAGGACATGAATTCTGCTGCAAGCTGGCTGCGTGCCCCTGGGGAAATCACCGTGCCTCTCTGTTCTCTGTCATACAACTCTAAAGTCAGGGATTTGGAGATGGTTCGTAAGGGCCCTTGTCTTTTCTCTTTGTATAAGAAAAATCAAGAGTGTAAGTATCAGACAGGCTCTAATTCTGGCCTTCAGTTTGGGTAGTAAAAAACCCAGGCATATGGGGTACAGCTGGGCTCTGCAGAAGAGCAACTCCAATACTGCCTACCTCAAGTGCCCACCTCTTGTCCACTCTTCCCCTTGAGCAGAAAAGGCAGATAAGCAGAAGGAGGAAAAGTCCTCCACCATCCCAATGCCCAGAGGGACCACTGCTCATCTTCATCTTTTTCTAAACACATATGCACATCACACACACTCACATGAACATTTTCAAAAATGGGATCACTCCTTACATAGTGTTTTATAACCACCTTTCTTCACTTGACTCTCTTGGCAAGACTGATGTTTACCTTTCTACTCCCCCAGGTCCCTTGTAACAGAACTAATTTCCTTGCAGGGGGTGGGAGGGGCCTGAATCCTTCTTCATCTGAGCCAATCATGATGCTGTTTCTCACTTTCCAGCATGCCTTGCAGCTGGTGGTAAGCATGTAACCCAGTCCTGGTCAATGAGGTCTCAAAAGTCTGATGTGGGAGTTGAAAGGAAGCAGTGACAGCCTGGGCAGCTCTTCTCCCTCCTTGCTACCTTCAACACAGGAGTGAAGGTTGGAGCTACAGCAGCCACTTTATGACATGGAGGTATTAAGCATAAGGCTAACCAATGTGCTAAGAGTATAGAGCAGAGAGGTAGAGAGCTTGGCTGTCTGATGGCATTGTTGAACAACTAAAAAAATACAAGTCACTGCTCACCTAATTGTCTAAGAAAAAATAAAACCCAATTGTTCAAATCACTATTCACTGTTCCTTGCCACCAAAGGCCTTCTTAACTATTACAATTGTGAATTCCCACATCAACAAATGCTTATATCATCACTTGTGATAGCTACTAGGATTCTGTGACCTGGTTCACCATCATTTACCCCACACCTCAGGTCTAGAATATAATGAAGGTGGTGGCTCTGGAGCTAAAGAAAATCAGTTTTCTCATGGGTAAGATGTCAATAGCCCCTCACTTGGCTATTGAGAATTAAATAAATAAGTCTCCTTCCAGTATTTTCAGCACAGCCAGGAGTAGGCACTAACCCTATGACCTTTGTACTTCAGCCCAGTATTTCCTTACAGTAATGTCCTGGGTTTTTCTAAATTCCTAATTTCCCCATGTTTGCCTGCACTGAAGCAAGAAAGGACAGAGCCGCCAAGTCTCCGCACTCCCCAGGCCAGGGCGTTCACCCCTGAAGCAGACCAAGCGGACCAATGCAGGCAGGCGCCCTGCGGGGACACTGAGGCTGGACAGGAGTGTGCCCATCACTTGCTTCCGGCATTAAAGGGTGAAGCTGGAAATGCAAAGGGCAGAGGTCAGTTTCGGATCCTCCAGGTGTCTCAGGGCACGTCTAGACAGTTTATGCCAACAACGCGTCCAAGCTGCACGCAAAGAGAAGACTGCTGTGACGCCGTCAAGGGTGCGGACAGGCATGTGGGGTCTGGGGCACTCTGGCCTTTGAGAAAAGAAACCACATAAGGATGGCATTGTTCTAGACAGAATCAATGCCCAGAATTGGCATCACAGAGATGGAAAGGGAGGGAAACAGAAGAGTTTTACATCTGTTCTGGATGAAAGTCTAACACAAAAAGCAGCTCCAGCAGGCACTGGGACTGAGTAAACACAGCCACAGCCGCCACACAGAGCCTGCGGCCTGACATGTGCCACTCGCACCTGTCAGGACAGCACCGTCCCTGGGGCTGAAAGGCGCTGTCAGGTCAGATCTGGTGGGTGGAGGGAGGGTGGCCCCAGCACCCGGGATGGGGGCTGCCACCTGCTGAGGGCACCTGCAGGCAAAGTGCTGAAAGCACACAGGTCCCAGGCCCGGCGACTCTGCCAGACCGTCAGGCCAGCGTACCCGGACAGGGAGGGACACAGCAGCATGTCTAACTCTAAAATACTGTTAGCAACTTAAATTCCCAGCACAGGCAACATTCTGGTGCACAAAGCTTCACACATTTGTTCCCAGAATGCATGGTAGCAGTTAAAAGCTCTGAGGTGAATAGAGACCCCTCTGCAACGCGAAGTTTTGACAACACTTCAGAAAAAACTACACAACAAAACTAGTATGGTTTGAAGCTACTTCTATAGCAGGGGTTGAATTCTGTCCATTTGCCTTTTAAACATAGGGCTGCTGCAAGTGGCCAACCCCATTCCCAGGCTGAGCTCCAGCCATGTGGCCCCTTCGGCATTAATACCATGTTCCATCCACAGTGTCGCTGTCAATTTCCTTTGCTTAAACAGAGTAAGGAGATGTAAGGGGCTGGCGGGGAGGGGAAGGCACTGGCACTAGCAGAGTTAAGACGACTTACCTGGATTTAAGTTACACTTAAATTGAGAAGATTATCTGAGCAAGTTAGAGGAAACCTCTAAAAGAAGCCAGCAGAAGAAAATATGATTAATTTCAATAAAAGAAAAGGGAAGATTTTTTTAGGAGATATGAACATTTATATAGAAAACCCAGAGAATCACCTATTGGAACTACCAGGAGTTTCAAGGTTGCCAAATACAAGATCAAATTCAAAAGCCAGTAGCATTCCTACAAGGCCACCAGAAAATATAATAGAAAATACCTATTTCCAGAAATACAAAATTTTGGTCAGGAATGACTCTGATAAAGGATGCTTAAAATCTTTATAGATAAAAGTTTGAAACTCCATAAAAGACATAAAACAGCCAGATAAATGGAGACAACTTTCATGGACGGGAGGTTTTAACACTGCATAGATTATAAGCAGAGTGAGTGTGAGTGAGTGAGTGAGTGAGTGAGTGTGTGTGTGTGCGCGCACGCGCATGTGCATGACACATACCAGGCCCTGGAGCCTGCGGCTAGTGTGCCATTTAAGGAACTGTGACTTGGCGCTCTGGCTGTCGTCAGGCTCCCAGTAGACTTGGTGTCAATGCAAATGGCCATTTCTCAGGGAAAGCAGCCCCAGACCTCATTTGCATCTACACCCTGACTCCCCTTTCTCCTCCAGCCTGAGCCCCGTCTGCAGGGAGCTATTCCCTTCCCGGAAAAGAACGGAAATAGCTCTGGTCCTTAGCCCCTTTGCCCTTGTGCCCATGCCCTAAGATTCTGACTGATACTAGTGGAGAATTGCCAGCCAGGCCTGGGCTGGCCTTGGGGCTCTAGATCTGAGAGTGCGAGGACACATGGAGTGCGGCACGGGGCTAGGGGCAGGGTCCCTGCGGCAGCCTCCCAGCTGCCCGCACCCCCCTCCCCCCGGGGGGAGGCCAAGCACGGGCCGCCTCCTGCCGGGCCTGCTCCCGTCTATGTCCAGGCAGCAGCCTCAGATCTGACCCGGTCACCACCCCACTCAGCGCCCGAGGCCCCTCAGGAATTGTGCTGCACCGCTACAGGGCACCCCTCTTCTCCTCTGGCCACCTCAGCCCTGCCACCCCAACCTGGGCCCCCATTCCCACCACACTTAACGCTCTGTGACCGTGCATGGGCAGTGCCTGCCAGCTCTGACAGGCCCACTTCTACTGGTCCCCAAAGAACTCAATTCTGGCATTGCCCAGGCCTCCGGGCCAGGGTGGGGGCCTCAGGCGCTCCCACAGCCCGGTCTCTGCTTCCTTTTCTCCCCAGCCAAGCACACTAGCCACTGCTGTCTCTCCATCTGTGGTCGTTTGGAGCCTGGGCTCTGCAGCCACACTGGGGGGTGTCCTTGGGTAAGCTGGCCTCCGTGTGCCTCAAGTTTCCTTACTTCTAAATGAGGGTATTAGTAACACCTATTTCACGGGGCTGGGGAGTGACACTGGGAGGACTAAATGACAGAATCCATGTTAATGTATCTGACACAGAGTAGCAAGTAACAAAACAGGAACTGCCATTATTATGGTTCCCAACACATAGCACAGAGCATTTGTTGAATGACTAAACAAAGTCTCTGCAGCTGCAGATTCAGGAACCTGAACTGGTTTTAAGCATCTATTTTTTTTCCAGTAAATTTGCAAACAAGTTTTCTTTGGGGAAAGGAAGGCACACACAGCCATGTGTCCCCACCCCGGCTGCAGCCCACACACTTACCCTCCTCCACACTCAGTGGAAAAACCAGCCAGGAACCCTGTTTTACTCGAGGTCGGGATGCAAATCTACCCTCTGGGCAGAGGAGAGCACCACCCCCACAGCCATGAACACACCTGTGGGGCCTGCAGTGACATAGGCATGCCCCCACACACACTGGGATGGCAACAGCTGCCCCCTCTTCAGATGGTGGACCCTCGGTCTCCCCAAGCCCAGCCTTGCCTGCTTCCCTCCCTGCTCCCAACCTTGCTGTGTCTCTGCATGCTTCGCAGCAAAGCAGGAACAGGTGATGACAACCTTGGGGCTCCCACAATGCCAACTAGTCCCCGGAGTCCCGAGGGCCAGGCCAGTGGCTGCTGGTGGGCCCACCTTTTCCCATCCACAATGGTCCCAGTCGCCAGCTCCACTGCCACCTGTGAGGGGGGCAGTGCCCCAGTTTACAGAGCCCTTGGTACTCAAAGCACCCAGTGCACACTCAAGCCAAAAGGCCCTGACCTCCGCGGGACACACCCAGGTTCCCCCCAGCTGCCACTGCCAGGACCAGGACAGTCAGCCGACTCTGAGCCCAGCACAGGCAGGGCTCTCCTGCGTGGCAGTGTCCCAACCTCCAGGGCTGCTAAGATTAGACACCACTGTTGCCCATTGTCTGCCACCTAGCAGGGGCTCCAAAGCTCATTAAGGACTCACCAGCCCCAGAGAGAAGTGGGGGACAGTGCCCCCTCACCCTCATAGTCCACTCACCCTGCCGTGCAGCAGCTGCCCCCGACATCTCTGGGGGTCACTTTGATGATTAATATGTCCCACAACCACAAAGGTGTATAATAACCTTTGACTTCTGTCTCCTGCATACACCCCTACCTGGCAGCCCTGAGAAAGACACGCAGTGCGCTTGTAGGCACTGGTGTGGCCAGACCCCAAGGAAGGCACATGGCTACGTGAAGTCAGCAGGGACAGAAGTCTTCACTGTGTCAAAATGAAGACCCAAAGCAGACAAATACTTCCTTCTGCACCAATCATCCCCTGAAGGAGAAAAGCAATTAGTAAAGAGAGGAAGGGGATGTCTCTGGCACCGAGGTGGGAAGTAGACTTAATTTTTACTACACATGCTTTTGTGCTCTTGAATTTTTACTAGCAGGCATGTGCTGGTGCTGCTGATTCAAAAAAGTAAGCAAAAACAACTGCTTCAGATTAATAGCTTGAATTTCTCTGAAATGGTGATGTTTGTTTTAAAGGTCTATTTCTGGAATCAAGTAACCACCCCCTTCCCCGTCCACCCACCTTACGGGCCAAGTCCAGGCTCCCGCCTCCAGGTCAGGAACCTGCAGGTAGGATCCCCACCCTGTTTGAGGAGGGCAGGGCTCACTTCCCTTCAGGGATGGAGAAATACCTCCGGGGAAGGAGGCAGGGAGGCAGGGAGAGAAATGTAAAAAGAAAATTGGAAAGTCACCTGGGCAGGTGGGTGGGAGTTGTTCAGTAATTTGGAAAGTGGCAGCTCGGAATGGACCCCTGGAGCCGCCGCCTCTCAGTCCTGCTCTGCCCACCACAGAGCGCAGGTGCCGGCCGGACCCACCTGGAATCCAGGTGTGGGCAAAGCCGTCCACTGGGCCACGGCCAGCAGTCCAGTCTGCGCTGGGCTTCCAGCTGCTGGGGCCTCCAGCAAAGGCTGCCCTCTCTGGGCCGGGGCTCAATGCTCCCGGTGACCCTACATCCTCTTTATTTGCATCTACAGAGCACAACCCCCCTCCAGAGAAGGGGATGTTTGTCCCATTTCACAGATAGGGGGCCTGGGAGGGTTGAAAACGGAAATTCAGAGCCTCTTCACCATATAATCATGCTAACCCACCCCCAAGCTCCAAAAATAGACCCTCCTAGCAATGCAGGTTGATTTACTTGTAGACAAACCAGGGAGGCAGCCTTGAGAATTAGAAAAATGTCATGTTGTGAGGCCTGAAATGCTCAATAGTTTTCACTAAATTCAACAGTTGATGGAACATGCCTGCAGGGCACAGTAGGGCCCAAGAATTTGTCATTATTGGACTTAGCATCACGGGCAAGAAGGCAACTATGAAACATGCAGGTGCAGGAACAGCATCCGGCACTTTGCAGCTCACCCTAGCGGAGGAAGGAACCTATCCCCTATTCACAGATGAAGAAACGGGTTTAGAACAGGGAAGGGCTGTCACACACCCGAGGGGAGCGGCTACAGCCTCCACCTCTGGGGACACACTGTCTCGACCACCAGAGTTTATTGGAGGTCACAGTTTGGTGGGAGCTGGTCTGGTCTGGTCTGATTCAGCACCAGGGCCTCTCTCCGGGCCTGGTCAGTAGTAGCTTAGGAACGTTCGTGGAAAGAGTGATGCACAACCAGCGCCCCCTCTTCCTCCCCAAACCCACGTTTAGGCAGGCTAGCCACTGCAAAAATGCAAAGTGCTGGGTCTCTGTGTAGCGCACAGTAAGTCCTGGGTAGCTGCTGAGTGACAAGAACACGTCTCACTGGCTAAGTACGAACATGGTGGGATGCCTGGTTCTAGCCCAGATTGTCTGTATGACTTTAGACAAAGGCCTCAGCCCTCTTGGACTCCTAATATTTCTTTGTAAAGCAAGTGTTGGAGAGATCTTCTATGCCCTTTTCTGCTTAAATACTATAAAAACACACTAAACTGTATGGGAAATGTAACATTCTAATAATTCTCTTGACTGATTTTGAAACTGGCTTTAAACCAGTTTGCTGTGGTCTGAATGCCTGTGTCCATGCCCCCTTCCACTCATATGTTGAAACTTAACTGCCCAAAAGATGGGGTCTTTGGGAGGCAATTAGATCTGGGCTCCACGAGAGTTTAGCAATTACTCTTCTAAAGAGGCCCAGGAGAGCTCCCTCTACGTGCGAATACAGGAAGCCTGTGGCACCCTGTCCTTGGACTTCCAGCCTCCAGAGCCCTGTGAGAAATGAATCTATGGCTTATGAGCCGCCCAGGCTGTTTGACTTACACGAGCAACTTAAAAACCTTTAAAAGTATGTCTTTGAAATAAGTTCTTACTTAAGAAGTATTTAAAATAAATGAAGGACTGTGCACTCTGCAGGGCCAGACACTGAAGCCTGGAGGGAGAGACGTGGCCCTCGGGGTCTCCTTTCTCCCTGGTAGTTTTGGGACGCTCTCACTGCTCTGAGGGCTCTCAGTCACTCACAGGGTCCTGAGCCCCCTGCAGTCAGCCTCCATGGAGGCTCGCATTTCCTCCCTGGGTCAAAGTCCTCCACCCCCCACTGGACTCACCCCAGCCCTTTGGTGCCCTCAGCCTCGACCAAACACCCTCCTGCTGCCTCCCCAAGGCTGTCTTAGGGGACCTGCTTCTTCCTTCAGGCCTGACCCAGAATCCACCTCCTTCCCACCCTTCCAGGCCAGAATTAATTGCTCTTTATCTGCACTGTCCCAGAACCTTTGATAAACAGACCTGGATTGGGCACCTAGCCCATTATGGCCTCATTAAATGTTTACCTGTCTGTCTGCCCCAGTGAACGGAGACAAGCCAGAGGAGACAGGCAGGACAATGCAAACCAGAATGGAGGAGCCGGGCTCACAGCAACAAGCAACTCCTGGCAGGGGGACCCTGGACTGGACACACTGTCCCCTCTGGAGAGCCCAATCGGGGTCAGCTGTGAGGAAGAGGCGGGTAATGTAGGCATGGTATACAGTAAGTGCCCACTAATGGGAAGCTATCCCTCACAGAGCCTGGAGCTCAGGAGGGGTGGTGCCCAGGCTGACCGCCTCGCCTCGTGGTCACAGCTGGGACTTTTCCCGGTGCGTCATGGCCCGCATGCAGGCAATCCGGCTGTTCTTTGTCTCACCTTGACAGAGCCTCTCCTGAGCTCCAAGCCAGTCACCCAAACATCATCTCTTAAAAAAAAAAGAAAACAAGGACTCTCAGCCTTAAACAGCCATCTCACAGGGCCCGTCTCCAAACAGCCAGTGGGCTGCTCTTCTTTCAAACTCGCACTTCCTCTCAGTCTGGGTGACCGGGTGTCTTCTCCCACCACCAGAAAAACAGGTTTACCATGCAGTGCCTGGCGAGGCCCAGCGGGTGTTTTGTGTTGTCACATCCTAATATTGACACTAGGAAAATCAGCTGCCCTCCCTGAGTCTGCCGTGGTGCGCTGACCACCAGGCCTGGCCTCTCTCCCGCTTGCCTCGGGGCTGACGAGGAACGCACCGTGGACTTATTTGCTTACATTCTGTATTTCTCCCAGGGCCTGGCCCAACCAACTGGGGGGCAAGACAAAGAGACAAGGGGGCGGCTGCCCGTGTCCACTCCAGACCCACTGCAGGCTTCCTGGTGGCCCCACAGTGAGACCCGAGCGTGCCAGGAACTTCCTAGAAACCTCTTGGAATTGTTCTGAGCAAAAAGAAAAACAGCCGGACTCTCGTGGGATCCACTATGTCCGAGGCAGGGGAAGCAAGAAGCCATTAACTGTCTACAAACTTACTAGGCTCACTAAAAACAGGATGCTTTCCAGGGAGAGGGGAAAATACCTTCGAGGTCAGCTTCAAGACTTGCCAGTGGAGAGAACCCCTCCCCGGGAGCCTCTTCCAGTTATTAGAGAACGAATCCAAAGTGCAAAGCTGAGCTAACAACACTGCTGTGGGCTCTTCGCGGCCCAGTGAATCCTGCTTTTGTACCTGTTGGCCACCGAAGATCCCCTAAAACTTACAATAATTAACACGTGCACAACTCTGTATCCAGCTTCTGCCCAGTGTGCCCAGGCCGTGATGGACACTGGGGGTACTCCAGTGAGTGATGACATTTGGGTCAGTTCTTGGGGAGCTGCAGGCTGGTGTAAGTCTAAGTAAGCACAAATGGGTAATTTCACACTGTTTCTGGTGTCTGAAAACAGTAAAATAAGGTCCCAGGTCAGACAAACTGGTGGGAGGAGAGGAAGGGCTGCACCTGTGGATGAGGTAGACAAGGAAGCCTTCTTGGAGGAGGTGGCAAATGATCTGCAATAGTGAAGCAGGAGTCTGATACATACACACACACACACACACACACACACACACACACACACACACACACACACAGGGGCTGTGCTAAGTCTATCATGTATCGTTTCATTTGTTTTAGGCCACACACCATCCTATGGAAGGCCTCATGGGATCCCTGGTGCTTGGAGAAATATCCCTATTGAAACAGTTTCCCCCCAAAAAAAGACAGCCTGGCAGCGATATCAGGTTGATTAAATATGTTCCCTGCCATGGAGGACATTCTAAGGCACTGGCTGGAAGCCCACACCCTGGACACCAGTCTCCCCCGACACCTTTAGACACACTTTATGCCAGAAACAAGCAAAAATAAATTTGTATGACCTAATGTTGATAAGGCTGGAGAAGCCACAGTTCAATCAATGATAGCCCCAGACCTTGAGGTTAAGATGGTGGGAAACCCCCAAATCCTGGGTAGAGAAGGGAGGGGCAGTGTGGAGAGATGAGAGAGTGGGGAGAGGCAACATCAGCTGCCACCACTGGGGCCCAGGTCCAGCTACCGCCTCCGCAGACCATCTAGGACCAAGTGCCAGGCAGCACCAATAATCACCCGAAATGCGACCCTCCTAAATATTTATCCCAAAAGCACGGCCAGAGTAAGGATAGATTAAAGTGTTTACTGCTTCGAGGCCACTAGCAACCAAACCAACACTTGGGCGGGTGTTCTCCACACCTGGTAGAAACATGATGCACCCATTTTACAGAGTGAACAACACACAGGCTCACAACAGGGCAGCCTGCCTGAACTGAAACAGCCCAGCTGGAAAGCGGCTGCGTGGAGAGTTTCGGCTTGACGTCAGCTCTGGGCTTTTAGGTAGCATTTCTGTTGCCTCTAGGAACTTAAGCCTCAGTTTTTCCCTCTGTAAAATGAGGCTTGTGTCCTGGAGGGCGGGCCAGCACAGAGCTAGCTCAGTTGTCCCTTTCTGAACAAGGGAAGAATGAAACAAATAACCCTCCCTTCCTGGAGAGCTGACGGAGAAATGCCAGCCAGGGGCCGCGCCAGAGCGGAGCTCAGAATGTCACTACAGCCCCGGGGCGGCTCACTCCGCAAAAACTGCAATAACAACTAACGGTTTGCGCGATTCGCACCCAGGAGGCCGGAGCGCGTCCCCCGGGCGGAAGCAGCCCGGTGCCCGGGGTTCCTTGTGGCCGTGCGGGGCTAGCAGCGGGCACCTCCTGTCACCGGCGGGCACGCGCCCCGCGGCCCTGCGTGCGCCCGGCACGTCGGCGGCTCCGATCTACGAACTCCGGCCAGCGCAGCCCCGGGCGCGCCGGCCCGCCCGTCTCCCCGCCTCCCCGCATCCCGGGAGGGAGCCCTCCTCGGACCCCCGCAGGTGCGCCCGGCGGCTCCAGTGCCCGACGCCATCTTCCCTTCTG